TCGACGAGGGCGGGACTTAAACTCGGGTTCTCCGAATTGCAAGTCCATGAATAACTTCAATCGCAGTGCTAACACACAAAACCCGTTATTACATAAAACAATACCTTGAACAGTGCTGAACTAAAACAATTAAAATGCTAACTGTTATTCAACGCACATTACTTGATACATTGACGTCAATAAAGATGAATCTTTGATTAATTCACCTGTATACGGAGAAAAGTTTTTATGTCATTTGAGCGTTATAAAAAAAACAATGTGCTGCAAGGCAGGAAAGGAAAGAAAGGTTCGTACGGTTTGTACAGGGGATCGACAAAAGGGAAGAGAAAGTAACAAAGGTCAATCAAAATTATGACCATAAAGGCATCCATTTTTCAGTGTCACAGAATAAAGAACCGCTCTTTTAGAAGTACGACTTACCGTACAAAACGAATTTAGCAACAAGATGTCCGTTAGTTAGTAAGTGCTCAGACTAGTGATCTAATGAAAATAAAGGCGACTGGAAGCAGTTTAGTTGTTTTCGCCGCACGACAACTTCCGTGGCTCAAAACTTTGCGTAAGCTGGAGGACCTCCCACTTACATCTTCCAGATAAAAAAAACATTAAACCCATTTTTATGACTTCATCAAAAATGATTTCAGGCCCACGTGAAAACCCATTTCTTTCATTTGAGTGGTCAGACACTAAGGTTTATGAAAAGGATAGACAGACTTATTTGGAAGGAGAAAAGAGAATGATGAGGGGAATATGGTTCTGGAAAAACGAAGAGCGTTGACCATGGAAGTAGAGACAATAAAAGATGCACTAAAGGAAAAGAAATTACAGGATATGATCAAAGTTTACATGGGACAGAGAGGCATAGAAGAGTAACATACCATAACTGTTCCTCTTCCGTCAACAAATCCCGCAATGGAACCAGAGGGATCTTCACGAAGGCTCTCAAAGTACGAGTACACCACAAGGATGAAGTAGATCACGGTGAGTAGGTGAGTAAATGAGTGAGAAGAAGTTAAGTTCTACTAAGCAAGTAAATAAACGAACAAGTTCTTTTTTTAATTCTGAAGTTGTAGAACTTAAAAATAACCTTATAGTTAACGATCTTTTCAGTCAAAATTCTTTTACGGTTTGAAATACATACGGCAAAACCGTACTGGAACTGTAATCGGAGCCTCCGAATTGCAAGTCCAATAACTTCAATCGCTCGACCAAGCTGTCACATCAAGGAATAAGATTCGTACGTACCCCATGCCGGACTGAAATGAAAAAACTGGTGACGGCCAGACTGTAGAGAACGGATAAGGCGTAAAAGATTATGTATGGCAGCGCCAAAAAGCGATTCCTCTATCAGACAAAGGGGCAAAGAAGGGTAACCTGTTCCTCTTCCTTGTTCAAATCCCTTAATGGAGACAGAGGGATCTTCGCGGATCGACACGGGGGATCTTAAAGTACGAGTACACCACAAGGATGAAGTCCAATAACTTCAATCGCTCTGACCAAGCAGTCACATTAAGAAATAAGATTCGTACGTACCCCATGCCGGACTGAAATGAAAAAACTGGTGACGGCCAGACTGTAGAGAACGGATAAGGCGTAAAAGATTATGTATGGCAGCGCCAAAAAGCGATCCCTCTATCAGACAAAGGGGAAAAGAAGGGTAACCTGTTCCTCTTCCTTGTTCAAATCCCTTAATGGAGCCAGAGGGATCTTCGCGGATCGACACGGGGGCTCTTAAAGTACGAGTACACCACAAGGATGAAGTCCAATAACTTCAATCGCTCTGACCAAGCTGTCACATCAAGGAATAAGATTCGTACGTACCCCATGCCGGACTGAAATGAAAAAACTGGTGACGGCCAGACTGTAGAGAACGGATAAGGCGTAAAAGATTATGTATGGCAGCGCCAAAAAACGCTTCCTCTATCAGACAAAGGGGCAAAGAAGGGTAACCTGTTCCTCTTCCTTGTTTAAATCCCCCAATGGAGCCAGAGGGATCTTCACGGATCGACACCGAGGTACGACTACACCACAAGAATGAAGTACATCTGAAAAGCAATTATAAAGTACATAAGAATAAAGTAAGTGAGTAGGTGAGTGAATGAGTCAGAGAAAGATAAGTTCTATCGGCTAAGCAAACAAACAAACGAACAAGTTCTTTTTTATGCCAGGTTGAAATGAAGAAATGGTAACGACCAGACTGTAGAAAACGAGGAAGGTGTAAACGATTATTACAGCGCCAAAAAACGATTCCTCTAAGAAAATTCAAATTTAAATAAGTTTAATATTTATATTAAACTTAAATTTTAAGAAATCCATATTGCAATGGCCAACCTACAAAACAAGGGATACGGATGACCCGGGATAATTTGAGAAATGATTGAGAAGCGACCGAGGTTAATTTGACCGACCTGCCACTCAAAGGCAACGTTTTCAATCGAAAACGCATTGATTGTGGACGGGGCCTTTAGCTTTCCCAGATGTACAGTCAGTCAGCCTTGCTTTTTATTGCAATCTTTAAAAAAACAGTGGTTAACGGGCATAATACAAGTGTTAACGGACATAAACCAAATTACAAAAAAATTTACAATACTTTGAGCTACTTTGAACAGTGCTGAACTAAAAAAATTAAAATGGTAACGGCTTTTATTCAATGTTCATCAGCGGCTTGATACAATGACGTGAATAAAGATGAATCTTTGAAAAATTTACTTGTTAACAGAAAAGATTTTATGTTAATTGAGTTTTATTTATCAAGGTAGGGAAGGAAAGAAAGGTTTGTACGGTTTGTACAGGTGATCGACAAAAGCAAAGAGAAAGTAACAAAAGTCATTCAAAATTATCTCCATAAAAGCTCCCACTTTTCAGTGTCACAGAATAAAGAACCTCTCTTTTAAAAATGCTTCTTATAGGCTAGCCTTTTTACAAACGATGGACGTAAATTAACAACGTTTTAGAGATTATACGGACATGCCGATAAAAGCAACAACAGCTTATTTCCGTGACTGCAAAGAACTCAAGCCTCCCGCTAACGCGATGTAATTTTTGTCTCTCTAGCAAATCATTCTTTTACCCCTCGATAACTTGAACCATGCTTTAAGCGGCTGACAAATCCGACATATTGAAATTACTTTACCAAACATGTATTCTTTGTCTTTACTTTTTTGTCAGTCCCGTTTAAATACAGTGTGTCCAGCACTGTGTCAGTTACCAAGCTTTGACATGCACGTTACCGCATGCATTCATTCCACATCCCATTTCCTTAAATCCAGTTACCGCATTTATTCGATTAACCGCCCTGGTAGCCTGCGAAAACATCCGTTTCTCCTCGCTCTTCGTCGCTGGGGACGTTTCGCGCGGAGGAACGTCTGCGACTCAGCGACAGAAATTCCATACTGATGACGTAAAATATGTCCAGAATCCGGTCAGAAGCCCTGATTGGTCGACGGAGTAGTTACATTGTTTAAGCTATTGTTTACGAATGACAGACAAAAGACAACAGGTCACAAAGGTCAAATGTAAATGTGATGAATCTCTAACAAAACAGTCAATATTTGTGGAATGTAGTCTTCTCTAGAACAAACATTTGAGTTTTGCTGGAGCTCGTTCGCAGATGAACACAGCACTTTACTAAAATTGACCAGGAGAAACCTAAAATTGAATAAATTTACATTTGAAACCCCATGACTACCGGATTTATTGAGTAAACATTGATTTGCGTCATCAGTATGGAATTTCTGTCGCTGAGTCGCAGACGTTCCTCCGCGCGAAACGTCCCCAGCGACGAAGAGCGAGGAGAAACGGATGTTTTCGCAGGCTACCGCCCTGGGCGCTTATTAAATTTTTGGACCTTGAAAGTGGGTGTTTCTTCGAGGTGGGCGCTTATTCAAGGCTGGGCGCTTATTAAATTTTCACTATTTTCAGCAAGTGAAGTATGTTTATTTTGCAACGAAACAATAAATGCTAATAACAAAACGCGAAGAAGTAACAAAGCAAGGTTTCTGTAAAATACTCTGAAGAAAACTCCGTCTTCGGGGAAGTCTCCTATTAGAATTTATTCACTCAAGTCTGTGGGGTGGAGGTGAGGCTTATTTGAGTGTGATTGGGAGGAGGAGGGGTAGGCGCTTATTCGAGGTTGGGCGCTTATTAACTTTTTCTGCCTTTAGGATGGGCGCTTATTTGAGGTGGGCGCTAATTCGAGGCTGGGCGCTTATTGGAATAAATTCGGTATTTGCTTCGATCTTCCGATAACTCGAACTCTCGCTAACTCGAGCTTTTTTCGGTTCACCCTATGAGAAGGTTCGAGTTATTGGGAGCCTACTGTATTTTAACCCATTTAAAAGAGTATCATCATCACTAGTTTCGATTTCTCTCCAGTAAATTGAACGGCATGGCGAGATTTCAAATGAAACGATGGTTAGTCGAATCAGAGATAATGAATAGTCAGTACTAGTTGTGTTCATAAAAAGTGATGAAGGTCCCCTGTGATAGTTTATTAAATAGCTTCTGACAAGAAGACAGGAAACTTGATGATAACTCATTTCACCTCCGAAGAAATTTTCCATGAATCCGCCAAGACTGCAACGAAAAAGACAAACCTTTGTAATACTTGTAATCAATTGGAAGCTTCGCTCTATCATTTTCGAGCTCCCTGTATTCATCCTTTAGACTAATGAGTTTTTTCGCGCCCCTCAAGCCTGCGTAGATACCATAATCACAGAAGTATGAAACCCTAAAAACATCATTGTCCAGGAGTCCATCACTGGGTCATAGGCCTCTGCATTCTCCCATTTTTTTAATGAGTTGAATGAACTTATCAGCAAGGCAAAAATCAATTCAGTGATGGCGAGGATGTTACACTTGAATTTTTCCTACATGGAGATATGAATTTCTGAGTATTGTGATCGTGAGATTGAATTCAGCTACAGCAGATTACGCGCCTGCTTGTGGTGTAAAATTCACATCTCATGACAGATGGGATATGGGCAAGTTCATGAGCTATTACCATGTGGAACCAGTGAACTGGCAGGAAGTACATAATCTGAGTCACTCTAAAGAGAACTTTCAATATGAACCTTTACTGAACATTCCCCTTACACATGTTATCGATCCCTGATGAACATCATTTATTGCTAAGAGTAACAGACAAACTACTGCAAAATGTGATTGATGAACGGTTCAGCAAAGAGATGCAATTGAAGATTTTAATAAGCCCTGAGGCGTCAACCAAAGGAAAGATATCTCACAAGACTTGTTAAAGAAATCAATGAACTGGGATCTTTCTCCATATGGAACAAAAAAAGAATGCAGATGGCTCTAAGGAATTCACAGCCTTTTGGGCTTCCAGAAAAAAAAAGCTTAATTCTCAGTGGATTACCCTCAAAACTACACGAGGTACCGTGTAGCTTGCGAGACCATAGCTAGCCAAGAAGGAACTTAAAAGAGAAATCTGCCTACTTCTCCTAGATATTTTAGTACAAGAAAGTGACTATATAGAAACACCTGTCCGTCACACAAAAAGTTCGACTGGCTAAATAATTAATATGTTTAGGTCTTTATTAACATTTCCAGTCTAACGTTATCGCTTTCCTAACTCTGTCTTCATGTAATCAGATGACTTATTGATTTAAAATTTATTTATGTGATAACATTTTTTTAAAAAAAGTTAAACCCTCACCCTCAGTTGTTCTTCTCTGCGGCCTAGATTAGTTTTTGCTACCTGCGGGACAGTGTAATTAATTAAGTTCTTTCTTACAATAAACTTATGTTGTTGTTGTTGAATTTCTCTCCCCTGAAATATGTTCAACAGTAAACAAAATCTGGACAAATTTTGCCAGTCTGTACAATAAAATACCTCAGTGATTTTGATCTGACAGACATGGCCGCTATGACACATTCGACTGAGGCAAAAGCATGGATCGATCTTTTTTGTTCACTGCGTGGGGTTTGTCGTGGATATTCTACGCCCAGAGTAACCCCCTACACGCACCCTCTTCCATATCATTTTTTTTTATTTGTTCAGCAGCATGGCTTTCTGAAAAAATTCACAGGTCAAGGAGTGGAGAAATTACGATGAAGCTGAAAGGGTCATGTTTCACAAATCTAACAATTGGGATGCTGCGGAAGTTATCTTATGCAGAAAGACCACTAGTGGGGTCAAAAACACCACCAGCCAGGGGCACCCAACGACGGTTTCCTCCTAAACACACTGAAAACACTATTTACTTTTAGATGTCTAGAAATGTATTCTAAGCAGCGCTATAAAATTTGTATCTGTTCGGCCACCCTAGGGGAACTTGAGTCTTTTCGATCGAAATTACAAGGGCTTGTCATGAGTATTCAGTATTTTCCTCAAAAATTTTAGATGCAATTTGAAGTAATACGAAAGTCAGACATTTTCCGATTTCTCTCTCCATTGCATTTTTGGGTCCGAAACAGATTTTAGGTTTCCTTTTCCTTATAAAAAAAAATAGCCTAACTTACGTTTCATCTAGAAAATTTAGCCGTCTCAATTCAGTGATAGAAAATTCTAGGCAATAATTGCTTCTTTAAACAGATATTTCACAGAAAACAGTCGTCCCTGACGAGCGAAAACTAAGGGCACCTACATCGAAAGAAAGCTCAGTGGAATACTGGGAGCCTGACTGAGTCAATCAGCCCTCATGAGGGGCATTAATTGGAGCTGAGAGCGTAGTTAGTATCATGCGTTAGCCGTTAGATCTACTTACTCTAGTGTTTGACCCGCCGACCTGCAGGAAACAGACCGCAAGATAAACCAGCGTCATTTGATAAACCCTGATTTTGCTGCGTCACGAGCGCACACTCGAATATATATTGAATCCTACCGCTGCTTTTCAAGTAATGTTACCACAATTGTCCAAACATGATGAACAGCTGACAGGTTAAGCTTAATCAACTGCACATTTCTTGAAGAAATGGAAACATTCTGAACTTTGAAAACAAAGGGTATTTTTTTCAGCCCTGATAGAGTAAGACGGCTTAAAATTAACAGTTTTGCTTTTTTTAATGAAGCTTATACACGGATCACTTTATCTCAAACTGAACAGACTAAAGTCAAGGTCAAGAAATGTAAGCCACATTAATTTCTAGTTTAGTGTTCTTCTCCTTCAAATAGTCGCCAAGTAGGACTTTTATTCTAAATCATTGCTGCTTGCTTGTCTTCGCTCAGGCTTTCAAACATTCTGTTTCAGCGTTACTTTAACTTCGATTGTTCATCATCAAATAGTGAACTGTGAGTGCAAAACAACCACTTGAGGTGAAGAGTGTTCATGGAAGTGCGTCATAGTCATTAGTGATGCTACGTCAAACTCATCGGCGTCTGAGATTTTAGCCAGACGTTAGCGTCATTTCTCTTTCATGATGTCCATGCAACTATCCGCATGTTAAAACAAACTTGTTCAAACTGTCAGATATTAACTGAGAAACCACTGATTACCCTCCTGCACACTACCATGTTCTTTATTCTGTTCATCTACTATGATTGCACACGCAATCTTTGATTCGCCTTGAAGACTTGAGACATTGTGAAGGTTCTGTTTTCATTTTCAGGCAGCTGACAAGTAATGACTACTGTTTTTCTATTTCTTCTGTCGCTGAAAGGACCTTCCATACGTCCCTTTATGCGAGGGATCCACGGCATGTCTTGTGCTCTGGATTCCACGCCGTGGATTCCGAGTTCCAGGTACTCAGTACTGGATTCCGGACTACAATCTTTAGTGGGATTCCGGATTCCAAAGCCCAGGATTTCCGATTCCACAAGCACAAATTTCCATGATTCCGGAATCCCCAAGAAAAAAAATTACCGGATTCACGTACATGGGGCGATTTGATGTTCATGGAAATTTTAAAATGTTTGCGTGCGGAACAAGGACCGCGTTAATCGCTCTCAAAGATCCAAAGGCAGTTTCAAAGTTTGTTGTTGAGTCTGTAATGATTTTTGCATTGGTAAATATAACAGAAACCTCCACGATGAGAAGATTGAACACTTCAAGTCCCTAACAAAAAATGATCACTTCTCAACTATTGCTGACAATGTCACTGCCACCGGACACAATAAAAGGGATCACTTTGAAATCTTAGAATCTGGCAAAACAGATTGTCATTGTAAGATAAAAGAAACATTGTTCATACAAGACCTTAAGCCAGCTTTTAATGTCAACATCAGTAGTGAAAAGCTGATGCTTTTTTAGCTTTTGCATTTTGTATTCATTACTGTTAAGACTTTTTAAACTCTTAATTTCACTTCCAGACCCCTGGATGTGAACAAAACCTGAGCCTGGACCCATGGGCTAGGCATGGGCTACCTGTGGCCCACCCTATGGGCCACCTGAAAAAAACTTGAGAATTAAAAATTCATTGGTTTCAAAAGAGCGCTGCATGATATGGACGAGTTCGGGGTCATTGGAACAATTACAAGCGACGAATTAAAAAGAGCAGAGTAGGGTGTGGACAGGGTCGAGGCATTAGAAGAACGGATGGCACTTTTTTAATCTGCCGTGCGTTCAGATTTCCCGACCCCACCGCGCTCTTTTGAATCCATCCCTCGTTCAAATGCTTCGAACCCGTCTCCATCATGGGGCGCTCTTTTGAAACCAATAAATTTTTAATTCTCATATTTTTTTTTTCGGGTGGCCCACAGGTTAGCCCATGAGCTACCTGTGGCCCCTAAGGCCCAGGTTTTGTTTACACCCTATAATTTTTGAATATATTAAGTCTCGTCACTTTTGAAAATGTATGTTGAATCAGCATACGAAACGTCAATTACATAAAAATGCGAAAACTCATGATGTTTGTCAACGCTGTTTCTGTTTTATTTTTGATCAAACTATACGATGACCCAAGAACTAAAGCATATAAAAAGAGAATATCGGTCGGTCACATAATTTATTCGTCGCGATAACAGGTTTTAAGCCTTATCGATGTTCATCAGTAAGTTTATGCGTGAAGCTATCTCAGCGCGCTATCTAAAGAAATCAGATAGTTTGTCATCAATATCCTTTTATCATGCCTGACGCTATCTAAAAAAATCAACTAGCTTTTTACCAATATAGTAACCTGGCTAATATGGCACTACTACACTAAACTGAGCTAATGACAGTGAATCAGCGAGTAAACATGGCGTATTGAATTTATCACAATTGTTTGCTGATGTGCTCGAAAACAATATGGTGAGATGACGAAGCAGAAACAGCGAATATTCATTACTTTGCAATTGACAGCTGAATTTATAGTAAAGGCTTCAAGGGTAAGGATATTACTGTGATTGGCTCCTAAATGACAACAGGGAAATGAATAACCTTGACTGATTTTCTGCTTAGCTCTGATTGGCTCATATGATTGGTGTCAATTGATGACGCATTTGCAATCCTACCACACCGCGAGGAGGGAAGAACTTGCACGAACAAGCGTCTTTCTCTGAGAAGCGTCAACTTGAGGCACCGGTTTGAACCACCATAATGGCAATTTTAGTACGAACATGTTGCTGCGGCTGTGACTTGAAGACAGGCATTTTGCTTATCGGTATTCTTGGAGTGGTGAGTACTCTGTTGACAAATGATCGAACTCACTCCGGGCAACCGCAAAATGTTCCAAAAACGCGGGTTGTGTTTACACATAATGTTTGGTTCTCAAATGCCGCCGACATCTACCTGCGACATACCGCCCCCGCCGTTCTGCCAGTTTCATTCGCATATATGAGAAAAGAGCTACCGCCAGGCCTTAAGAAGTTTAACTCGAAACAATTTCGCAGGCATGGCGGAAGCGGTAAAGACCACGCCACGAGTGTCTCAGATGGTTTTCTCTGTGTTTTAGAAGCCTGTTGGAGTAATTGGAGTTGCACTAAAAACTATTTATCTGTTCAGGTGTCTTAGGGGGAACTTTGTTCGTAACGAAAGTTTTAGTAGGCTTTTTCGTCTCATCCGATAGTGTTAGCTACCCTCGAGGACATGAAGTAACCTTGTTTTCATAGAAAATTATAGGGGACATTTTGTCCGAAAGTTTTAGGAGACCTTTTTTTAACAGTAATTGCGATATCTTGATATAAAAATGTGAAAACACAAACTTCGAAAGTCGAATTTAAGCTGTTAGAAAAACTCCGAATATTTTAGACGAATAGAAAGGTTATCCAGAAATTTTTAGCTTTTCTCAAGCTTAAGAAATTTCTAGGCAATACTTTCTCCTTCAAACAGTTATTTTACAGAATATAGTCGCTGAGTGCCCCTGAAAGACTGCATTGATGGCTTCTGTTGCCTCATCGAAGGAAATTTAATCAGGACTACTCCGTCAGCCGCATAATTCTGCATGTGATAATTTAAGGAGTTGTACATGCATGAGCGCGGAAAACTGAAGTGGTTCAGGCGTCAGAGCGGAATTCGGCACGCAAGATTCACCGATATTTTAATTTCTACTTAAAACTTTTTATCGATGGTTAATCCCTAGGAAAAAATCTAAACTCTAGGAATCAAATACTAGGGGGAAAAAACGATTTACTTTCTCTTTACTGTGTCTTGCTGCTGAAAACATTTTGCATCCACGTTTGTTTGTAAATTTGCTAGCATTTGAGGTCATGAATCATTTAGCTTTAGTTTGAGCGATACAAAACACTACGTGATAAGGAGTTGTAAAAGGACGCCTCAGTTCCTTCAAAATTCAGTCTTGAAGGTGAAATCACTTTTTCCGCATTGACTTCATCTCCAGTTGCCAATAAAACCAAGTTCGGGTCATTTACTCTCAACAGTTGCCAAATCTGCCGGAACACTTAACTACAACTTTAAAAATATATAATTAAAATAAGCTAGGATCCTTCGATTTCATAAAAATTTCGCTTTTCTAAAGCCTTTGAATTAAATTTCGTTAGCCAGCTGGCCTATATTTTAGACTCTTAGTGACACTCCCTTTACGTTGAATATTTGCCCAGTAGGGTCCACGTAACAATTCGAAACAACAAGATCACCATGATGGGGTACATTGGGCTGCTACCCCGGGGGGGTGGGGGGGGGGTACTCCCTTATATAAGCCATATGGGTATGTGCCGCCCCATCGGGTAGGGTTTTTTGAACAACTGTTTTGTGTGCGCTCTAATCTAACTAATGATAACATAATTTCTACCTAAAGGTCGGGTCTGAAAACGGATATTGATTTTAGAGGTCTAGTCTAAAAACTGGAGTGGAAAATTGCATTTACTGGTCTGAAATCGGGTCAGGATTTGAAAACCCGTTGGACACATCCCCACCAAGAATTTCCAGGCGTACCCCCCTCCCGTTGTTAGAACCTCAGAAGAGCTTTAAATGTAAAATTAGACAAACAAAACTAAAGTTTAATTTGCTTTGCGAGTTTTATTACGAAACAGAATTTAAAACATTGTAAGTTTTTAAGCGTAGAACGACAGCGATTTTCGGAATTTCCGGTAATTAGTCAGGTTATACTGTCAAGTAAAATTTTTGAGGGGAGGAGGATTGGGGAGGGGGGGGGGAGGGGAGAGGAGTCATTGCGGAAATACCTCAGTTAAAAATAACTGCTGTCTTTCCTCGTTCCAAAAAAGAGAGACTTGCTTATTTACATTTTCATTCTTATTGGTGAAATTGATGGTCTATATTTTTCTTGTTTATATCTGAAATGACAAGCTCTAATCCCTTAAAAGTCAAATGATCGCCCCAATCGCTGGGGGACGGGACACGCAACGCCTTTGAGTCAGCGTCCGCCATTTTGTCTTTTTACCTCGGCTTGAGTTATTATGCCACAGGTAGCCCAATAATAATCAGATAGACACCAAAGGGACATATCTTTCGCATAATCACTTATTCAAGTTTCGGTCACGCCTAATTCGTGTTATGTCAGTGACCTTGTTTTGTTGTAAACTGTAAGGTAGCCTGCGAGCAAGCTCTCTTATTTGGGCGAGCGAAGCGAGGCACGAGAAAACTCGCGAGCGAGAGGCGAAGCCGCGCTCGCTTTCGCATCTCCTCTCGCGCGCCTCTCGCGCGTCTACTTTTCACGATATCCCGCAAACGGAGAGCTTGCTCGCAGGCTGTAAGCTTAAAGAAAAAAATTCGTATCGATAGTTCAGTATTGAAGAAGAAGTTGACTTTTTTGTTTTGCAGCTCGGTTCTGGGTATGGTATCTACGCAGGCTTCCAGGGGGCGAAAACACTCATTAATCTAAAGGATACCTACAGGGAGCTCGATCAGGAGGGAGAGAAGCTTCCAATTGATTACAAGTATTACAAAGGTTTGTCTCTTTCGTTGCAGTCTTGGTCGGACTCATCGAACATTTCGGAGGTGAAAGGAGTTATCATCAAGTATCCTGTCTTTTTTTCAGAACTCCTGGTTAATAAACTATCACATGGGACCTTATCACTTTTTTGGAACACAAGAGATTATTTTATCTCTGATTCGACTAACCATCGTTTCATTTGAAATCTCGTCAAGCTTTTAAAAAATGGTTAAAAATACAGTCTATTCCCAATAACTAGAACCTTCTAGCGCGAATCGAACAAAACTCGAGTTAGCAGGAATAATTCGAGTTATCGGAAGATCGAAGCAAATCACTGGAAATATGGAAATGGGATGTGGAATGAATGCATGCTGTAACATGCACACTTCAAAACTTGATAAATCAGGCAGTTCCGGACACTGTACTCTTAACCATGTTAACCGGACTAACAAAAAGTAAAGATAAAGAATACATGGTTTTTGTTAAAGTAATGTCAATATTTTTAAGGAAATTAAAAATTACTTCGAGTTATCGGGAGGTTCGAGTTATCGAGGGTAAAATTACAGTAAGGAGGAGGAAGGAAATCCAAGGGAAATCCGTTTTGGTTCGAGTTATCTGGAGTTGACTGTAACTGAGGTGATTGTGATTTTTAGATATTTTAAATGAATAACTAATTGACGATTGAATTTATGTGGCTCTTGCAATACTATATATTACTTCTAAAAGTCACGAGAATAAGCTGTTGTTGCTTTTGTCGGCATGTCCGTTTAATCTCAAAAAGGTTGTTAAACGTCCATCGTTTGTAAAAAGGCTAGCCTATCCTCTCCACGCTGGAGTTTTTAGGGGAGCCGTATTTTGCTCCCTGCGTAGGGGGCTATAAAAAGGCCCTTTATGTATCAGTTCTGCTGTGCACGCCACACACTGAGTGTCCTTTTTGCTACTTTTATCATTCAGGAGTCGTCAACTTGCTTTACGTTGCGGCTGCTATCAGCATCCTTGGGCTACTGGTCAATCTCATGTTGCTGTTTTCGTTTTGCACGGTAAGTCGTATTAATAAAAGAACGGTTCTTTAATCTGTGACACTGAAAAGTAGGAGCCTTTATGGACATAATTTTAAATGACCTTTGTTCGTTTCTCTTCGCTTTTGACGATCCCTTATAACTGTACAAATCTTTGTTTCCTTCACTGCCTTCCGCCAAATAAAGCTCAATTGACATATAAACATTTCTGTTAACAGGTTCTGAATTTTTCAAAGATTCATCTTTATTCTGGTCAATGTATCACTCGCACTGAAGCAATACGCATTGAATAACAGTTAGCATTTTAATTTTTTTAGTTCAGCACTGTTCGAAGCGGTTTAAGTCTGTTAGCACTGTATGTACCTGTTTCTTTAAAGACTGCAATAAAAAGCAAGGCTGACAGACTCTACATCTGGGAATTAGCACACTCAAATGCGTTTTCGTTTGAAAACGTCGCCTTTGAGTGACAGCTCGGTCAAATTAACCTCGAGCTCCCTTCTCAATCATTTCTCAAATCTTCCCGGATCACTGATCCAGATCCTTTGTTTTCAGAGGTTGGTCATTCCTTGAATATGGATTTCTTAAAAATTAAGCTTAATATAAATATTAATTTGAATTTTTCTTTTTTCTTTTAATTTTCTTAGAGGAATCGTTTTTTGGCGCTGCCATACATAATTTTTTACAGCTTCTCCGTTCTCTACAGTCTGGCCGTTACCATTTTCCTCATTTCAATCTGGCATGGGGTACGTACGAATCTTATTTCTTGATGTGACAGCTTGGTCGAGCGATTGAAGATTGAAGTTCGGAGGCTCCGAGTTTAAGTTCCGCCCCTATCGATATAGGGCTTTCCACAAGTTGCTCGGCAACTTTTTGGCAACTTCTTGTATTTCGAGCAACTTTTTTCGTTTCGAGCAACTTATTTGCATTCTGAACAATTTCTCAAGTTATTTTCTAATTCTGACATATCGGAGCAGCTTTTTGTGTTTAAATTGGTTTTTCTTCCATATTTCACAATGTTTTAGTACACAATTTATGAACTTCCTGTTAAAAAAAGGGGCCAAATCCTTCCCCCTGGGGCAGATCATGGGCGCCAGATAGAAGTAGCCGGGCTAGGTTGGCGGTTTTTGGAGAAAATTCAAAATTGTGGACGAAGGTTCTCACTTGACTGACTTGAGTGTCTGGGGTGAAGAAAGTCGTTCAACAATTTGTATTCTGTACTTATTTTTTCTAACATGTTGTAACTCTTAGTTTAGTATACATCCTTTTCTTTTTCACCAAAATACGACGCGTCAGTCTATAGAAAAACAGTTTGGGGATCTAGCCTCTCGCCGCCCGAGTCCCTACACCCCCTTCCTACTTACTCACACTTTTCCAAGGTCTTATCCCTCAACTGGTTATTTAAAGATGAGATCATCGTTTCTGTACTAAACTAACTTTTTTTGCTGTTGCTTTCTTTCTTTTTACGATTACAGTTCCATTATAGTTTTGCCGTTGACATGGTTACCCCCGTGATAACGGTATGTATTTCAAATCGTTAACGAATTTTGGCTGAAAAGATCGTTAACTATAAGGTTAAAAAAAAAGAACTTGTAATTGCTTAGTAGAACTCAACTTACTCTCACTCATTTACTCACCTACTCACTTACTTTCATTGTACTTATGTTCTTCATAATTGCTTTTCAGATCTACTTTATCCTTGTGGTGTACTCGTACTTTGAGAGCCTTCGTGAAGATCCCTCTGGTTCCATTGCGGGATTTGATCAAGGAAGAGGAACAGTTATGGTATGTTACTCTTCCATGCCTCTTTGTCCCATGTAAACTTTGATCCCATCCTGTAATTTCTTTTCCTTTAGTGCGTCTTTTATCGTCTCTACTTCCATGGTTAACGCTCTTCTTTTTTCCCCTCATTATTCTCTTCTCTCCCTCCAAATAAGTCTGTCTATCCTTTTCTTAAACCTTAGTGTATGACCACTCAAATGAAAGAAATGGGTACTCACATGGGTCTGAAGTTATTTTTGATGAAGTCATAAAAATGGGTTTCATGTTTTTTTTTTATCTGGCAGATGCAAGTGGGAGGTCCTCCAGCTTACGCAAAGTTTTGAGCCGCGGAAGCCCGGCGCGGAAGTTGTCGAGTGGCGAAAAAACTAAACTGTTTACAGTCGCCTCTATTTCCATTAGATCACCGAGACCGAGCACTTACTAACTAATGAACGAACATCCTGGTGTGCTGCGCTTCTTCAAATGACTGAGGCGATATTGTTTAAGATAACATGGCTGTCAGTGATAGCAAGCGCTCGATCTCGACGATTTTACGGAAGCATAGGCGACTGTCTTGAAACAGTTTAAAGTAAAACGTCCAGTCGTTGTTGTTTTGTTTTTTTTTTTAAGTAGATTAGAGCTTTTTATATATTCTGGCATAGCATCGAGTAGTGATAACATTTAAATGAGTGAAAATAAAGCCCAAAGATACATTGAGTAGATACTTTTGATATGCTAAATGAAGGTCCATTCAGCCACTGCATGGCACTAGCTTACTGATAGGTTCCAGCCGGCCCCAATTTAAAACTAAGATTTAAAAGTTATTAAGGATCGAATAATTAGAGAAAATGTCTTCAATTAGCTTGCACGTTTGTAAGCCGAAGCCTATTACTTTTAGACTAAATGTAGTCATGTAAACTATGTTTAACGATAAATGGTGTCAACAAGAGCGGTAACAGCCCCGGTGGGGTACTCCCGCGAATTTTGGATAGGGGTGTGCCGCGAAAGTTCGTGAACCCTAACCCTATTTAAGGACTAAGAAAGCGAAAACTGATACCCTTTTTAAAGCCCAAAGCCGAAAAATGACACCCTATTCAAAAGAGGCCTTACGTGTATTTACCCGCTTAACGGCTATTAAACCTCTGTTGCAAAATCATTTTGTTAATACTTAAACGGATACATAAAGTTAAAAAAAAACCGTTCGTTTAGGCGGGCGTTTTCACACTCCAGTATTAGATAATACAATTAAGCTACCCTATTTAAGGACCACACCAGGGACACGGAAACAAAAGGGTCCAAAAAGATTCCCTATTTAAGGACCGAGCACCTCAAAAACCATACCCTATTCCGCGGCACGTACCTATATAGCCCATATATGGGAGTACCCCCCCCCCCGGGTAACAGCCCGGAAAACAAAAACAAGTCCACGTGAGGAAGCCAATACTATCGGTTACGATTCTCTGTGCTGGATTTCATAGGGGCTGTGGTTAAATACCTAACAACTTGTAAAAGTAATTCTTAAGATTTTTGCTTGCGTTGACAAGTTAACGTAATATTTTCTTATTATCATTGAATCGTATTCAAGGCATTTCGGTTAAAGTAGAGGGCACTAGCATTGAAAGAACACAATCATTCAAATACCTAGGCGTAACGCTTCAACAGTCTATGTCCTGGGCAGATCACGTCGATGCTATCAGCATGAAGATTAATCAGAGAATAGGCCTATTAGGAGAATCAGGAATCTATTGCCGCTACAAGCTAGAGTTGCCTTGTACAATGCCCTAATCCTCCCTCTTTTGATTACGGAGACGTTATATGGGGGACAAAAACAATGACACCATCATGTCAGAATTACAGATTCTACAGAATAAAGCTGCTAAAGTTATGCTGGGGCAACCACCCCGAAGCTCGTCAACTGAAGCACTGAAAAGTCTAGATTTGAAGTCACTGTCCACAAGAAGGTTTTTTCATCGCTGCATTGCAATCCACAAGTGTCTTATTGGAGAAACCGATTTCAGCTTTAATTTTACTAAAAGTCAAGCTGTTCATTCATATAATACAAGACGCTCTAATGATATTCGCTTACCCCTACCCAGAACAAACTGGGGTAAACAAACTTTTATTTTTCACGCCGCGAAAGACTGGAACAGCCTTCCAAATGATTTAAAAGAGTGTAATATTTTATCTATTTTTAAATCCAAGTTAAAAACTTTTTTAAAAGATCTCAGCTAATTTTAAACCTTGATGTTTTTTTGTATAATCGATTTTAAGATTTTAAATTTTTAAATTTGTTTTACTTGTAAACATGTTTTACTTTTTTCGTAATTATTAATTAATTTAGTTAGATTAATGCATGAGGGCCCCACTGAAAACCGCCTTGGCGAGTTGGGCTCCCTCTATAAATATTATTATTATTATTATTATTATTATTATTATAAGCATACAGTAGTACGAAGTGAGTGTAAAAACTAGAATTAAAGTCCTGCAAATTGTTTGCTCTGCCTCCTCGTTGTTTTTGCCCGGTAGAAACCGCGAGTGTATAAAGTAGCCTATAAACCGTGGCAAAAACCATTTCCGATTAATGCTACAGGCCCCTTGGTCCCAGAGACTTTTCTTGCGCGGTTCCCGGTTTCCGGTAAGTCTTAATGGCGCGCGTTAGCGCCTGCCTCGTACCCAGACGTCTCTCTTCGATGTGCGCGCAAAGGAAGGCGGGAACCCTTCCCATGGTCCCTTGCGGTTCATCACCAGTCACTCGCGTTTCGCGCTCGCCTCTGCCATACGAAAAACGAAGCGCCCAAGGTGGAGGTTGCGCTAGCGCTATGCCGCTCGTGGCTTTGGCCTTCGGCCGGCACAGATCCGCTGAAGATTTCCGCCGCACGTAAGAAAAGCCTCTGAGAGCGCCTCGTCTGACCTCAAAATCTGGATCTGACAATGCTTAACTGGTCAGGTCAATACATTTTTAACTCGTGGGAACGCGCGAGCGTACCACGAGTAATTGCAGGGACTAGGATATGCAAATTAGTCGCCCGCTTCCTCGCAGTAGACGGACACCGGGTCGAGGCTTGTCCGAATTCGAGAGTGCAAAGATCTATCGTTTCCGAAGAAGCACACACTCGCCGAAATTCGGTGTGATCAAATTCTTATGAGAACGTGCATCGATCGTTTGTGTCGTTCTCTGCCCAGACTCAGAGTTTTCTTTGTGGCAAATTTTCTACAGCACGGTTAGAGGTCTTACCAAATTTAAGACACGCAGTAGTCTTTCAGATGAGTACGATAGTTAACTTCGGGATTGGATCGACGAGAAGATGAGCATTTGCTCTTCGACTCCGCAAGATCACGGGGGATATACAAGTTCCAGCTTGCTGGAAAGTGATCAGAAAGTGAGAAAATATCATGTCATGATATTCTTAAGAACCTGTATGAGCCAAAAATGGATGCGATTTTGACCATTAGCTTCAAAATAACAGCGGAAATCGAGATAAGGCAGTGATGAGGTAACATATGTTTTCCGTCGTACCACGCAGACGTGGTGTATCGGCTTTGTAAAGCATAAAATGTATGTTCTTTCCTTCATTCATTGCCTCGAAATTCGTTTACACTGTTTTTGCTGTTGTTTTTTTTTAAACTGTCAATAGCTCCGTTTATGCGGCTCGATCATCTTTCAACGGCGTTTATGGTGCAGAGTTTGAGTCCTACTCCGCACCTTTGTTTCTTCCATCTTTTCTTTTTTTTTTTTTTCCCCGTTTTTGTTTTGTTTTGTTTTTGCTTATTGTTTTGTTGTTTTTCTATAACCAAAATGATAGCGAAAGTTGGCCACGTTATCAGCCTTTCACGCGCTATTAGCCACGCTATTGGACGGTACAGGAAGAGAATTAAATTGGTTTTATTAACTTCACTCAGTTCACTGGCCCAGGCTTTTGGGAAGGGGCCCCTAAAGAGTAATTTTTCCTTATTTGTAAGTAAATTAACCAATTGTTTATAAAATAACGAGAAAATGAATAAACAAATTTGGTCTCGGAAATATTGAATTTTCAAACGGTGCCGTTATCAATTAGGCATGTAATCATGGATACTGGTCATCTTTATATAAAGGATCTAAATACATATCTTATCTAATTATCGCATATAATGTAAGATATGTATTCCGATTGGCAACTAAAAATGATAAGAAAGAATTGAAAAACCTAATAAATATTTTGCTGAGCTCTGGTTGGCCAATATCAGCTGGCGGCCGCTAATTAACTTGCCGACACAGTTTCACATTTCCTTGTCTCAAGGAAGCAAGAAAAGCAAAATTGAGAAGCCTGCCGGAGAGCGCCATCTTAAAACACGGGTTTGACAAAACCATGACAATACTTGTGCGAACATGTTGTTGTGGCTGTGACTTGAGGACAGGCATTTTGCTTATCGGCTTTTTGGGAGTGGTAAGTAAACACCAATTTAACTTTCATTATTACTCCAACAGCGGCGGGCAACAATGTTAGTTTAGCTTAACTTTAAGTGCGAGTTTTGCCCATGCACTTGTTTGATTCAGTGGGGATCACTCAAGAATTTCAATTTAAATAAGTGCTACGTACTCCACTGAATAATCTCATACTTCTACCATCTTTGTGTATGTTATAGTCTGAGGCAGTTTTACTTAACCGGGAGATACCGACATGCGGAAAAAGGCCAGCAACTAAGGTTCAACCTCACTGAGGTTGATAGGACTTAAAGATGAATATAATGACTGTGGTGATCCCTTCGCCAAAATAAGATTAACCGACTAGAGCAACCGGTTTAATCTCTGTCTTGCTCTGTTTGATTGAACTGATATTTTGCAAAGACACCCAGTTTGAATGGAATTTTTAAAATCGAGCTGTCATTTCAGGGTCATGATTGTGTAACAGTACTGTAGTTTGCAAGAGTCATACCTATCACTGATAGAAAATGTTCGCATAAAGGCAAAATGTATAGTTCTCATTTTGTGTCTGCCACGTGGTTGTGCTCGAACTTCCGCATTATTGAATTGCCTTTCAGTTACCGGTTCAGTCTTTTTATTCAAAAGGTACCACTTTTGTTTGCCAAGCACCTCATTTTTCCTTTGAAGCAACGTTAATCTCAAAAAGAAACTAAAACTTCACTTTTTAAGCCTAAATTAAACTAGCGTAGGATTCTCATAGCTTATTGTTAGTTCTAGTTATGGACTGTTATAGGACTGTTATAGGACTACATGCATGTAAACTTATCTAATTTCAGTTTTGTATCGTGTTTTAGTTTTGTAGTTTAGCCCACAGTCTTCATTTCTATACAAAATAATTTCTGTCATTCTGACCACAGGCCGTATAAGCCCCCGGCTTTGGCTTTACTGAGTTTGTACTATATGAGCGATGGAATAATAAAGTTAAAGTTAAAGATGGAACTGTTTTTCAGTCGTGACAACGTATTGAAAATTTTGGTTTCCGTTAACAACACACGACGCGCATCATTAACTGAATAGAGATTTCACGGTCTGCATAATTCTAATTCTATTCCTTGTCTCAAGGAAGGAAGAAAAGCAAATTGAGAAGCCTAGTCTGCCGAAGACCGCCAACTTATAATTAGAACAGGGGTTTGACAAAACCATGGCAATTCTTGTCCGAACATGTTGTTGCCGCTGTGACTTGACCAATCTTCTTTGACGGAACTGCTTTTCAGTTGTCACAACTCATCGAAAATATAACTTCCTTAACGCTAGAGGCGCCTCATAAACAGATTTCAGGGTACTATGTATGCTGTTACAAAAGTTTGTGCTCTTTGCACCAGTGTAAGTTTAATTATGTCGTTCGAATTTAGACATCTTTTGCTTAATTTTATACTGGTTTTACTCTTTTTATTGAGGAATCTATTTCTTCACATTCTGATCAAACAGCGCTTACAACTAATCGGATACAAGCCCCATTAAAAAATAGTTTTGTAGTAGTTTCGTCAGCCATTATTTCTTTTGTGCATGATTTGCTCTTTTGAGTGGAAATTTTAAATTTCATGGTGACTTATTGTGAGCCATCCACCTGCCTTTCCCTTTTAACCAAAAAAAATTAAATAAAATTGATTCAGCAAACGAGCAGCAAGATATCGGCACAAATGTATAAAATAATACTCAATAAAGCTAATACTCTGATTCTCTGGGTAAGACACGAATTATTCTTTTATCAGTCAGTGGGTGAAAGTGTCGCAAGTACTCCAAACAATTGTACTGTCTCATTGTTTCCAGCTTACTACATTGAAGTTTGCATCAATTACCAATCGCCCTGAATTTTCCAATCCGCAATGAGCATGAAAGTTTTCAGGCAACCACTCCATGATTTTAAGAACGAAACTGATTATCAATTCTTACTTAGTCTACCAAACAACAACTTATAATGGTCAATGTTTAAAGAGAAAACTTTTTAACCTTAGATCCGTGCATTTAGTCGGCATTCGACCAAATTAAACCTCGTCTTTGTCTCTCACAGTCTACCAAAAGCACAAACAAAATTGACCGTCCATAACTACGGCGGCACGGACCTGAATTTCTTAGAACTCAGGAAAACGTTAAAATTATTCTATTACAGATCGGCTGTGGTTATGGGGCCTACCAAGGATTAAATCGCGTCAGAACACTTATTAATCTCAAGGAGAAGGCCAAGGAACTTGACAACGAAGGAGAGATGCCATTTGATTACAAATATTACAAAGGTTTGTCAAGCTTTTAATTTTCGTCTTTCGTTCCAGCCTTAGATCATGAGAAATAGAAAAGAAGTTTATTTCTTTTAAAGTGTCATTTTTTCCATTTTTTCCATTTTTTTTTTTTCAGTTTCTCTTCACCGCATAAATTAAGAAGATGCAGTTTTAAAATACTCATCTGTTCATTTTGTGGTTGTTGTTGGGGTACTGAGTTATTGTAACAGTCTGCGACCTTCTTCAATTACCCTGATCTTACAGAAGGGGTGGAGGTTGACGGATCCTGCAGGAAACGCGAAGGAGTACCCACAATTTAATTCTAAAACTTCAAATCCTAAACAATTTATGTTACTTGTTAAATATTTACCGGAATTTTAAGGCCCTTTTCTGACTAATAAATTTAAAAATTGTTGTCTTTAGCTAGAACGATTTTAACTTTTTGAACTCCCGTTATCAGACGTTTGAGAGGTATTCAAGAGGGGGACTTAACATGAATCACTGCTATTAGAGGACAGCCCACATGTTACACAGTCAGGCTACATGCGTAGCCTGGGTAGCCTGCGTAGCTGGCGAGATTAAGGGGGACGTGCTGTTGTTTTTTGGCGGCGGAGCCGTGAGAATATTGGTAGCAAGTCATAAAATCCAGCGAGCAATCCCGACAGCTACACAAGCTAAGGTTGCACAAGCTGTTATTTAATTTCTTTATATCTTCTTTACCATTATCGTTCAGATGTCATCAGCTTGTTCTACGTAAAGGCTGTTGTTAGTATCTTTGGACTACTGGCCAATATCATGTTGTTGTTTTCCTTTAGCATGGTGAGTTTTATATCTCTATATCATTGCTCAAATTAATAATTATATTCATACTACTACACTAAAAATTTCTGCAATTTGATTGGCTTAGAGCAGTGGTATTTCAGCTTCATTTGAAATACCTACATGTGAAAATTACAAACCTTTTGCGGGTAGTAGTATAAACAAATAATAGGATGTCTGTACGTGATAATTGGCATAAATACCACTCGTGATATTTCAAAATTGTCTCAAATTTCACTTGTCTAACGGTTCGTGAAATTACGTATAACAATTTCGAAATATCCCTCGTGGTATTTATGCCAAATATCACTACAAATCATGCTATTACCTATACTGATACTGCAGTATTTCAGTTTAATTCTGTGAAAAACCGTTTTTTTCCTATTATGCATAAAAGATGCTTTTATTTCTTTTCTCCTTTTTTTTTCTTTTTAATGAAATCGTTAGAATGAAGCGGAAGGGAAATGTTAATCTCAGCGCTTCTTGGTGATTTTCTAATTCATCTAATTTGATGCACAAGGCGGTTGTTACGTAGATCTACCAAGATCCCATACCTTTGTTTGTCTTAGTTAGTAAGTATTGACCTGGTTCAAAACAATGCAAATCTTTAATTTTTTTTTCATTATTTTTTTATAGAAAAATCGTTTTTTGACGCTGCCATACATAATCCTTTACACCTTCTCCGTTTTCTACGATCTGGCCGTTAGTATTTTCCTGATTGCAATTTGGGACAAGGTGCGTTTATAACTTTGTGCTATTCATAGTTTTGCAAATTATGAAGAACGGGTCTTTGCTTTAGGGAATGGAAGGGCACGGAGGGTCAATATCCCTTTTTTTCTGCATTTATAAAAATAGTAGACTCGTTGGGCCGAGAAAAATGTTTCACGAGACTGCCCCCCGCCCCCCCTCTCTCCCTCCCTTCATCACGTTAAATGAAGGTCTTGGTGTGTGCCCACTGTCCGCCCCCATTTCTTAGTTATGCGCGGACTGCTTGATCCGTCTCTAAAAAAGAGATGGCTAACGTCAGTTGGTCTTATTTTGAGCTCATCGTTGGAGTCACTAACTTTAGTTTTTTCGATTGCAGTTTCAGTATACTTTTGCCATTGAGATTTCCTCTCTAGTGCTAACGGTATGTACTGGAATGATTATGTCGTAAATGAGTTTTTACTTCTAAGGTCGTCAACTAGGACACCACTGATACCGTTCCTTTGGCCAATTTGTGTACGTATTTTTTTCTTTTCACTCTTATCATAGTGGCAGGAGGGGCTGCCTACCATAGGGAAAGGGGCTTATTAATATCAATTAAATAAAGGTGGGATGGTAAAAAATACGCGTCTGTCTATGGTTCGTCCGGGGGAGGTGGTTCTCTGCCTAGTTATAGGCTAATGGGGATGTGCCGCTGGATTGGGTTGACTGGATTGACTATAATGGGGTTACATTTTCGGTAGAATTACTAGAAGGGGTCCGGGATAGGGCAGCTTTTGCGGGAAGCTTTTTCACACCATTAATTGTGCTTATTTACATCAAGTGTTATCAACTCTCTCTCCAGGAGCCCACGGCTGAGCCCAACCTCGTTCCCAGGGCGCTTTTTCCTGGTGGGGCGGGAAAATCGCCCGGGGAACAAGGTTGGGCCTGATCTATCTGGCCTTGTTTTGTGTAGCTAGCTCGAATGTTTTTATGCCTTTTTAAGATCTACTTCATCCTTGTGGTGTACTCGTACTATGAGAGCCTCCGTGAAGATCCATCTGGCTCCATTGCGGGATTTGATCAAGAAACCGGAACTGCTATGGTATAATGTTCTACTATTTTTTCATTTATTAAGGGACCGGTCATTATTTATCGCCTGGGGGGCGAGGGGGGGGGGGTTGGAGGATTTGGGGTTAAACAAGGTGAAATTTAGCCGATCCCCCCTTTGAATGTTACTTCACAAAAATGATCCCCCTTAATAACATTTAATAATTTTTGCCATCCCCTCCTCCTCCATGCCTTCATTTTCTAAGCAAATTTGAGTGGTTCCCCCTTTTGGGTTCTTAGTTACGACAGGTTCGCCCCTTTCGTTCTCCTAAAACTCAAGTTATCCGCCCAAAAATCCCCCCACCCCAACAGACGATAAATAATGACGGGTCCCCTAATAAAGAGAGAATAATGTACCAGAGAGATAATCTTAGGGCGTCGGCCGTGGTATGTGAATTTCACCAAGGTTATTTTTAGATTAAAGAAAGTCTAATTTCTAAGACGTCCGCACATTTTGATCAGTTGTTTGAAATGCCATCAAATCCACGTGCGACTATACATCAAAGCAATTAATGCAGAATATTGATGACTCTCTTGATAATACTAAATAAAAGTCTATGGACCTCTCCGGAAACACACTTTCGATTAGTTTCAAGCGTTTAATTCATCTAAAAATAACTAACCAAGGGCTAGAATGGACATTTCCTCTCTGGCTTCTCGTTATCCTCTCTTGATCCCTCTCATCTCTCTTCAGCAGCTCTTTTCCCATTCGTCGTTTCTTTCTTAACTTGTTTGATTTTATTTCAACAATCCTTCATCCACAACCCTTAAACTTCCATTTTCTGCTTTTAGTTTTTTGGTTCTTTTACAAAATAACCCTTTACACAATTTGCTCTCAGCTCTATCCTTTTGATATACCTTGGCGAGTGACCATTTATTCAGTGTATAATTTTGTTTGTCTTTCTCAACTGATCAATTTAGCTGAAATATTAAAAACGGCGTTGTTCTTTTTCTCGCGCAGGTGCAAGTGGCTGGACCTCCTACTTACGCACAGCTTCGTTGAACGCGTTTGATTTGAACCACGGAAATCGTCGCGGGGCGGATCGGGAAAACTGAACTGTTTACAGTCGCTTTTTTCCCTATCTGCGAGATCAAGCACGGTAACTTTAACGGACGGCCATCTTGGTTTTGAATAACTACTAATGGACCGTGCGTCTGTTTCGGATCTCGACAATCTTATATGATCTTATGGGAAAAAGGAGATTGTAAATAGTCTAAGAAAAAACTCACAGTTATCGTTGTTTTTGAGTAAGGCCTTGCATGCGAAAGGAAATGACGTCAGCTTGCTTCAGATCTCGTTGTATTAACTTTATTTTGGCCATTTCCTTGGTAAAGCCACGACGGAAAAGATAACATTGTTCAATGATTATCATGTCGAATCATGCAAGCCCAAGCCTATTTCGTTTCTCAGAAATGGCCCTAATGTCGATCGTCTTTAACTTAGTACTAAGTTGTGATTGTTGTAATAACGATCTTGAAGATAACTTTAGTTTCAACGACTGTGCATGTATTAAATGGGGGTAATAGTGGGTGAAAAGTCCTATAGAATAAATGCCTATACTTCAAGATCGGATGGCATCATGCTTCTTTCAGTTTTTTAGATCATGGATGACGTAGTCATGCCATGGGCTTTTGGAGGCACTCGAATGGCACTCGATCACTCACTCACTCACTCGATTCTCATTAATTTATTCATTAAAGCCAGATTAAACACTTAACTCTCACCCCCTTACTTAGTATTACTTTTGTTCCAAGTGCCTATTACGCATATGTTTGGCGTATTCTAGAGGGTACTGGTAAAAGAGTAGATTTTTTCCCGGACACATTATAAAGATGGGGTTTGGATAATGGAGATATTCTAAAGAACACTGACAATATCATCTGCAAGAAATGGACTTGGAATTGTTAAAAGGACATTGAAATAATTGAGCGTGGATCATTGTTGTACATTTGGACGAATTGTGCACATTTGTTCCCGATATAACTTGATAAGGAGAAGATGCAATCGACAGGAGTGTGAAAGAGCTATTGCAGCCTAACGATCGCTATGGGATTTCGTTCAACGAAAAAGCGAATATGCCAAAGAGTCAGCGCCGTAGCTAGTATGAGGCCAACCGAGGCACTCGCCTCGGTAAAATTTTGACGAATTTCGCCGATCATTTTTATTTTACATAAGCGATCATCGGATATTTTTAACGCATCATGATATTACAAAGAATTCAGCAATTCAGTCAATATACTATGAAAAAATTACCATATCATCGATCTCAAGGGGCTACGTACGTTAACTCAAATTTTTTTTGAACAAATACTGATCAAAACCATTGGCGAGGTTAACGGTCACCCAGATTATGTAGCTTGTTTCTGATTATTGCTTTTTAAATTCCACTTAAATTAACTCGAAAAAAAGTTACCGAAAGGCCCAGAAAACGCTGCAAATCGCATTTCCGAGAGACTAAAGTTCAAAATTTCTCGGGGGGCATGCCCCCGAACCCCCCTAGCAACTGCCGCCTGCCTCGGTTGGCCGTTTGGTCTGGCTACGGCACTGAAGAGCCTTTATAGCTGCCAGAAAAAACGGTCCTCGAGTTGTTAAAGCGACATTGAGGAGTATCTATTGTGGTTTATTCAATTATTTGGACGAATCCATTCGACGATTTGTCTTCGTATGCAAACAGGGAATGAAATAATGTGGTGTCAACTGGAAGCACAGGTTTTAGAACCAACAAGCGTTACGCTTTTTTGCTTGAATTCTTTGGTGATCTTTGCCCAGCAGGCTTTTGTTTGTCGACGATTCCATTTATCAGTGCTATTAATGTAATTTGTACGGAAAATGCTGCGTTGGTATAAACAAGTTTCTAGAATATTCAGGTAGAGAAAAAAGGCAATCGGATACTTCCACTGCGTTTAAATTACTTAGCTTGGGGTCAGAGCATGTACAGCTTCGAGCTTCGTCCGTTTGATTAAAATAATTTTTAGCTAATGTTAAGCAAAATCGCGTTCTAAAGCAGTTTAATTTAACCATAAACGCCTGTATTCTGTAATTAATAGCTCGTACTACGAAAACAAACCGTTACTTGCTCTTTGTGAACATTTATTTAAAAGAATCGCACTTATAGGAATTCTTCGAGGTCCATTAAAATAATTGTTTAAAACCACGGTTTAAATAAAACTCGGGCTTATGTAAAATTTAACTACAGTCGACTTCCGATAACTCGAACCTTCAAGGGCAATCGAAAAAAGTTCGAGTTATTGGGAGTTCGAGTTATCGGGGGCTCGAAGAAAATAGCCGGAAGTAAGGTGAAAAACAGTTTTTACTGTACAGTGAACATTTTAATCACATTTTATTGCAGAAATGTTAAGTGAAAATTGAAAGATACTTTCAGATTGTAAATCACAACGTACAACGTAACAACGTAACATAGTCTAAATAGAGCCTCCGTTTTACTGTTTTGAGAAGTAGAGCTGTTTCACGTTAGATTTGTGAGAAACAACATCAGCCTCCACTAGTGAACTATATCTGCAACAAGTCAATGGGACTTCAAACTCCAATGTTTCGGACGCCATTACACTGTTTTTCCTGACTTTTTAAGCGCTCAAAACATGGTTCGAGTTATCGAGGGTAAAATTGTATAGAAAATGACCTGAGGGGAAACGAAAATTGGTTCGAGTTAGCGGGAGTTCGAGTTATCGAAGGTTCGAGTTACCGAGGGTAAAATTACAGTAAATGTATGGCGGAAATCCAAGGGAAATCGATTTTGGTTCGAGTTAGCGCGAGGCCCAGGGGGGGGGGTACTCCCTAATATGGGCTATATAGGTATGTGCGGCCCCAAAGGGTAGGGTTTTTCAGCCGTTTTGGTCATAAATTGGGTATCGATTTTGGCTATTTTGCCGCCATTTTGGTCATAAATAGGGTAACGATTTTTGCACTGTGGTCTTGAATGCACTTTTTTAGAAGAAGCTACTTCCTTATCATGTCCCCCTCCTTCCATCCGCGCTTTGCCTTCCTCTCCACCGGCTGCTTTGTAGGCTAGAAAATACAAGCAACAAAAGCCCTTCACAAAATAGGATATCAAATTTTTGGTTAGGTCATAAATAGGGTAGGGAAAATCGCAGATTTTGGTCATAAATAGGGTAAGGGTTTTGGGAAGCGGGCCGCACACCCCTACCCAATTTTTCTGCGAGTACCCCCTCCGGGCGCGAGGTTCGAGTTAGCGAGGTTACAAGAAAGTGCAGTGTCGTTCGGAAAGTGTTTGACAGTCACATCAAAAAAATTTGTTTTGCTAACAAGATCGATCCTGGACATATCTCATTATTTTACAACTAACAAGTGTTAATACTTGCTTAAAGTGATCTTTGCGTTATCAGTACAAAGTAGTTCTAAATGCAGCGCTGATAACAAGTTTCTAGAATATTTATGTGCACATGCAATTGAATACTTCGAGTCACCCCGTAATTTGGCAGGTCCGTACGTTTTTCTGTCTTTTCTACACTAATTCAACTCATCCATGAGCTCGCTCCTAGGAGCCTTTGATTCTCAACGAAGTGTCACTTCCCGTAGCAATCTTGGCAAAACAACAAGTTTCTCATAAAATTATTCCATAGTGTGACGGTGCTTACGCTGCGGCTCGGCGGGTTCTGATATTCGGTAAAGGCGAACCATATTTTGCCTTTAAAATCTCCTGCTCCCACTTCTATGGGCCATGTTTTAAAACAACCCAAGTTAGGTCTTCCTGTCGATGATATGGACGTGCTGCCCGAACGCCACTTCCGGCCAGAGTCCTATCAACTGGGATCGTTGTTTAGGGAACATGGCTCATGCTAAGATCTATTTGGTTATTTTTCAATTTCTGTTGGCTGCAAATCACAGTACTCAAGGTGAGTAACATAATTATTCCCGTTGATTCCGACGCCTTGCGGTCGCACAATTGGCCGAGCAAAGCTCCGAATACGAACAGCCGACGCGATTAGCTTGGCTAGGTGTTTTTTCTTTAAGAAATTGAAAATTGATTACTCAGCATAGTAGCATTGTTTATAATGGGAATCATTTTGTTCATTAGTTACCAAACGATACGATCGATTACTCGCTCAGTGAGTGGTATATAAGTAACTCAATGTTGTCAATAGATACATGTTTTTATAGCGTATTTCATAAAACTCAAGCGGAAGTTGAAGAAGCTTCATCCAAAGCACGGGTTTGGAACCCTCTCTCTCCTCCGTTACACCATGAAAACAAAGCAAAATACGTACAAAATCAATGTTCTTGTCATTTTAATAAGATTTCAATAACAAAGACAACAAATATTTCCTTAGTAAAGCCACGACGGAAAAGATAAGACTGTTCAATGATGATCATGTCGAATCATGCAAGCCGAGGCCTATTTCGTTTCTCAGAAATGGCCCTAATAATAACGATCTTGAAGATAACTTTAGTTCAACGACTGCGCATGTATTAAATGGGGGTAATAGTGGCTGAAAAGTCCCGTAGAATAAATGTCTATACTTCAGCAGACAAGATCTCATGGTATCATGCTTCTTTAAGTTTTTTCTCAACGAAGTGTCACTTCCCGTGGCAATCTTGGCAAAACAGCAAGTTTCTCATAAAATTATTCCATAGTGTGACGGTGCTTACGTAGCCTGCGAACCGTAGACGCATTTCCGGTCGTCGCTTCTAGGGAGAGAAGCGACGACCGGAAATGCGTCTGCGGTTCGCAGGCTAGTGCTTACGCTGCCTCGGCGGGTTCTGATATTCGGTAAAGGCGAACCATATTTTCCTTTAAAATCTCCTGTTCCCACTTCTATTAAAGGCTAGGAAGGCCTGAACATGAAATAAAATGTTTTCACAGTGACGTCATCAAACTCTGAAAATAACGAGTTCTTCTGAATTTTGAGCTTCTTTCGTTCAACGGTTTCAAACACCTTTTTTCATTGCGTGGGCAATGAAAAAACAGGCCATGTTTCAAAATAACCCAACTTAGGTCTTCCTGTCGATATGATATGGGCGTGCTGCCAGAGAGAACACCACTTCCCGTATCCTATCAACTGGGATCATTGTACAAGGAACATGGCTCATGCTAAGATCTATTTGGTTATTTTTCCATTTCTGTTGGCTGCAAATCACAGTACTCAAGGTGAGCAGCATAATTATTCTCGTTGATTCCGACGCCTTGTGGTCGCACAATTGGTGAAGCAAAGCTCATACGAACAAGGAACAGCCGATCAGCTTGGCTAGGTGTTTTTGCTTTAAGAAATTGATAATTGATTACTCAGCGTATTAGCATTGTTTATGATGGGAATCATTTTGTTCATTAGTTACCAAACGATACGATCGATTACTCGCTCAATGAGTGGTATATAAGTAACTCAGTGTTGTCAATCGATACACATTACAGCGTATTTCATAAAACCCAAGCGAAAGTTGAAGAAGCTTCATCAAAAGCACGCGGGTTTGGAACCCTCTCTCTCCTCCGTTACACCATGAAAACAAAGCCGAAATACGTACAAAATCAGTGTTCTTGTCATTTTAATAAGATTTCAATAACAAAGACAAAAAATATCCAGTTCCACAACGCTGAGTAACCGGTTTAGCTTCAAGAATGGGATCTTTTATAGTAACGACAACGTTGATGGCCTGACGTCAAATATGGCAACCGGAAGTTGATATTTCTCTTTTCCTTTCAATGATCTGACTCGACAAATTCGTACAGTGGGAGCTAAAACAAAGGCATTCAGATTCGTTGAGTGAAGCGAGACCGCATCGAGCTTGACCAGGAACAACACATGTAAACCAGTTTCAGTCGTCATAATTTCCCCTGCAAGGTTTCACGTACCTTCTGTCGCCCCATGCAAGGGAATCCAAGACAGTTTTGGATTGTGGATTCCGGATTCTTGCAACTGGGTTTCAGTCTCAGTCAGTGGAACTTGGATTCTGGATTGCAATCTTAAGTGGGAGTCCGGATTCCTTGAACAGTATTCTAGCCTGCTAGCAAGCTAACCGGAGCGCACCCCACCGCAAGAGTTCCACGGAGAGCTTGCTGGCAGGCTAACTGTAGTCAGGATTCCAAAGCCAAGGATTCGGATTCCACAAGCAAAAGTTTCCTAGATCCCGGAATCCGGATTCCCTTACACAGGGCAACTTAAGGGCGAAATCGTGCTTGCAACTCGCGCGTATACATGTATAAAGGAAAGCACTTACTGTTAATATATATAATATATATATATATATATATATATATATATATATATATCTGTGTGATTTTGCTAAAAGGTGCCCGCTAAGTTTTCGCTTGAACACGGACATCACCCGTGTTCAAGCCAGTGTAGCCGCAAAAAAAAAAACAAAAAAAAGGGGGCTTGTCGTCTTGCTAGGTGTCAGCAGAGAGCCCAGGCCCAGACCTATCCGTGGGTGGGTGGCCTGCTTGTTTTGTGTAAAAACCAGGGTTGTAGGGAGGGGAGATTTTGTCACTTTGATTAGAGGAGATTAATAAAGTTATTATTATAATGATGATGATGATGATGATGATGACTGGAATTATGAAAACATGGCTTCAGCGAGTGTCTAAAGGTCCTATGCTAAGTGCGTCCTTGGTACCAAGACTTTGACCCTCCCACCCAGGACAATGGGTGACTGTCTGCACCTCCCACTGAGCTCTGCAATTATCATGATAATCATTCAGAGGCCTGCTTCAGCTGGCTAGGGCAAACTAAGACCAAGGTACTCGCCAGTCAAAGCCTGCACTGAACACTGTTGCTTACTGAAGGGGTTGTGTCAAAACAGCCCTTTTCCCTACCCCACTAGTTTTGACCCCAAGGCCTGATCCACCCACCCACTGTTAGGGCAGTCCCTGGGCTATCCAGCTGTACCGACCAAGACCTCAAGCCCCCTACATTTTTGGGCACCGGACTGGCCTGGAGCCGGGCTGCGCCTGGCGCCAGGCAAAAACCCAGTGGCCACGTTTTAACAAAATCAGACAGATATATATTGAGAGATTCTGAATGTGCTTTAGTGTTAAGTGTTATTTGCCCATGTAATTTGTGAGCGTTGGCTGTTAAATTGACAAATTTTTAATGTCCACTGTTTCCAGAAAAAAACCCATATTCTTTTTGCGTTGTCAATTCTTATCTGCTCTTAGAGAATCGCTAATAGAATCACTCATGGACTATGAGCCTGTGTTGAAAGGGGCTGTAGTCTATTTTTCGAGCCATGCGCATTAGCATTAGGGGAAACCTAAGAACGGCCGAGACCAGTTTTTATAAGCCAGCGAGACTGAGCTCCCCATGCCACACAAAGGTAGCCCTTGTTTTTACTAAAACCGCTGGACGCCACAACCTGGTTGAGGTCTTTGTTATGTAAGGTTTTCCGGACCAATCTCGTATCAAGTGCCCACGATCCTTCGGTCAGCGTCGAGAGGGAACGATGCTTACACCACATACCTACCAAGTCGAAACGTCATGGCCGTATCGATAGGATTTCCGACCTCCGATGTTGTTTAAGCTCTATTGAACTTTAACAGCGGGATGGATTCTGCTTTCGATAGCCATAGGAGCAGTGTCAATTTTTGACCTTGTGAATATAACGACGAAACTAAGGTCGAAAATGTTCGCATTTCTCTTCGGAAACCTTCGGTAGTCTTTGGACATCTTTTGAAATAATCGCACCCGTTGAAGCTTTGTGTAACAAACCGAAATATCAGGTAAATATAATTCACCATTTTATTTGTTTTCTTTCTTTATTTTTTCCGTCACTCCCTCTGCTGTAAGCTCTACTAAAGATCCGGTTGAACCTCACTGGTATGTTTCTAATCCAAGGCAGCCTTGGATTCCATGCTGTGGATACCGGATTCTTCGTCAGTGGAACTTGGATCGCGGATTCCAATCGTTAGTAGGATTCCGGAATTCTTGTACTGTATTCCGGATTCCAAAGCCCAGGATTCTGGATTCCACAACTTAAATTTCCCGGTTTCCGGATTCCACACCCAAAAAATTTCCCTGATTCCGTTATATGGGGCCAAGTTTTAAAAATAAGAGTTGTGTGAATCAGGCCAGGTACTAATCCTTAGAATAACAAAAAAGGTTAAACTTAGGATGGCAAAACTCTCCGGTAAAGCATAAATTTCAGTGCGCATTTCAAAATTTATTCGTATTTGTAAAGTGGTAGGTCACTGTTGCAGTTTATCAAAATAATACTGTGATCGAAATACAAGCCTTTTTAGTGGTACCCACTGGTTCCCATTACGCAATGGTCATCTGTGCTATACGTGACCGAAATTTTGCCATACCTGGAGATTTGTACTGTTTTTCTTCCCGATAGGATCGACGAGAGTGTGACGCTGTTATAGTTATGGTTTGCATATAAGGAGTACTTCTCCTTCGCAGCCGTTATTAGGGTCGTCACGCAACGCTCCTCCCCACTAATGGCGTTAGTGGGGAGGAGCGTTGAGGGACTACCCTAAGGAGACTCATAGGAAGTCGGGGTTGTTAACGTCCTTTGATTCAGTTTCATTGACGGAAATCCGTTTCTATCGAAGGTTTTGAAAATAATGGTAAGCTTCGGAGACGCGTTCCTTGATCAGAGAACCACATTTATTTGATCGCAGGTTACACTGTAGTCTCTGAACAGTAAACAAGATCACATCGCTTTTGGCGCGGGATCTTCACTTTCCCTTTAGTCTGTGGCGTCAAAAAATAAAAACTAAATAATTTTCATTTCGGAGGTTTTTAATTAACAAGAACTGCTGGACAAATTTACGATGAGCGAGAATTAACAAGACATGGTATATTTATTTAGTCTTTTGATAAGAAATCTAATATTCTAAATTTTCCTTTCTTTTTTTATTACTTTTTCAGACATTGTTACACACAAAGGTAAAGAATTCATTCTTAGCTTTATCGCTCAGCATCCCCAGCCATCAGATAAAGATAACCCAGGGAAGAACACGCTTTACATCACGACCCTCGAAAACACCAAAGTCAACGTTCACGTTCCTTCTCTAATCCAACAAGGGGATCAGCAGTTCTCTGTGAGCGCTCTGGGCGTTAAAGTGGTCACTTTACCAGGAAAAACACGTTTTGGTGAATTCACTGGAAAGGACACAAAGGGTATTCGTATCACAGCAAATAAACCGATATCTGTTTATGGATATGGATGGATTATCCTAGGGTCGCGGCACGTTGGTGAAGGCTTCCTTGGGTTACCTGTGGATTTACTCGGAAAGGAATACATTGTCCCAACGTACTCTCCTGTAGGAAGCTCTATTGTGCAGGTTGTAGCTCAAGAAGACAATACCCAGGTGTCTTTTATGTTGCGCCTACCGAGGGGTGGAAGAGTTGTTTATGGAGGTAGATATTTGTCTAGTGGAGACCTTATTAACACGACTCTAAATGATCTGGAAGTGTTTCAAGTTCAGGGCGATAGTGATCTCAGTGGAACAGTCGTGACATCATCCAGACCTGTTGCTGTGTTTTCTGGGGATGACTGTACTATGGTACCAGCTAACACATACCCGTGTAATCACCTTGTAGAGCAAATCCCTCCGGTAAGCGTTTGGGGTAAGGAGTTTATTACCAACCCTACCCCTGATAATCTTGGTGGAGATGAATTTCATATCATTGCATCAAAAGATAACACAGACGTTAACGTGGACTGGCAGAGAAAAGGGACGCTTAACAAGGGGGATAAATACAAGATTTCTATACCTTGGAATAAGACTTCGGTGATAACCACGTCTAATCCTAGTCTTGTTGTGCAATACACCAGCGGTACTCACAGCCGGCCATCAATGAGTATTATGCCTCCGAAACAGTGGGCCTGGAATGACTACTCTTTTTACGTTCCAAGCGATGGCGTCTTCTTCATAAATGTTAACATTGACACAAGTTCAGTCGTTGGTCTACGTGTGAAGGGCCCATTGTGCAGCCGTGTGCCTTCAAAATGGAAGACTCTTCCAGGAGGACAGATATCTCAAGGTGTGCTTTATTTAAGAAAAAGTCGACTTTACCATATTTATCATGACAACCCCCTTACAAGCTTTACAGCCGTTGTGTATGGAATTACTTTTCAAAAGATGTTTTCATTTCCAGCTGGCTTAAGGTGGGAGTTACCCACTGACTCGAGTTGTTTACAAACACCGACTCAAGGAGGAGATAAAATTGATAATGACTGCGATGGTAGAACTGATGAAGAATTAGGCAATGGCAAGGACGATGACAATGATGGTCGAATTGACGAAGACCTGGTCTTAACACCTCCGAATATTACATTTCCCAAGAACTATGTTTCCCCAGCACTGTTGTCATGCGATCTATCCTCAGATACAGCGGATCCAGAAAAAGAGGGGTTTTCCCCAAAGGTGGATCTTTATTCGACTCAAGGACTTTGTTTAGTACGTGGAAATACCACCAATTACCATCAAGACTTCGCTGTAGGTGGCTTTGATCCATGCTATCGTAAATTTGACCGTGTGTGGACTTTTCAAGACGCGTGTGGTGGTAATGAAATTAAGCATACACAACATATAAAGATCAGTACCCTGAGCGATCCAATACTCTCCTTTCCATCCGATGTAACCCTCTTCTGTCGAGACGATATGTACCTTCAACCTCTATTTACAGGTGAAGTTTCAACCAGGAGACCATCTCCTAAGACGTGCAACATTAGCAGGAACGTCAGTATCACTCACAAAGATACCTATTATGGTGAATGTTCCAGTAAAGAGGCAAGGCTAGAGCGAGTATGGACTGTGGAAGATAGGTGTCGCAGCGACATTGTGAAAACTCAAATAATCAAGTTGGTACCTAAAGGTTAGTTCCAAGGTGTAGGAAAAAGGACAGTTAAGCAATGACGCGCCCAATCAATAAGCTCATCAACCTCCGGTGAATTAAGGAATGGGGCACTGCAAATTTGGAGGGGGGTGGTCTGTTTTAGTGGGGATTTTACCTTTCGCATTAATGTTTTAAATTCAATATCTACTCCCCTTAAGCATTCATTTTTCATTATTACTAATGTATTATCTGTGTCACGTGACTTGTCACACCCATTTTTGACTTTTTATTTCAATCCAAATTTACACCACTTTATAAATAACACTTGTAATTTAATTCACTTTTTGTCAATGACTATTGACACAAAGTTTGTGGAATTAATCGGGGTTTTCTTAAATTATCTACGTTTTGTAAACTATAACGTTTCTTGTTAAGAGGGAGACTGGGACGAGAGAAAAATATCTAATAATTACAAAGGAATGGATCATTTCACAAATCCCCGATTAATTTAGCTTATTTGACTGTAAATGAAATATTATGGAAGGAAAAACGATTGTGGTCACATTCAGTAAACTGGTGTAATCTGCAAAGTCCAAATTTTGCATAATTATGGGCGTGGCTGGTCACGTGATCTAAAAAAAGGGAGTGTTAAAGGTCCAAAGTGGTTCTGGTCTTAAACACAGCGGTCTAAGATTAAAATAAAGGAAGATACTGGAAAAAAAAAGACCAAGTCATAAAACCCCACATGTAACGAGGACCCATTCCTTAATTCACCGGAGACTGTTAATTCTAAATCTAACTCACATGACTTAAACGAGAATCATTGTGGTACCTACCCTGTGCACCAGAATAAGCTCATCAATTGGTAATTCTAAATCTAACTCACATGACTTAAAAGAGAATCATTGTGGTGCCTGGCCTGTGCACCAGAGGTTTTTTCTCGCTTGTGGAATAATATGCCAGTTACGCGGGGGCCGCAGACTGATACATTGACCGAAGCAACGAGCGACGAATCTTAAGTTTCGCGAGCGCGTCACTGTAAAGACTTTGAACTGAATTGGAAAACTCCGAAATTTTTCTGGCACCCATGGTTTGTGGCATCAAGAACTAACTGAAACGATTTTATGGTTCAACAGAAAAGAAGTGCGATTTACTATTTCCAGGAAAGTGATTTCTTCTCAGAAGCAGTTGCTATGGAGTATTAAAGAATACTGAGACAACACTGTATAAGTTGTCAGAAAACAACGTAATTTTAATAAGGCTGTTATTTCTAAATTGTTTGCCTTTTCTTGCAGGATCAAAAAGGACTGCAAACTATGTGACGAAATTCAGTGTAACTAGCGTTAAATTTTCGGCTGAACTTGGAGATGAAACATCACCATCCTTTAAAGAAATTGCTACTTCTCTAGAAAACAAGGTAGATAGGCCTGAATGTTATGTCAGGTCGTGTAATTCTTTTTGGTACCACCACTACGCACCTTGCCCTGGCCGTCAATAAATCCCCTGCGGTTTATATTTTGTCACCTGCGCTCGACGGACTTTGAAGAGAAAATAGAGGGTCTGTGAAGAGGCTACGCCCAGGCCTCAACGTAACGTAAAGCAATGTTTACATAATAAATCCGATAGTCATGGGTTTCCAGATGTAAATTTGTTTGATTTTAATGTCTCTCCTGGTCGATTATGGTAACGTTTTGTGTTCACTCGCGAACGAGTTCAAGTAAAACACAAATGCTTTTTCTAAAGAAGGATATATTACAGGAATATTGCCTGTTTTGAAATACATTTGACCTTTGTGGCCTTTCGTCATTTAATTTGCTTGTCATTCGTAAACAATAGGTTAAACAATATGACTATTATGACGACCAATCAGAGCTCCTGACCCGATTCCGGACAGATTTTACGTCATCAGTATGGAATTTCTGTCGCCATGCACTATAATTGTGCATTGAGCACTGTTTACTATGCTATGTTTTGCTATCCCATACTGTACTTATTGAATATTCCACTTTTCTTTGCTCGGCTCTGCCAGCCTTGTTTTTAAAAGCCACAAGGAGGGACCCTTGGTTGAAAAATTCCCAGCTCCTCGGAATAACCGCCGACCAGGCAGAGACTGTAACGCAGTCCAAGAATAAGGTCATGTATCTGATCCACTAGTGACGTAATATTCGTATAGAATTTATTTTGAGTACAATGAGGATGATGATGAGGATGATGATTATGATAATGCTGTACTACCTTATTCTATGCGATATACTGTGTCGAGTCATGTTATGCTATGCAAGGCTAGACGATGGTAGTTATCTTATTAACCTTGCAGTGAATGTTTCTGTTTATATTCTCTTTTCATTCTTTGTAGATGGAGAAGGCACTACAGTATTCAAAATTAGGCAATTTTTTCGTAGAAGCAAAAGTTATAAAATTTAGGTAGGTTTGGAGGAACTCACTAATTATATCGACCGAATTATAGGTCACGCTTAAAGGGGGTCACGTGCCATGTAGCTCAGTGGTGATCATGATAATGATGATGATGTTGACGATGAGACGATGACGACAAAGAGGTGTCATGGGTAGCAGTTCTACCAAAAGTTTCCTTTGTATAGTAAATGCCTCCCATGCAACTAATATGTATTTAATTATTTTATTTTTTATTCTGTAGTAAAGGCAGCCTTATCACCAGCATGCTCATTAAAGTAGACATGCAGGCGCAATTCGATCAGCAGAGCCTTTTTGACATCATGAATGACACTCTGGGCGATGGAACATTGGGACAATATCAAGTGGATCCAAGGTCAATTGCTTTAAAAGGTGAATTCTCCCTAATTAGCCTTTTTTTACGTTCAGGAGGCAGCATGGCCGGGTGGTTAGAGCGCTGGACTTGCAATTCAGTTCAAGTCCCGCTGTGACCGCTAGCTGGATTTGTTCAGGGTAATCCCGAGTTCAAATCCACGCCCATTCTTCTAAATAACCATCTTGTTTGCCTCAGGCCAAGTTGGGATTCTTAACCCTGTTACATTTGAATTAGATTATTTGTTTCAGGCATTTGCTCGGCTCCACTGAGCGATTAGTGCTGTAAATACTGCCGAGGGTGAATAATTATTATTATTATTATTATTATTATTATTATTATTATTATTATTATTATTATTATCATCATCATCGTCGTCGTCATCATCATCATCATCATCATCATCATCATCATCATTATCATTTTTTGACCGAGAGGGAAAGTATATTTAACAATTATTCCTCGAGCCCGAATGGGCTCTGAGTCAATAGCCCAAGTAGTTGGTTAAAAATATCGCGAATAAAAAAAAATAGCTAGTTAAAGCTAGATTTTACTCCTTTTTGCCGTCAAAAAGCCACGCTTTTCGCTACTAGTGGACTATAACATATAGCCTAGTAGTAGCTCAACCAATCAGAACACAGCATTGATAATAGACCACTGGTTGGATTTTACTAACAGATGATATCACGTCCTCTTTCCACTATACTCTATATCGCATCTTAGCTTCTACCGTTATTTTTGACACGCTTAACCAACATTTGTCATTTCATACAAAAACAGACTTTGATGAATGTAAAGATCAGGACCTGAATAAATGTCACGAGAAAGCAAAATGTACCAACACCGAGGGTTCGTACAATTGCACCTGTATCGATGGTTACGTTGGAGATGGCTTTCTTTGTCAAGGTAATGGTTGCATTTTTGTTGTCTACTTTATAACTATCTATATGATGGTAAATTTAGTCGTTTTTTCAGAGCTCGACAAAACTTTTCTTACTTTTCCCTCCAGCTCCACCCTCCATTTACTACGCTGATCCACCAAAAGTGTCTGTTACCAAAAAAACCGTGAAACTTACGTGCAATGCAAGTGGTTTGCCTGAGCCGACGTTTTCGTGGATAACACCTGACGGAACCCTGGTAAATTCCACGGTATCAGCTCCGAATTTAGAACACCTTGAAGACAATAGTAGAGTTATAAGAGGGAATATGCTCCAGAACGATGGTTCCCTCTTGATTTTCTACACCCGTGTGGCCGACCAAGGCATGTACAAGTGTATCGCGACTAATATCCTGGGACATGATGTAGGGAAGGTTAATCTTACAGTGAGAGAAGGTGAGATATCCCTTCGGCTGGAGTCGTTGGGGAAGGAAGGTTCGCCCCATGTAAGGGAATCTCAGACAATCTTCGATTTGGACTCTGGATTCCACGCCATGGATTCCGGATTCCAGGTACTGGATTCCGGTTGATTCTTTGTCAGTGGTACTTGGATTCCGGATTCCTTGAGCTGTATTCCGGATTCTACATCAAAATTTTCCCAGATTCCGGAATTCGGATTCCCTTACTGACATGTGACAAGAAGGTGACCGGGAATACGAATCAGACCAGCTCACTTCACTCACTATGTCACAAATTGAAAGAAAACTCAGGGTCCGAAATTAACTTTTTAATACGGGCGCCAACTGGCGATCAAGTATAAATTTTTGGTCGCCAGAGGGTAAATTGTGGTCGCCAAAAATTTCCCCTCCTTATTTTTCAAATAAAAATTTAATCACGAATAAAAAATGCATGGTATGGACGTTTTTATACTCAAAAATTGCACTACTTTCGCTCCCAATACCAGAAAGCAACCGTACGTGTACGATTGAAGTCTTATTTTTTCCACAAATTACTTTTTGGAGATATAAAGCTGTCTGACCTAGAACGTAGGAACAGAAAGCTGTCTGCCCGTAACTGCACTGATCCTATCAAAACTCTATTTTCTTCCGATAACTACCACGAAACACGAAACATTATCACTGTGACAGTACCAGGCCACAACTGTGCCACATTACTCGTACCAGTCCACAAAGTACATAACGTACTTACCGTATTTCAGCTGAAAACAACATAGCGGCTCGGAAACGTTCAACTCGTATTGATCGTAGCTGTTGTGGAGGTATTATTCTGATTATTACAGGAAGATTCGTTTCACTTTTAGCTGAAAAATATCATCAGGACAAAAAGTAAGACACCTGTTGGCAAATGGCTTCGAGGTTTCAATTCTTAATCAGTTTCTCCGAACCTTAAAGTACACGATAACAACTAACTTTACAAGTCGCTAGCTGGCGATCAGCTATTAAACTCTGGTCGCCAGGACTACATTTTTAGTCGCATTGCAGGGGCGGATCTAGGGGGAGGGTGCAGGGGGTGCGCACCCCCCCTGAAATGACCTGCGGCTTTCTAATTAACACTGTGCAGTCTGCTTCACAGTTATACAAAATCTGCTTTATCATTTGATATGTATTCTCAGCAGTTCACATTATGTTATTGCCTAGTCGAAAGCCTTCTTTGTATTCGCTATTAAAATTTGTTTACGTCATCAGTCAATTACGCCATTCCTTAGTAGTGCACCCCCTCCTACGAAAAATCCTGGATCCGCCTCTGCATTGGCGACCAGGAAAGCGCAATTTCGGACCCTGAAACTACGGAAAAGAATTAAAATATACTGAAGGAGACAGTAAAGGGAAGAAGTACAGGGAGAAAATCCACGTCGAGATTTTGAGTCACATGCCGTTAGGCCTTTCCCGATTGCGCTGAGCACCCTTTGAGCACTTTTTTGAGTTTGGAGCACTATTTTGCATTTTGAGCACCCTTAAGCACTTTTTCGCACTTTGGGCAACATTTGAGCAATATTTCACATTTCGAGCAAATTTCGAGCAACACATGTCTTCTAAAGCATTTTAAAGCAAAAACTGTGTGTCGCTCGCAACGAGAATCGTGTTCCAGGTCATAAATTTGAATAACTAATGATGTTGTCAAGAATAAAAGACCGTTGTCATGGAAAGGCACGTGGACTCATCCTTACTGAGCTTGAGAACAGAGGTTTCTGATTGGCTGATGTATCATGCGTGTGTCATCTCAAATTTCTAAATCCTCTGATGTCTAGGCTTTGCACTAGTACTGCTGAATTTATTTACAATTCGTAAAAAGGCTTTAGTTTTTTAAAATATTATTGTTCTATATTCTATCAACCTTTCGTAACAACCTGTCGAATAACATTACGCAAAACAGATTGTTAATTACTTCAGTAAAAATTGACATATTTACGAAAAGCTTAGAGGTAACTGTTCACACCTTTTGGCACTTTTTGAGCACTTTTTAGCCATTTTTGCTAGCACAATTTTAGGATTTTACGAGCGCAATCGGGAAAGGCCTACATGCCGTAAATAAAATTACTCTGTGTGTGAATTTCGAGCGAGTTGGCGCTCATCATAATGAAATTAAAAGTGCGCTTATACATGCTCTTAAGTGCTTAATTCAAATTTCACTCAAAATTAGATTACCTAGAAACCATTATTAAGAAACTCTATATTTCTAAAAACAAATTATATTCCTTTCAGAATCCCTGCACACTCCAAATGGGCTACAGAAGAACCATTCCCTTACATATATCCTGTCAATTGTTGGAGGTGTAATGGCTCTCTGTGGTCTCGTGATAGCCATAATTCTTTACCGAAGAAGAACCCAGGGGAGAAGATATCAGAAATGCAAGTTGCTTTCAGTGTTATTGTTTTCGTACTTGTAGAGCTTGTTATAAATAGTTGAATGTGCATATAACTAGGAAATAGTTAAACCATACTCGTGCGTGCAATGGCTCCAGTAACTAAAAAAATTGCTTCATATTGTTGAAACGTCAAATGTGAGTGAACATGCTGATTTTCAATGATATGATTCCCTCCTCATCGCGCTAAATTTACACACGTCTTAATTAGTCTTGGATGTTTTTGTTTTTGTTTTTTTCATTTCTTTCATGTTCTTAAGGCGTTTGTACCCAGTCCCTGCTCGTTAGCACATGGCTTAAAGAATCGAAGTTACTGTTCACTCAGGACTTACTCAGTTCAAATTGTTCATCCATTCAATATAACTTTTATCTTTTTTATACTCTCAGATCAGTTTGAATTAAAAGACAGAGAAGACTTTCAGTATGACATCTTCGTTACCTTCAGCACCCTCGACTATCCATGGGTCCGAGACAACCTTGTTCCTTTGCTGGAGAGAAGGCAAATCAACTACTGCATTCACAGCCGCGACTTTGTAATTGGAAAAGCGATCCTGGAGAACATGGCCGACAGCGTGTACAACAGCCGAAAGGTGCTTGCTGTCATTTCAGAAAACTATCTGGCTAGCAAATTCTGCCGTCAGGAATTAGATATGGCTTTGTACCGCTCGGTTAGTGTGGCGCCCAATCCCTCACTTTTGTTAATTCGTGTGGATGACGTGGACAAGAAAAAGTTACCTAAGTCGTTACAAAAGCAGACTTTCCTAGATTATACAAGTGCCATGGAAAGAAATAAGTGGGAGGAAAGATTGTTGAAACATATTGACATTAGTTTTGTCGAGAAAGATGAAAATCTTCTGGCAAGTGAAATTTCTACTAGCGTGTAGCTTATATTTTGGTGTTGTACTATGACAGGAGCCGCACACCTAGATGTAGACCCACCTTAAATAAAACTTTTGCATGTCCTTCACTCCGAAAATGGAATATTTCAAGAAGTGCACGTTATGAGATGTTTTCCATACGGGTATTTAAAAATTTTTTTCTGATAGACTATTAAAGTTTAATCAATAAATTTCCAAGGACAGTGGCGTGCACGTGATCTTGATAGGCCAGAAGTTGAGTTAATACTATAGGAATTGTACTCAAAAGACAGAAAAGAAGACGGAAAGGACAGTTAAAGTAACGCTATTTGCCTGAGTTGAAAAATTTATGTCCCATTTAGAAAGTAGGATGTAGAAACAAGAATATATTTGCTTGTTTCTTTGCTCATGTTATCCCTACTCTTTTTTATAAACTTGCAAAAGGTACCCCTTATATATAGCTCATTATGGGAGTTTTGCCTGTTGTAAGAAGAGATTTTCCATGAATTCTTTGTTTGCCCGAATATCCTATATAGCTCTCAAATATTCGCTTTGACGTTGTTCTTAGTAATTCATACTGAATTTGCATAAAGAGATTTTAGCCCCGCAAAAAGGCTCGTACCATTTTACTTTCCTTTGTTTCATTTGTTTGTGTTCACTAAGTAATAATCATAGAAAAGCCAACAGTTTTCCTTAACAAACAAAAGTAATTTCTGATTCTCTTTTCAATTATATACATTTTACGTCAATGTTGACTCTTGAAAGAATACTTAATTTCTTAATAATGGTTTATTTGACTTCAGTCTATTTTTCGTGATTTAACTACCAGACGACATCTATTCATAGTAACGCCTTTGATACAGTACCTCGTTCTAATTGCAACTTATTTATACTTATTTGCAAAAGTATATTTCATTAAGTTGTTAGTTAAGGAGAGGTGGTAACCGAATTTTGAATATGAAAGGTTTTGGTGTCTTGTAATTTTAAAATTAGATCGGTTTTTGTTTAAGGAGAAAACTTCCAATTATTAGTCTGCGCTTTTCCTGTTTAAACAGCCGATAGCTGGACTTGCAATTTTATTCATATTGTAACACTTTGTACATAAACGCTGTCTTGCTGGCCTGGCTAGGTCTTTGTCTCAGTACTTTTACTTTCTAAAATAGAAACAGTAACAAAAGATTTCAAGTTAAAAATAGAATTTGTATTTAGTTTTCATTTAACTCTAAATGATTTCTGTTTGTATTTCTATTGTATTCTTTTGTCTTCAATGGTTGTAAAATTCATATATAAGTAAGTTGCTTCGAACTGATTTTTCGATTACATCGCCGATTATTTCGCCGTGTCCTACCCGAGTTGTTGCTGTCGATCCGCTGAAGAATAAACGTTGTTAGAACCAAGTTTTGTTCTGTTTATCTACTGCTGTACCAGTTAGTGGTCTGATCCCGGACCTCGAGAGAAGTGACGGCTCTTCCCCGCAAGCGAGTTGCCATTTGAGTCTAGTTTTCCCCAGTTTTATCATGAGTCAAGCACCGAGTTCGCGTTGAGCCTTAAATTCGTTTCAAAGTGGAAAAACCTTCAGTCACACTGGGAAAGAACATCAAACAACAACAACTCTATTTCTCTTGTAGTCAAGAACTTGCAAGAATATATAAGCAGTATAATAATCATTAACAAAATTTAATTTATAAAATAACTAAGATAGTACGCGCGCTCTAATTGGCTGAGAGGAGTGTTTGCATGAGAGTATGTAAACATGGTTGTGGCGTCCAGATGTTTTGCTTTTCGCGCGCTGGTCACGCAAGCACGAATTTGAAAAAAATTTTTCAAGTTCAAAACTCGACAAGTTTACTTTATTTACCCATTCCTTCGTCGGCTGAATCTTGGAAAATCGTTACAAAGAAAAAGTGTGTCATTTTTTTTTTCGCTTAAGCTGACATTTTAAGCGAGAAAAGTCCGTATTTTGGAAAGCATCTTTTGACAAAACAAGAACTGGGACACATTTCTCGAAAGTCCCGGTAACTTTTCGGGCCCGAAATCAAATTTTAAAATGGAAATATAAAGAATCAGAGCGCGGGTCCTGTTGATAGTTTTATCGTGTTAGATGCAAAACTATTGAAACCTCGATCTTTAATGTAAACGGCAACAGCTTACCGGGCCCGTTAATTATCGGGACTTTCGAGAAACGGGCTCCTGATTCCCGGCGCGTGCAAGACTTCGTGGACAAGACTTTGCGACTGGGAGAATTTCTCTTTTAATCAGTGCCATACAAAGAGTTTTGCGTTTTTCCTCGGGAAATTTATTTTATAAATGCAATAGAAAACTTTTTTCCTGTGTTTGCATAGCCTGACATAAACACTCGAGGCGTTGGGAGAATTCGAGACAGTTATGAAAACTCTCGACTTCGTCTCAGGTTTGCATAACTGTCTCGAATTCTCCCAACCCCTCTCGTGTTTATATCAGGCTATGCAAACTCGGAAAACGTTTTCTATTGCTTAATTAATAAACACAACTTTATTAAAAACATTATCCAATAAAAGATTACAGTATAGAGTGTTTTCACATGACGTCACGGCGGCCATATTGGTGTCCCAAAACAATGAAACGGCAGCCATGTTGGAGCCCCAAATCAATCCTCTGGGAGGTGAACTCTAGTCTTGTGCAACTTGAACGCTTTCTTTTGTTCCAATACATTTGTATAGATGCTGGCCACGTGAGTGAAAGCACTCCTTTCAAGCATTGATAAAAGTTATATCAAATTCATTGATATAAATCCCTAGGTTTGGGTTGAAACTATTCCCTACAGTGCTTAAAAAGAAATCAAATTGAATTGAATAACAAAACTAAATTAATAAGATACATACAACCGTTGAACACCAAAAAAATGACAGTGAAGATAATGAAAGTAGTTGGTGGGGTGACCAACTTGATGCTGTAGATACAGCTGTAGATATAGAGCTGCATCTTCTTCCGTGTCCAAATATTAATAAACGTTACATCAATCTATAATCCGCTTAAACTATCAATCAGACAGCGATCGAGTAACAAAGTGACAGGAAGAAGAAACGGCGGAAGTACCGGCCCTGTCTCAGAGATTTTCTTTTTTTGTTGCTCGCTGCATTGTCACCCTTCCATGGCTCAACTCCGTTTAAGGCCTGAAGGATAATGAAGCCTCTGGGACCAAAGTAAGTGGTAAGTTATTTTTAATTTCTTTTTAGTATTTTTAGTTCATTTTAGTCTGTTTACTTAGTTCTTAAAAGATTAGAAGGTCTGGAAGATTGAGGGCATAGGCCGTGCTAAAGCCATGACTGACATGTAATAATTATCAATTGTGGTGTGACTGCGGAGACAACAATTGATATTGGGTGAGTCCTCAATAACTCCTGATTTACAATCGGACCATATTTATTTACGACGTAAATCTACATATCGTTGGTTATTATTGCGTGATTTCTTGTTTTGTTTGTCGTGGTGGGCTTCAGCGCAGTTCTTAACCTCACCCATACTGTTTCGTATTCCCGTAATTTGGGAGTTTTATTACCGGAACGTGACTTCCGGTGCCGTGACACTGACTGGGTTTGTTCTTTTACAGCTTTCACAGCCGGATTCCTTTCGTACGTGTCTTACAGTTTAACCTTTTTTTGCCTACATGTACAAGGAACATGCCTTGGGCAAGGATATATTTGGGTATTCTCTTATTTCTATTTGCTGTAAATCTCAGTACTCAAGGTAAGTGGCGAATTTCTGTTATTGCGACACCACATAACTATACTTGAAGATAACAGGTCGCTCAATCGATAGGCGAAGCGAAGCGGGGCATTCTATTGACAAACAGCCGATTAATCAGAGATCAGATGCTTCTTGGTGGAATTGGAAATTGCTTGGTCTCTGTATTTAATTGGTTAAGAGAAAAGACGACGTCTCTACGTGACCGATTACTCGTGCGAAGTTGTAGCTGCATTTGTGGCGAGCTTTCGCGAAGGGCGAACACTGATTATAAAGCAAGTAAACTTTGTTAATATATGTTTCAACTTGCGTTTCTTAATCATTATGGCCAATGTCTCCTCAGTGAAATCATTTTTACATGTTTATGCTTTAAATGAATTCGTAATTATTATGCGGTTGTGTATGTGATGGTATTTAACTCGCATTGTCTCGAGAGCTGAAGCGACTGAAGTAATCTCTAATTATTCATGAAGTAAAACAGTTTTTATCACCAAGAAAATACTTAGAACGGGTGTTTGTATGTATAAGTGCAGTTTTAGTTTTAAAAGGAAATGGACAATTGGAAAAAACGTAAAGGAAAAAACACTTCATGTGATGTACAAGTTATAATGTTGTGTCTGAGAGCTTCTGAGTCCTGTCACCTCGTTCATGGCACATTTCGTGTGTACGTCCTTTCTGTCCTCTGATATGAATTGAAATGTTGTAAATATATGGGGTTTCGTATTCCTTGGTTTTAAATTCGGCTTATTTCAAGAAACAGTTCCCTAATCTTACCATAAAATGTAAAATGGCCTGGATTCATATAGCCCATATATGGCAGTACCCCCCACCGGGTCTTCTACTTGAAATTGCCCGTTTAAACGGAAGTGATTATCTCACGTAGCCTAATTTCGATGTCACAGCAGCCAGCTACAGCAGATATATCACAACGGTTCGGCGAATAAGCATAAAAATTCAGTGATGCTTACAGCACTGTATTGCTCGAACCGAGAGAAGATGTCTGTTGGCTCAGGCGAATGACTTCAACTTGCAAACAACAGAGAAATACAGGAAGTGAAAACGTTCTCACGTCGTTTTCTTTTTTCTTCAATCTTTTTAGCCTTTCCGTAAAGGTGAATGTCTGTTATTTTATCAGTTACTTCCGCTGGATTTATGATAAGACGCAGTTCTGCAACATTTTTCCTTTCCCTCCGATCTATTTTTATCTTATAGGACGAAGTAAGATATCGTTGCTCAAAATCAAGTTACGCGCCCGGCCGTAGGTTAAAATCGTGAGTGAATGACAATTTTTATATGAGGCTGTTAGGCAGAGCGGTTTTCTTGCCCAGATCACTTTGGGCGTCCATATAAATGGCGCTATTAATATGGGTGTGGGGTATGATACCAGACCTGATTAGATTATGACTAGGACAACTGCAGAACCTAGAAACACTACAAATGAATGCACTTTTGTTGTAGACAAAGGCCAAATGCACCCTCCGCTTTTACTTTAACTACGAAAAATTAAGGTTTCTCAAACTAAGAAATAAAACAGTGAACCGGAGAAGTGTCAGAGATTTTTATAATTGTTTCGGTTTTTTAAAAAAACTATTTTTGGCTTGAGTTGTTTTGATAAGATTTTATTTCATTTTCACCTGTTTACGTGACTGCAAAATAAAACTGGAACTTTTGAGGCTTTTTGGAGGACTTTCAAATGTTAAAACAGCAAAGCAGTCGACGAGGGGCTGCCTCGTACCCAGGTTCTTTCTAGCAGGTTCGCGAGCGACTGGAGCGACTTTGGTTCCGCGTTAGGTCTCATGGGAAAGGCGAGGGAAAAACATCCTTCCCAGCGTCCTTTGTGTCACTTGAGACGCCTAGGAACGAGGCAGGATGAGGCGGGAACCAGAAATTCAAAGTGCGGGTGGCGATAGGCGATGACAAAATGCCCCCTTCCCTCCCCCATTGTTGATGGACGCAGGTGTCTTTAAAACATGTTATACTGGCGTTGGAGTAATTTTAGTATTTTACTTTATTATAGACAGAAGATGTATCCCTAGTCAAAAGAAACTCCCACACCAATGGATTCTGTTTATGTCATCGCTAATATTGTTTCTCTTTGTTCCTCTTTAGACATTGCTACACACAGAGGTAAAGAATTCATTCTTAGCTTTATCGCTCAGCATCCCCAGCCATCAGATAAAGATGACCCAGGGAAGAACACACTTTACATCACGACCCTCGAAAACACCAAAGTCAACGTTCACGTTCCTTCTCTAATCCAACAAGGGGATCAGCAGTTCTCTGTGAGCGCTCTGGGCGTTAAAGTGGTCACTTTACCAGGAAAAACACGTTTTGGTGGATTCACTGGAAAGGACACAAAGGGTATTCGTATCACAGCAAATAAACCGATATCCGTTCATGGATATGGATGGATTCTCCTCCTAGGGAAGCAGCACGTTGGTGAAGGCTTCCTTGGGTTACCTGTGGATGTACTCGGAAAGGAATACATTGTCCCAACGTACTCTCCTGTAGGAAGCTCTGTTGTGCAGGTTGTAGCTCAAGAAGACAATACTCAGGTGTCTTTTATGTTGCGCCTACCGACGGATGGAAGAGTTCAGTATGGAGATAGATATTTTTCTAGTGGAGAACTTATTAACACGACTCTAAATGATCTGGAAGTGTTTCAAGTTCAGGGCGATAGTGATCTCAGTGGAACAGTGGTAACATCATCCAAACCTGTTGCTGTGTTTTCTGGGGATGACTGTACTATGGTGCCAGCTAGCACATTCCCGTGTAATCACCTTGTAGAGCAAATCCCTCCGGTAAGCTTTTGGGGTAAGGAGTTTATTACCAACCCAACACCTAATAATTTTGGTGGAGATGAATTTCATATCATTGCATCAAAAAATAACACAGACGTTAACGTGGATTGGCAGAGAAAAGGGACCCTTAACAAGGGGGATAAATACGAAATTCGTGTACCTTGGAATAAGACTTCGCTGATAACCACGTCTAATCCGAGTCTTGTTGTGCAATACACCAGCGGTGCTGGCAGCTCGCCATCAATGAGCATTGTGCCTCCAACACAGTGCTCCTGGAATGACTACGCAGTTTACGTTCCAGGCGTTGATGCATACGTAAATGTAATCATTGACACCGCTTCACGAAGCGGCCTTGGCGTTAAAGGCCCAGTAGCCAGTGGGCCATTTAAGTGGGAGACTCTTTTAGGGGGACGTTCCCTGGGTTCACTTCATTTAAACACAACTGGAGTTTATCTTATTTATCATGATGACCTTCTTGTCAATTTTACATCCGTTATGTACGGAACTTTTTCCAACGCGAGCTTCTCATTCCCAGCTGGCTTAAGGTGGGAGTTGCCCATTGACCAGGGATGTACAAATTCCACGATACATGGAGGTGATGGCATTGACAACGATTGCGATGGCATAACTGATGAAGAATTATTTAATGGCAAGGACGACGACAACGATGGTCAAATTGACGAAGATCTGGTCACAGCACGACCGAATGCTACCTTTCCCAAGGATTACCTTTCACCGCCATTATTATCGTGTGATTCATCCTCAAATGTAGACGATCCTAAGCAAGCGGGATTTCCAACTGTGGTCTCTACTTCGGCTCTGTGCTCCATACGTGGGGATGCAACAATCCACCGTGACGACAAAACTGTCAAGTTTGGCCCTTGCTATCGTGAAATCGACCGAACATGGAAGGTCAAAGATGGTTGCGGTAATGAGATCAAGCATGTACAACATCTAGCTATTAGTTCTCCAAATGATCCAAAGTTGGCTTTTCCACCGGATGTAACCCTCTTTTGTAGAGACAAGAAGTACCTGGATCCTACATTTACTGGTAAAGTTTTGACCGAAGTTGATCAATGTCTTAGAAATGTCACCATCTCCCCCCACAAGGATACGCCCTATGGCGAATGTTCCACCGAGGAAGCTAAAATAGAGCGAGTGTGGACAGTGATAGACAAATGTAGCAGTGACATCGTAAGGACTCAAGTGATCAAGCTGGTGCCTAAAGGTAGGTGCAAATTATACAACAACAACAATCAATCTTTATTAGTGCTCCGGGAAGAAAGGGAAGTAAACTACATGTTTAAAATAAGCAAGATAGAGAGCACAGCCACTTAGAAATAGCAAATGCTAGTCGCATTAAGTAGCTGGCCATGCGGAGAAAAATATTTACATTTATACTAAATAAAGAAATACACACGTACCCAGACATTAAAAAAATACTAAGCAAGGGCTATACTGTGTACTTAACTGGCTGTAAATAAAGTACACCAAAGAACCATCAGTATTTACAGCCATACATTCTTCCAAGAGCGGTTTTTTGAAACAAGAACGACCCTCAGATTTAAGATCCTCTGGAACAGAATTCGAAAGTTTAGCACTGAGACTGCTATTAAATTTTCCATAGTTGGTCCTAGCCTTAGGTAAAGACTTCTTAGAGGCTAGTCTGGTTTCATATTGATTTACTTTTTTTATTTTTGTTGTTCAACTGAGGCGTTTAATACAGCCGAACATAGCCGAAGCTGTAAAGTAGAGAAACTCGTCGTGTGACTTGTTGGGCGGTATAATGGCTGCTTACATATTGGGAACACTGGAGGGCGTGCCCGCTGGTACAGTGGCGGGTCCAGGGGGGAGGGTCCGGGGAGTCCAGACCCCCTATCAGACCTGACGCTTGCTTGATACTGGAATTGTTACATCGACAGGATCGTATATCACTTTTAAAGTGGCTGATTATTTCAATGAAAGACGCTTTGAATTTTGCCACTAAACTAAATTCCAGGAATATTACAAAAAATTGTTTTGGGGTACCCAACTGGCTATTGACGTTCACAGATTGAGAAACACGTGGTCGTCTCTGTGAGAAGTAATTTGCCACAAAAAAGTCCAACAGTCCCGTTTGAACTAAAGTTTGGCTCCACCACCAAAAAAAAATCCCTAGACCCCCCCCCCCAGTGATATACCATAAACTGCTGCTTATAAGCCGCCCCGCTCCCACCCCATTCTTGGCTAATCTACCGGGCAACAAAAAAATACATCCGATTATAAGCCTCCCGGATGTGGGACCCCCTCTAACTTCTATTCAGTTTATGTATTGAAATGAATTCGATTTATTATGACGTTTTGAAGCTCCATTACTGAAACCAGAAAGTGCAGAACGACCAAGAACGTATTTTGGTCAGCGCGTATTTTTGTTTGCGAGGCGCTTTTGAATTATTAAAGCTTTAGTAAGAAGAAAAGAGGGAAAGCAAAGGGAATTTCCCCAATTTTTTTTTAGAAAGAACGACCTGGTTTTAAAAAATTTATATCGTTCCTGGGCAGACTCCTAAATCAATTACGTGCACTGCATTCGAAAAACAAATAATTTTGGCTCCATAGTTCCAGATGCAATATAAAAAAATGGAATTTAGAATAATCTCCTGGTAAATTGAGATTTAGGTTACTTTATCATATTGAGCACGTTCATTGTAATCTGAAGACTATAGCGTCAAAATTAAATATTCTCCTAACCTGTATACCTTGTGAACTGTTTGCTTTGAAAATTTAACTTTCATTTTAGGATCAAAAAGGACCACGAACTTTGTGACAGAATTTAGCATCACAAACAAAAAATTTTCGCCTGAACTTTCAGACAAGACATCACCGCTCTTTAAAACAGAAGCTGCTACCCTAGAAGGCGAGGTAAGAACAAGATGCTATGTTACATTACTTCCCGTACGTTATGTTGTATATGCTAATGCTACCCAATGTGTTTTTGTGACCATATGAAATGTAATGTAATGCTTCGTCAACCTATGTTAGTTATCATAGCTACACAGTTTGTGGAGATTTTTATTTACATTTTTTTCAGATGGAAGAGGCATTACAATTTTCAAAATTAGGAAAATTCTTTGTAGATGCAGAAGTTGTTGAATTTAGGTATGTATGTATGTTTGTCATAATATAATGGGTGGCGGAATGTAGTTCCAGACTTCAGAGGCTATACATAGCTTTATTGCTGCAGCTCTGTTTCGTATGGCCTACGTTCTACCCATACACCTCCTTTAAACCAAAGACTTACATTTGTGTTTCCACTGATCTCCCATAAACTTTCCTCTTAGAGAAGGGAGTGTTGTCACGAGCATGCTTATCAAAGTAGACATGCAGGCCCAAGTTGATCATCAGAGCCTTTTAAACATCATGCAAGACACTCTGAGCAAAGGATCATTGGTAGGATATCAAGTAAATTCAAGTTCAGTTGTTCTAAAAGGTGAATTCTTGGCTCATAAATTAGTAACTGAAAACGTAATGATTATTCATAATCAAAACGACTAGGTCGTCATTTTGCATGTATTGTTTGCTACACTATTTTTTTCGCTTAATTAGCTAAGGTGCTGCCACCTAAAAAGGACATCAGAAAAGAGTATCATTTCACTGTTGTCTTTTTCCCACTGGCATATTTTCGTATCCTCTGCCTTTGTTATTTTTTATTTGTTAAAAGTTTCCTTTTGTGTGTGTGTGCTTTTTTAACAGACTATGATGAATATAACGATACGAAGCTGAATAAATGTCACGAGAAAGCAAAATGTACCAACACCAAGGGTTCGTGCAATTGCACCTGTATCGATGGTTACGTTGGAGATGGCACTCTTTGTCAAGGTATGGTCGCTATTTTGTTGTTTGCTTCGCTGATCGTCACTATGTGGTGTTTGCTATGGGGGAGAGGGGTGAAGAGAGCCGAGAACCAATGGTAAGAGTAAATATTAATAAAAAGGAGCTGTGTCATAAAATTTGCAAAATTCAAACAGTGGTAACCGTTACCAAACTGAGTGAACCATAAAAATAACTGCTCAAAATATGAAAAGAAGGTATAACTAACACAGCTCACAAAAAGGAGAAACGGATGGGTGGATGTTTCATGTTGCCTCCTTTTGCACACCTTGTTGCATGTTGTTGTATGTTGTTGCTTGTTGTTGCATGTTGTTGCGTGTTGTTGCATGTTGTTGCGTGTTGTTGCGTGTTGTTGCGTGTTGTTGCATGTTGTTGCGTGTTGTTGCGTGTTGTTGCGTGTTATTGCATATTGTTGCATGTTGTTGCATGTTGTTGGATGTTGTTGCGCAAAGTTTGAAACTGGTCAAACTTTTAGCACCGTGCAAACGGGTGCAACATTGTTGGCCAACAAGTCCTAGCGTTGTTGGGAGCTGTTGCGTCCGTTTGCACGTAACTTGAAACAGCTCGAACACGAAGTCACGAAGTGACGTTTTTGTAGCCGCCGCCGTCATTTTTGCTTAATCTCCCTATTGATAACAAAATGAACTTTACAAACGGGACTTTACTTTTTTTATGTCTTTTATAGGCTCAAACACAATTTCTCTTTCGTGTCTTTCTTGTTTTTTAGCTCCACCCTCCATTGATTACACTGATCCACCATTAGAATCCGCTACTAAGGAAAACGTGACTCTCACATGTCACGCAAGTGGTCTTCCTGAACCGACTTTCACGTGGATAACCCCTGATGGAACTCTAGTTAACGCCACAGCACCGGTTCGCAAGGTCGCGGAAAAACTTGACGACGACAGTGAAGTATTTACTGGGAAAGAGCTCCAAGAGGATGGCTCCCTTTTAGTTTACTACACTCGTGTCAATGACCAAGGCGTCTATAAGTGTGTCGCGACCAACGTTTTGGGACAAGCAGTAGGAAATGTCAGTCTGAGCGTAAGAGAAGGTAAAGTTCTCTTTTGTTTGCGTCTGTGGGGAGCGAAACGTATAATGTGACAAATTTAACTTTTATCCTTGGCCAATAATATGTATATATAAATCCATTCACCATTGGCACATCTCCCATAATACACCATGTTTGCCCCCCAAACTTTTGTTTATATTTCTCCTGGGTATTACATTACAGTCGTCTCAAGAAAAATTAAAGACAATGGTTATGCAAAATTTTGGGGGGCAACCAAGGTGTATTGTTGAGCGTTGTTACTCACGTGGCCAGTATCTATGCAAATTTATGGGAACGTAAGAAAGCGTTTACATAAGAAAAGAGGTCAACTCCCACAGGACTGGTCTGCAACACCAACATGGCCGCCGTGTTATTGTTTTGGAACACCGATATGGCCGTTGTGATGGAAATTTTTTGCCAACAGTGTGTGCTCTTATTGGTTACTTCGAGTTCACATGACATCTAACAGTGACGCTGTTTCCCGCCAAAATCTCGGAGCTGGCAACATTGCAAAATCTATGCCGTCAGAGGGTAACAGCTGTTACCCGCGAATGTTGACCGCTCGCGAGATTTATTTTCATAAATTTGTACACGAAGAAGTTATTCTTCGTGGGCTGTATAACAAATCATTCTAAGACCTCGGATGTACATGATAATGCATGATTCTATTATGTCTCAAATGAAATAATTCTTAAACACATACGAAGAATTATATCGAACACGAGAAGCAGCTTTCCATTTCTCATCAAACACATAAAAGAGAAACATCGAACAAACACGTCGTCTTGTAAAATTTTCTGAAGTATTTTTCACTCTGAGAAATAATGTTTATTTCACCATTTCATCTCCAGACATTGTGGAAGTAAGTGCTGTCGTTACTCTTGAAGAAAAAGTATTTGATGAGGAACTGGAGAATAAGACTTCTCCCAAATATCAAGAACTGGAGAGAAACGTCAAACATGAGGTGCAGAATTGAAAACTACTTTATTTCTTAGTGTCGCTCCATGTGAGGTATAATCCAAGACAGTCTTGTATTATGGATACCTCGTTGTGGATTCTGGACTATAGGTAGTGGATTCCGGATTATAGGTAGTGGATTCCGGATTATAGTAGTGGATTCCGGATTATAGCTAGTGGATTCCGGACTCCGGACTATAGGTAGTGGATTCCAGACTATTGGTAGTGGATTCCGGATTATAGGTAGGGGATTCCGGACTATAGGTAGTAGAATCCGGACTATATGTAGTGGATTCCAGATTCCTGGTAAGTGCAACTTGGACTCCGGATTACAATAATTAGCGGGATTTCGGATTCCTTGAGCTGAATTCCCAGTTCTGGATTCCACAAGCAAAATTTGCAGGATTGTGAAATCCTGATTACTTTACAGGATGGGGACTCAGTTACCTGTATTCAAGCCTCTTTTTACTGTACTGTACGGTAATTACCTTTGGTGTATTTGTTTCTTTAGTAAGTTGTTCTCTTTCTTTGCAGCTCACCGTTTTGTTTCAAAATATTACAGGATTTCTAAGAGTTGACATCCTTGGCTTTTAGTAAGTAAATCTGATTGGTGTCTTTTAGATTTAACACTGACGTACAACGTGGGAGGGGGGTGGCGCACAAGGGGCGGGGGAAAGGTTGTCTTCCACCCATTACCCCCCCCCCCCCCCTCCTGCTGTCCTATGGATTTTGCTTTGTTATGATATGAATGGAGAGCTCCACTTAGAAAAAGGTTAAAAACCCATATTCAGTAAAGTAAAGTAGAATATGAAAGTTTTTTTCTTGCTTGCGTTTTACAGTGTTCCAAAAGTTAACATTTTGCTGTTGTTGCTACTACTAAAAAGGCTACAAACTCGTATTTTTTGCTACTAAATGACTCTACCTCATTCAGGCGTCCTATCTCCTAATCAACACAACCGACTGTCACAAAATTTTTCTATAACTTTAATAGCTATCGAGGAGAAGAGGTTCCGACTCAGCAAAATCCGATAAAAACCTTTAGTGTCTTTTTTCTTTCAGCAACGGCAGCGTTAAAGTACGTTTTCGAGTGGTTGTGAAGGTGGACAAGCAAGAGGAAAAACCCGCTGAAGTGGTAACTAAAGTTGGGGAAACTCTCCGAGATAATGTAGAAAAAGGTCAAATCGGAAGCCTTAAAGTGAAGAAAACTTTGGAAATGGAAGGTATTGTGTTCGTTCTTTTCTTCTGTTCCCTAACTAGCCTTCTATTATGACCTAATTAACAATTAGCGGATAACACCCTCCGAGATCTCCATAATTCTTCATATGATACGAAAGCTAAGTCGAATTCAATAATTGTTTTAATTATCCATTCAAAATAATTCCTAGTTAAAAACATAGCTGAAACATGCTTACCTCCATCGATGTTAAGTTCATCTTCGATAATGCACAGTTAGGATTGTTGAGCCCCGCAAATGTGCTCCAAATATCAGATGTCGCCCTTCGAATTGTCTTCTTGCTGTTCTTGTCCTGTTTTTAGCTATTATTTCGCCTAGTTCTTACTCTTGAAATGAGTGCAATGTCCGCCAGTTTTGTTTTCACAACCAAGACAACTCAACCTCGTCCCCAGGTCTTCTCGGTTAACGGTGCATTAACCTGCAAGAAGGCTGCACTTTTGACGTCATCGGTTCATTAGACGCAAAATTCTTCCAAATTTGGTCAACAGTAGCTGGTTATGGTGAATTATGCGTCTGCTTTGGGCCAATCAGAATCGGGGAATTATTTTGAGTGAATAATAATTTCTGTTAACCAGTTACTTAGTTTTTTAAACAAAATTGTACTGCTCCTGAGCCTGCATCTCAGAAGTAATTTAACCCCGGTTAGTAACGTCTGCAAAGCAGCACTGATATCCCTGTTCAGGGCCCTCAACGGTCTCAGCGAGCTACCGGAAATACGTTTCAAATTTCCCTTCAATCTAATTGGCAAATCGACAATGGCTTTTTAACAGGCCAATCATGGAGCTTACTCAAATCCTAGTACACAGGTGGAGGCGCAGAACAAGGATTTCAGCGATGTTTCGCAGACAGACTTAACCAGAGTTAGTTTCGTTTGTGGCGCAGGCTACTGTGCCTCCTTATCTTTGGTCAATATTAACTAATAGATGATAGATCTTTCCAAAAATTGCAAGGTCTGTATGTTGTTACTATGTCCCTCCTTTTCAGGATGTATGTATTTTACCTACCCCTCCCCTAAGGCAACATTGACACTTACTTCTCACTGAGGGCAAAATGTTGGCTTAGGGGAGGGGTAGGTGAACATTTTCCCAGAAACGTATAATGATCCTATTTTTCTTCTTATTGTTGACTTTGTAAAAGCATCGTTGGGGTGGGGTGGTTGGGGGGGAGTGGGTAGCAAGAGGGCAGCAACAGTGGTGGGGTGGTTTGGGGGAGTGGGTAGCAAGAGGGGAGCAACAGTGGTGGGGTGATTGGGGGAGTGGGTAGCAAGAGGGCAGCAACAGTGCTGGGGTGGTTTGGGGAGTGGGTAGCAAGAGGGCAGCAACGGTGGTGGGTTGGTTGGGGGAGTGGGTAGCAAGAGGGCAGAATGTATGTTAAAAGAGTGTATAATGTATTAATTTTACTAACGTCTGCATAATTATTCTTTTATTTTAGAAGTTCCTCCTCCTCCAGTTAACGTCCAGTACAGTGACGTCAAACTAACGGAGGCTCGTATCACGTGGTCACATCCTGAACTATACGAAGAGTACGCCATTAGTAGTTATTCGCTGCAGTTTAAAAAGTTTGGAACAAAAACATGGACACAGTTTGCAGACACTCGGGGAGATAACCACAGGCTTACCAACCTTGAACAAGACACTCCTTACATAGTGCGACTCAAATCCGTAAACAAGTTTGGAAGAGGAGATCCCAGCGAGACCTTGGAATTACAAACAGAAAGTAAGATCAGTGTGTTGTTGCTTTTACTGTCTTGAATTAGAGGGTAGACTGCAAAGCAGTCATTTTTTTCCTCTATTTACAGTCTCACGTTCCATTTTCACCATCGCTTCAGGCCTTTCGTTAGACCGCTTGCACATTCTTGACCTACACACAAATACAGGCTGCATTGCGAATGCCTTGCAGTCAAATAAAATGGTTCATAATATAATGAGGAATAATGTAAAAGCAGGAACCGGTACAAAGTAGAATGGCGATGTTATTTCGGAAGACATCGCAGACATAACGTTTGTATGTGAGGTGAAGAAGGGATGGCTAAAAGCGGGGACATTCACAAACGTCAGATTTCTCAAATTCGTTGGCACTGTTTGATGTCTTCTGGTCTCTGTTTTACCAGGGTTCTTTGTAGGGTATTTGAGGAGTAAAAGCTTCCCCCCCCCCCCCCCCCCCCAAAAAAATATATATATATTGTTATCATAACAGTGCATAAGCAACTATATCGGAAAAATCATTCAGACGCGACGACTAGGTCAGTGCACATGAACTAAGTATTCCCTGTCTAAGGACACCATGCGACAAGGAACATGGAGTATTATTATTTTGAAATAAAATAACACTGTAACATTTCTCAAAATTGTGTCTCAAAATGCACCAGATTGCATGTCAGCGCATGTTCAGTTAAAAAAATTTACGGGGCGGGGGGCATGCTTACAGACCCCCCTAGGAAGCACGTGGCGTTCGGTCCCTTGGGACTTCTCCCCCAGAACGATAAATCCTGAATAGAACCCTGTTTACTCGTGAGTGTAGTGCAGTGATCAATGCCCTTCTTTGTAAAAAGAACCAGCCGCGAGCCTTAGGCTCGATCCAACCTGGACCGTATTGAAAACGGTGGCGTATAAGGCTTAGTGGCGGCAACAAGGTAAGAAACCGCCCCTAAACTAGACTATTACAGAACAAATGCCACTGACGTCACATTTTATTTTAACATTTCAGAGGAAAAAAAGACAAGTGGATCAGAGATTGCATTAGCCATTGTTCTTCCCATCCTGTTCTTGATCTTACTAGCGATTGCAGGAGTGTTTGTTTACAGGAGGTGGAAAAAGAAAAAACTGGGCAAAACTCCGGACCATGGAGTACCTTTGCACCCGCTTGTGCCTGAGTCGGTGAGGCAGTAGGAAAATTAAAAACTCGGGCTTATTTGATAAGTAAAAAAAACTAAAAGGGTTTCCTTTATAAACTCAGGCGTTTTGAAAGGTGGGAAATATTTCTAAGGAATCTTCTTTTCAAAGAAACAGTTTTTTTGCCGGCCATTGTTTGTTTTTTACGGATATAATTATGACCAAATAATAGCCTCAACAGGTTTGGGTGTTTAAAATATCTACCCATCATCTTTTGATTTGAAACTTTGAGCAACACGTAAGGAGATCGAAGGGCGTAGAAAGAAAACTACTACTCTATATTCTCCAACTTGTAGAAGCTACTAGCAGTTACACGTTCAGTGCCATATAGCTGCGGGCAGGCTGCTGTTGACTCATGGGATGTAAGTGGTGGGTTCGGGAGAGAAAAGAATTGTGAGCTTCACCAGTGGAAGAACTAGTGCGTTTGAACTGGATTTTAAAACAAACAAACAAACACAGTGGAAGAACCCCTAACGGACTCTCTCGTAGGTGAACAGCTCAACTCTAATCATAACGGATAACGACCGCCTTCACAAAACCCCGTGTTTCGCAACTCCCGTACAAACCTTTTGTTTTTACATCCCGTAAGCGGTTAGCTCCGGTTTCGGACACCTTTTTTGCGTCCCGAGGTTGTCCGCTCACGAGAGCTGCCTCTGAAATGGGCTCGAAGCCTAAAAAAACAGAAAATTTACAGGAATTTAAAACGCCCGGATGACTGGTGCCGAGTTTGAAGATTCCCGCGTCTTCAGGCGCTTCTGTTGCCGTTTCTCGCCTCAGAGAAATATTCCGCGGACAAGAGCGTTGTTAATAAAGTGACCAGCTCTGTTGAAATGCTAAGGACAGGAAAATTTAAGGTGTAGAGTTTGCTTATGTGTTGTCTTTTCTTTATTTGCACAGCCAAACCAAACCGATGCGCCAGGGACGATTACCTTTGGCACCAATGACCGTTATTACCCAGTCCCCGGCATGGAACCAAATGGCGCAAGCGCGGCGGCAATTGGCGCCTCGTTCTCATGGCGTGAAATACCTCGTGATCGACTAATACTTGGGAAAGTTCTTGGAGAAGGCGAGTTTGGAATGGTTGTAAAGGGAGAGCTGACAGAAGATGACGGCCGTACCATACCATGCGCTGTCAAACAGCTGAAACGTAAGTCAACTCTTTGGCACTTGTGATGGTAATGTCGCTAATAGGGAGTTTAAGGCTGTGCTAACGCTATACCGGATAGATTTTGCGCCTGTTCGCACCGAAGAACGTTGATTTCTGTGCGACTTTAGGTGCCCGAGATGTAACTATGTACATAGTTACTCCATTTCGCCCTATATCATTCAGACGTTATTTTGAAACATGAGCTTAGCGGCGAGTACAAACAAGTCGACTGCACTGCCCCAGAACAAAAACGATGTGCACACAGGGACCCGGTGCCCACTTTTGTGCCCGAGTACACGGTCGAATTCTAGCGCGGGTACTTGAAAAAAGGGTGTGTTCACATTAGTGCCCAGCAAGTACGGTAATCGGGCACCGTGTCCGGGCGATAAGTGTGAACGCCGCCTCTGAAACCTAAGATATTTTCTCTAATAAGTTTAGTCGTGGAAAGGGTTTTAGTACAAGCGTCACTATAAATATATTTAGCAATTAATGAATGAGGCTTTTGTAGGATATGAAGAATTAAGCAGATCGAGGAGGATGTCCTCCACAGAGGCTGAAGGCCGAGGTGGATAACACCCTCCGAGATCTGCTTAATTCTTCATATCCTACAAAAGCCGAATTCATTAATTGCTTCGTTATTCATTCAAAATAATTCCTAGTGTAAAAACATAGCTAAAACATGCTTACCTGCATCGATGTTAAGTTTATCTTCGATAGTGTTCGATTAGGTTTGTCCAGCGCTGCAAATATTCACCAAATAGCAGATGTCGCCCTCCGAGTTGTCTTCTTCCTGTTTTTGCTATGTTTTTAGCCATTATTTCACCTAGTTCCAGCTGTAGTTCTTACTCTTGAAACGAGTGAAATGTCCGCCATCATGATACGAAAACAACTCAAGGTCTTCTCGGTTAACGGTGCATTAACCTGTAGAAGGCTGCATTTTTGACGTCATTTTCTCGTTAAACACAAAATTCTTCCAAATTTGGTCATCAGTAACTGGTTATGGTGAATTATTCGTGTGCTTTCAGCCAATCCGAATTGGAGAAATATTTTGAATGGATAATAAATGTTATTAACAATTAACTTGTTCGGCAGGTGCTGCTACTGAAAGTGACTTCAAAGATTTGCTGAACGAGCTGGAGATTATGAACTCCGTTGGAAATCACCCAAATTTGATAAATCTGATCGGCGCATGCTCAAAAGGTGGTGAGTTGAAGACTTACATGTTGTGGTTTGGTTTCATCCTTGATTGAAATGACCCTTCCTCCCCCGCCCCTTCTTATTTGCAATTTTATACGCCGATATTATAAATTTATTATACCTAAAAACGAATGAAATAAAACATTTGAGCGAAGATTAAAACTGAACAAAAATAGAACACTGATCAAAACGTATAAGAACTTTTAGCGCATAGTAATCTTTAGTTCTCGGTTTCTAGAATCGGAATTGGGCCAGTTTCTTGAATTAATCCTGACTTCACCTTAACGCTAACGTAAGGTAGGCAAAGGCGCACCCGAGCCAAGTGCGCTCACGGCCGGAGCCTATCCCGGTCTCATTAGCATGACGCACCTAGGGGTATTGCTAATCTCCCCTGGACGGGATGCTAGTCCATCGCAGGGTTACCACCCAGCAGTATGTCACCGGTACCCATTTATACACCTGGGTGAAGAGAGAGAAAGTGGAGTAAAGTTCCTTGTCTAAGGAAACAACGCGACGGGCGAGGCTTGAACCCCGGACCTCCAGATCCGGCGTTCGAGGTCTTAACCATTCGGCCACACACGCCTCCACTTAACGCTAACGTAGGACGTTTTAACACATAGGGCCTTTGATGATCCTGGTGGAATTTGCAGAAAATGGAAACCTTCTGAAGTACCTTCGTGATCACAGACAACAAAATTATGATGACATGAACCAGTACAGCCTAGACATCAGCTCTTCTCAAAGACTCAGGATAGCCTGTGATGTGGCTAATGGTATGACGCATCTCGCAGCAATGAAGGTAACGCATTATAAAAGAATAATGAGAAGAAGCTCTCATGATATTAAGATAGACTATAGAGCGTTTTCACATAACGTCACGGCGGCCATATTGGTGTCCCTAAACAATAAAACGGCGGCCATGTTGGTGTCCCAAACAAATCCTGTGTGAGTTGAACTCTTTTCTTGTGTAAACGCTTTGTTTTATCCAATAAATTTCCATACATACTGGCCACGTAAGAGAAAACGCTCTATAAGGGTAAGATAATTTACTTATTTATTTACTTGTTTATTTATGAAATCTAGTAAGATAGGAAGTGTTAAGATTATGCAGATTGGGTAATTAACAACGTATCTCTGACGTTTTTTTTTTCTACCCTACCCCCTCCCCCATCCAGACCCTCTTTCCGTTACGCGAGCATAGCTCAACCAACAACGTGTCCATCGGACTGTGCCATTGTGAAAGAGTAAGGTAAAATTTATAGAAGTTTGGTTAAAGTAGGTTTTTTTCCCTGATTCACTGCATGGATACAATTTGGGGTCCGCAAATATAGTCATAATTAATTTGCTGATTCGGCAATGGACCATTCGATCGTTTTATCGACTTGTTATTTGTTTATCTGCTTCTTTGCACCCCTCAAATGATCAGTTGAAATGTCCTCTATATTTTAGTGTGCTCACAGAGACTTGGCCGCAAGAAATGTACTTCTCGGAGAAGGACTGGTTGCAAAAGTGTCCGACTTTGGCCTGTCACGTGATATCTACACGGACGACGTTTACGAGAAGAAGACTGGTGTAAGTTGTTACATTCCGAAATCTAGTTTTACATGCCGGCCACACAAAATGTTCAAATCTTATTAATAAGTGTTTCTTTTGATCGATGTAATCATTCCATACAAATCTTCGTTTCATGGGCCAGAAAAGGTTTGGGGAGGGCAAATCAACCCTGGAGCCGAAAGATATCCAGAATGGATTTAAAATGAAACTGTGTCAGTGGTTTATTGTTTGAAAAAAAACTTAAAGCTGAAAAAAAGTTATGCAATGTAATAGACACTGATTTTCGCGACTGTAGTTTATAATATATATGTTGTTATTTTTATTTAGTTTATTATAGTTTTTTTTGTTTTTTCAGGGAAAACTTCCAGCTAAGTGGATGGCAGTTGAAGCCCTGCAGCAAGGCATTTATACCAGCCAAAGTGACGTGTAAGTGTACTAGTACTCTTGGCTGATCCCTAGGCTGACTGACTGACTTACTTAGACTGATACAAAGACAAAAAGACAGACGAACAAGTTGAGTCTTTACATTGTCGCAAACAGTCATCACAGAGCCAGCAATTACGTCACGACGACCATATTGGTGACAAAACAATGAAACGGCGCCCATGTTGGTGTACTAAAATACCTTGTAGGGATTGAACTCTTTTCTCGTGTAACAACGTTCAAATTGACATAGCTGTTGACAACGTGAGTGAAAGTGAAAAATTATTCATTATTTTTTCCTGAAAACTATTCCTTTATGTTCAATTTTTTAGGTGGTCTTATGGTGTTCTCCTTTGGGAAATCGAAACTGGAGGTGAGACTGGGGAGTCTGTCATTTGGGGTTAGCGCGTGAGACTGGGTCGGGCTTTGTGTCGAATTGCACTATGGGTCTTATTCGTTCTCGTCCCCAGAGTTCCCCAGAGCCTCCTGTTCCCTTAGCCGGCGAACGCTGAGCACGAGGACCAGGATGGGTCTGTTTTGGAGACGCCAGCGCTTCTTTTATTGACTATTATGAAGTTGTGGAGGAAACTGGGTAAAAATTCATCACCCAGAACAGTGGAATTTAACACAACATCTACCCATCTCTAGGACAACTTCAAAATGGCCAATGAATTCACAACATTGCTGCTTTAAAAGCATACATGACACGACTTCTGTCATTGTTAGTTCGCACTGATACACGTAAAGAACGACAACTTGCCAGTGTCTTTAGTTCTTCCTCAAAAGGTGCTTTTCATTATGCCAAGATTTTCGTTAGTTTCGGTCAAATCATAAATGGTTCGTATCCTTCGTTGATTAGAAAGTCGTTATTATATATCAGCGGTATTTACACGTTTAACTATCATTGCGTAATTCTCTTTAGGTTGTGCTCCGTATGCAGGGATGGTTGTAAGCGAGTTGCTGTCCAAAATTAAGGCTGGAAGTCGACTGGAGAAGCCTCGTTACAGCAGTGATTGGATGTAAGAAACCACTGAAGTTGTCGCGTTTTTCCCTACGATTTGATATCGCCTCCGATGGTCTTTGACTTTGCAAGTTAACAGGGGGAAAGTGACAGGAGGTCTTATCTTATGAGCTTCGCCAGATATGGTGTGCACACCACAAAAGCTCGCACTGATTGCTAAGGCGAGGTCAAATAAGGCGAAAGCGCGCGGAAGATACTTAACACGACCTCCATTGCTAAATTTGCCACTGTGCCATTGGTCGACGATCTTTAAATCTGCGCGTCCCATCGCCATCCTCTTCATGTTGTCTTTGCTAATCTGTTTGGTTAGCCTATTGTGTGCCCGAAACAGTCTCTTTCCTAAAAAGCCAATTAGAGAATAGACGCGCCTTATTATTCTTCACTAATAAATTATTGACTGTATTAATCAATCACGACTGTAAACGTTAATGATATGTGGACCGATCCAGAATGGTTTATTCACCAACTGGAAGGTCGGATTTGTTTTTGATCCTCGGCCGCACGATCTGCAACTTCTTGTTCTTAAGCTTTTCTACTATGTATTCTAGTTCCTTATGGAGAACTGATACCATCGTCTTTGCTAAATTAAATAAGCCCCCCCCTTCAAACAAGCCCCCCATCACTATTTAGCCCCTCTCCCCCTCATATGTGTTTGAAATAAATTAGCCCCCGGAGAGCTTAACAGAGATGAATTGTACTTTGAAATGTTGTAAGGTCGTATTTCAGAATAAAGTAGATTGTCTCTAAGCGTTTCCTTTCTCCCCGTCTAAGCCCCCTCCCCTTTTTCTATCGCCCTTCCTTTCTATTGACATGCCAGCGCTCGAATTCCGCACCATTACATAGCAAAAAGTCCAACGGCCTGTTTACAAGGAGGTGGGGGACCCCAGGTAGGTGGGGTAACCCGGCCTGTCCATGTAATCCCTCACTTTAATTTGATCCTGTTTACATGATAGGTGGGGTGATCAAAAGGGCAGGCGGGTTACCCCACCTAAGCGGGTTACCTCACCTACCTGGGGTTCCCCACCTCAGTGTAAACAGGCCCTAACAAAGACTTGTTTACCTCTGAAGGTACACTGTAATGCTACGCTGTTGGGATGCCAATCCAAAGAAAAGGCCAACATTTGAAGAGCTAAGTGACGAGCTGAACCGAATGTACAAGCAAGAAACTGTAAGTCAAAAAGCAAGCTTTGCCAAATAAATATCAAAAAATCAATAGTAAGAACCAATAATAGTAAAAACAAAATAGGCTATTTTCGAAAGCTATGTTAGGGTGAGTTTGATTTGAATGAGAATAGAAAATTGTTTTCATATATTTCATATTATTTTCATTATTTTCATAAATGTGGCTTTCATATCACGTTCATATCACCCCAGAGAACTGTTTCTTTCATATGTCGTCCTTTCACGTGCATAATTATTTATATTATTTATTCATACATAAATGAAATCCCTTGAGAATATCAAGTGATCTTATTTGGGAAAACAAACTCTCCGTAGAAAAGAGCGTTATTACTCAGGTGGCCAGCAATTTTACTGGAACAAAAGAAAGCGTTTACACAAGAAAAGAGTGCAACTCCTCCAGGATTGGTTTAGAAAACCACCATGTCATTGTTTTTGATGCCATGTGAAAACGCTCTGCTGTTTTGGTACACTTACGTGGCTCTTACATTTCTCTTTAGTTAACTCTAGAAGTGATAATAATTATTAGTATAAAATATTTCATATTTATATATACACTGTTTTACAGGACTATCTGGCTCCTGAAGAGTTCAGACTGGAACCAGATTACTTAAACACTTCGGTGGAAAATGTCTCTTCTGCTTAAAGTCAGCACTGGGGCCCATGAGCAAACGGAGCTTTGTGTGAAAGCCTCATTATATCCATGGAACAAGAAATACTTGTACCATATTTGAATTGATTTTATTGTTTTTCCTTTTTGTTAGATAAATCTTTCATTGTCACACTATCGAAAAGCAAACCGAATCAATGATGTCTGCATCCTTTGGTTCGATCTGATTTTGATAAGGACAATGGATAAACAGTATTGCTAAAATTTTGCTTGATTGCTAAATATTTTCTCTCTAGAAGGCGGCAGTATAGAGTGTTTTCACTCACGTGGCCAGCATCTATGCAAATTTATTGGAACAAAAGAAGCGTTTGCATAAGGAAAGAGTTCAATTCCCAGAGGATTGGTTTGGGACACCAACATGGCCGCCGTTTCATTGTTTTGGGACACCAATATGGCCGTCGTGACGTCATGTGAAAACACTCTATAGACCTATTCGGCTAACTAACTGTTGTATCCAATTCAAACCCTTTAGGGATAAAACGTTTTGTTTCAGAAATTTCCAAGTCATTTAAATGTGAATGCAACATTATGATGCAAATACAGTACACAAAGAATCTTAACCCCGGGAGATTTGAATTGGGTACAACATTGAGTTAGCCGAATAGGTCTATTCTCGTAAGATGTACAGTAATTATAAATTATTGTTTTTTCTAGTCAAATTATAAGCGTATTGGGACGGAGGAACGTTAATATGAGGATTTACTGGTCAGAGCATTTAATGACAAAAAAAATGGTTCATCGACTTAGTTGGTAACCATTCGCCACTTTAGAAACGATAAGAAAACTGGGGCCGAGTTAACTTTCGCAAAGATTTCTGGGAAAGATATTTGGACGGGGAAATAATTGGCTAATAGCTGACCAGAGCGTCCCCTTAACGATCCCATAAACTATCGGGGGACGTATTTCGGCTCCAGTTTCCTTCTCGTTTCTAAAGTGGCGAATTGCCTCCGTAAGATTCAAAAGCCGACGTTTTGAGCGTCAGTGAACCCTACTGACTGCCAAAGGAGACCCATGGCCCCGCCTCTTAATGACAGCTCTGCAGTGGTGAAAAGAGAATACGCGAACACACAGCGCTTAATTGAAAGTTGTCTTTTGAATCCTGCTTTAATAGACCTCTTTAGCTTGTGTGTTTTGGTTTCCCAATGTAGGGATTGGCCCTTATGCATGTTCACCACCCAGCCTCGTTTTGAAATTGTAAAGTTGCGAAGTTTTGCATAAATAAATTCCCATGGCAGAAGAGTTAAATAGAATAACCAAACACAACAAGTGCAAATGCGAAGAATTTTTCTTCCAGACTAGGCGCGGTGGTGAAATTTGCTCGTATGACGTAATCATGCATAAGTGGCATTCGGCCTTGGCTTCTTTCATAACTGCCCATAGATAATCACGTGAAGAAGACAAAATTTGAGGGAAACAATATTCTTGAGAGTATTATCACGTGACCTACACTGGGAAAACAAAACATACGAGCTAAAGAGGTGTATTCTACATCGATGCAGTTTCACCAGAAATCAATTAACGCCTTTATTAAAAATGGAATATATACGCATAGGAAAGAGATTCTTGTGGATAAACCGTCTAATACAGTGAAGGGGACCTCGAAACTAGGACATTGTGTACGTAAGCTAGAAAAGTAATTATTTAATTAAACTTTTTGGAAGAATCTTGGTCAAAATACAAAAATGCTAGCCTTGAAAAAGATAAATGTTACGTTAAGGTTTCGTGTACTTGCGTAAATGTCTCAAAGTGTATGAAACAGTATAAATGAGACGCTAGAATTTAGCAAGTATTTGCACTGTTTATCGGTTTTTAGGGCTTTTATATTTAATTAAAAGAAAGCCAAGCATCGAATAAAAATAAGGAAAAGTCTTCTTCGTCTTATTTTTTTCAATATTACTGCTGCCAAGAGGGCGGCGTCCTATGTCTCTGCTGAATCTGGACCTTGAGGTTACCTGTTTCGCGCGCGGTTACGCTTTTGTCAGCACTGCCCATGCCCCTCTGCGCAGATAGTCTGTGATTGGTGAATTTATGATTGACAGACTTTAATCTGCGACCTCGTGCTTAAACATTTGTTGTGTTGATGTACGAAGTTGAAGTCGAAAGTGGGACGCAAGTGCGAAGAGAAGTTCTTTACTTTAACGGTAAGCTAGGGTACTTATTAGCTTGTCACGATAAGCGTAAATTTAAGTATTTCGGGGAGTATTTACAGGGCAACGACGTCAAGAAGGGGAGCTGAAGCGACGATGGCGAAAACCGTCATTTAAAAAGTGAATTCACGCTGTTTCGAAATTCACCGCTCTTATTCCATGTTGGTGAGTTTTTCTGGACTTGAATTCTAAAGGACAGTATCCGGTTTTAAAAAAAGGAAAGGAAAATCTTTTTCGTGTGTTCATTTTCTCCTTGAAACTTGAAATTTGGCAGTTTCACGTTGTGGTCGTGCAACGACGGCAAAGAATAATGCAAAAAAGCGTGATGCACGTGCGAAGTTTGTTTTTGCTTTCCTAAACGTATTGTTTTTTTGTCTTTCTCCTTGTTGTTGTCCTCGTCGTCATTGACAAATCCCTCTTCCACGGGTCTCGCAACGCTGATGGGCAGTTGTAGTCCTTATTTAAATACCGAGAAAATTACATGAGGTCAAGCATTCTTCAAACTCACGAAGTTTATTTGATGGAATTGGTTTGCTCCCTTTAAAGAAAGATGACTACTCTTTCTTTATCGGCGCAAATCAGTGAACGAACAGCTTACAGAAGAGGGGTCAATACAGTGGTGTGTCTAAGAACACCCTAGAGCCCACAAACAACATTAAGTCCGTTAAAGTAAATAGCAAAGTCACCACTGTAGCAGCTCCAACAGTTCGAAGACGACTCCTATTGAAAGAATGATACCGGCTGTCTAAGGCCCGTTTCAAACGTCGAGCTACTGCCGTGCCGAACTAAATTGAGTCGAATTAAATTCCACTTTATCACGGCAGTAGCGCGACGTTTGAAACCAAGTCGTGCTACTGCCGTGTAACACGGCAAGCTTTGCCGTTTTACACGGCAGTAGCTCGACTTGGTTTCAAACGTCGCGCTACTGCCGTGCCGAACTCAATTCATAAGTTATAAATACATTGCAATACATTTTAACAGTTCGCCAAACCGCTTTTTGTTTTTCGCAACAGCTATTTTATTCGACTTCGTTAAATTCCGGGTCTGAAACCAAGTCGTGGTACAGTTGTGTTAGAGTCGTGCTGAAGTCCGACCCAGCTTAGAACGGCCGTAGCACAACGTTTGAAACAGGCCTAAGAAGCCTATCTTTGCGCTCACAAACACCTAAACAACAATTAAACTAAGCAACAAGGTCATCAACACAGCGGTTGCAGCAGTTCAAAAGACCCTGTACCAGTTCCCACTACTCGACCGACAACAAGCCGTGACGAAGGCGAATTTAATTTCTCTGTGTCTCCTGACAGTACTGCTCCGCGAAGGAAATGTGTTGTGGTTTCAAAACTCATTTTCTGGAAAGGAGAAGCGTTCGATTCGATTCCAATGCGATTGAAGGCCTTAATTGTGCCTTCGTACGTCATGTAGTCGGACACAAGGCTGAGGTGACGAGGATCCACTTGAATTCCGTAAGCACTGAATACGTTTTTTAATTCCTGCAAGGTGAAAAACAGATAGTAAGCATATCCTGTGTCTCTTAAGAATGTTAAACTTAAGGGAAAAAAGCATCACACTTTTTTTACACCTATGCGCAAAGCGATCCCTGTTCAAAAATAGATGGTTCTGTCTTGTAATAGTGGCTGAATCTTTTAATCACGGTTCCTCTTTCTTCTGTTCCAAAGTGTTTTCGATGTTAATTTTTGGTGCAAAGTAACAGCAGGCACTTTCCCACCACTGCAACAAAACCATTGTCCTCTACCATCAACACCTTTCTAACTCACTCACCCTTCCCTTGTGGTCAGATTGGTTAAAGCCCCTATAGCAGTTAAGCACCTGAAACCATTGGGATCAGGTCATGCGCAATTTTACCGATGGAGCCAATCCTCTACACTTCAGAAATTCTAGGGAGAATGGGTACAAGCTTTGGGTGCAGTGATTTCTGGGATTGTTTGGGTGAACAAGCGTTAATTATGATTGGTCGATGATATCGCCGTTGGGGACGTTCCTCCGCGAGAAACGTCCCCAGCTACGAAGAGCGAGGACAAACGGATGTTTTCGCAGGCTACAGAAATCATCGCGCCGAAAGCTTTTACCCATTTTATTTTCGGAGGTGGAAAAAGAAAACTTTAATAGTAACGACTTGGATAAGAGTTATAGGCTTTTCAAGCTCTTGACACATTATACAGGGTGCTAAGTAGCTTCAGTAAAACAAGGAAGAGTTTACCTGTTTTATAACTTTTGCTGCTGCTTCGATTCCGTATGTGTTCGCCATAGCATGAATGTCGTTTGTGTATATCTTCGTCAAGTCAAGAACGTCTTCGTATTGCCATGCAGCCTAAAAAGAACAACTCATTAATCAATAAAAACACCAAGGAAAAACGATATAAAATTATAAGAACAGAAAATATCATCGCACATATTTGACAATCCATCAGACCATTCACTACTGATTAGAGCTACAACACATGGCTGGCCTCAAGACAGCACGGCCACACAGAGAGACACGAAAGCTATCTATCATCTCACACATTTCACTCTTTCCTGTTTAATTTGATTACTTTTTTTTTCAAGGGTTATCTGTTAGACTGTTCACAGTGCCGTATTTTTCCGTCCCCCGCCCCTGCCTCCCCTCCCTCCTTCCAAGTAGGTTTGACAGTAAACCCCAGGCTAGACTAAAACATTTGAAACCAAGATGGCCGCCAGTAACGCAAAGCGCAGTTACCTGTAGATTGACGCCTTCAGTTTTCAGCACTGCAGTATCGTTATTTTCGACCAAAAAACATCGGTTAATTTTTGGAGTTTCATAGACAACACTCTGAAAGAATAGAAGACAATTATCGAAATTAATTTCAGTAGAATGAGCCTACAAGCATGTGGGTACCGTATTGTGAGGAGAAAAAACTACTGAATGTCGTAACTTAGCAAAACAATTAAAAATTCGCAAAACTTATACCTGGTTGGCCAGTTTCTCTATCACGGAAGAAACTCGGATTTTGAAGTTCGTCACGGGAAACTAAAAATAGGTAGGAAAGTTAGAAAACAACAATTAGAAAAAGTATAAGTACTTCATCGCGTAGGGATAGGGAATAAGATGTACTTTTCGTAAGACGGGCTGATCTTGATGTTACGGGGAAAAAGAAAGTTTCATTATAAAACTAATAGCACCCTGATGGGTGATAAAGAAAAGCAACCTTCTCAAACCCTCACACACGTTTGTTAGATGCAGTTATTTGAGTAAACTAAGAGTGAACACAAACTTTGAGAACTAAAATTCATAAGACCGTTTGCCAAGGGTTTTTGCAAATTGTAAGAAGTTAGCAAAATACTCCTATCCTTTTTCACACCCGATGTACGATAATTCTTATACGATTACTTTACTTATGTTTCACGGTGGTCCTAAACGCATATTCCAAAACTGTCAGAATAGGCCACTGAGTATAATGGAACACGTTTGCATATTTAGCAAATTCCAAGACACATAAAGTCATAGGTGCATAATGAAGTCTGTAATGTCGCAACCGTTTCAGCATCTACTCCACATTAGGTGTGGCAGATGATCGTTAAGGTGCGGTTTCTTTGGCACGACAATGTGGGCTCTGAGAAAACTGTCTCCTCACAAGCGATCATGAGCCATGCTACAGAAACTCATTTTTCAAGTTGATCTTAATTTGATTGACTTATTTATGATTTGCCTAATGACAGTCACTATTGCCGCCATCCCGCGGAGCAAGACGCCGAAGACATTCGCCTGGTGGAAACAAGTAGTAAGTGGTCGAACGAAATGTCACGATCCATGAAAACGGATTATCGTGAGGCAAGCATTTGCAGCGTCGTATCTCAGCTTGTTCAAAGGAAGGGACCGTTTGAGATTACCGTTTTAAGTAAAGCAAGCGAAGCGATATGTGGATCACTGGTGGACAAATCAAAAGCTACCGATAATGTTTTCCTTTTTTTGGTCTCACTAGCTAGGATCCACAGTGTTTCTTGTCTTAAGCAACGCCCTGTATATGTCAACAACTCATCAGCCTTGCCCACAGGAACACCAACCAAATTTTCGACATATAAACATTTATCGACAGGACGGCAACAATTACCTGTAAGGAGACTTCACACCATTCTTCATTTTCCGCATCATATGAATATGAAGCGACGTGAATATCACTCTGTAAAACACGCTGCAAACAAACAGAGAACCACACTTGCTAAACCAGGTGATTGCTCGAAAAATCTCGCGCATGAAAAGTAAAAAGAAAAGCTCGCGCCTCTAACTTTCAGGCTATCAGTGATTTTAATTTTACCTGTAATCTCGCATCATCAACACTCGAGCGACGGCGTTTGGCCTTTTTCATTTTTTCTTGCTCTGCGCTGTCATCTAAATTCTGATCTTCTCCATCCTCTTGAAATTAAAAATAATAATTAAAAAAAGCCATTCAATAAAAAATAAAGGACATTCGAAAAGACGAACAGGGACAACTCCCTGCGTTCGTAGTTTTACTTGATTTTATCTCTGTTTACGTTACATGTTCTTGCACTACATGCAATATATCACAACCAATATGAAAATGTACCTCCGAAAAGTGATTCCGTTCTCAAACTCGAGATTTCTTCGCTGTTTTCGTCGTCTTTTGAAGAAAAAGAGAAATAAAAACAAAGATAAAATTGTACCAAACGTGAAAAGGATTACTTAGATAGAAGATGACAACGATCCTCTTTTAGGTCTCCAAAAGAGAAGTTTGGAGTCAAAATATCCTGCTAGTACAATCATCTCCCAACAATTCTTAACCAGGAGACTACTACAACAATTTCCCACCTCAGGTTGGTTAATGGTTGCCTTGAATACTATCGATTAAGGCCCCTGGTAGTTTCTGGAGAGGGGAATACAGGGCATGCTCACCGTCACTGTAGTAGTCTAACTCGTTTTCTTCGTCCTCATCGGGCGGTTCATAACTGGCATGCTGAAAAAAAATGAGTTGCAGCAGTTTATCAACTTTAACAACTGCGTCGCTAAGTGGAGATGGGTGCCCGAGATGTCTAAGGGTTTCCACTTTTGGCAAAGCCAGCCCCTAGAAAAAGTTACGCCCCAATGGCTGGTAAACCCGCGCCCTATTGCCATGAACCACCACGCCAACGGAACCAGGCACATGTCACACTGATTTATCAGTGGAAAAAATGAAGGGGGTGAGCAATGGGGGTAAAAGAATGATACAAAGACTAAAAAAGAGAGTGGCCACTAGGAAACGCCATACCAAGCACATGGAGATGATGCAAGCAAGGCTGACCGCGCTTGAGCCATCGCACTGACCGCTGACCGACGCTTGCGCTCCTGGTTGTTAACTCTGTTAAATTTCACTTAACTTTATTTATGGGTATTATACAAAAACAACAATAGATACGGATAAATAGAACAAGATTGTGAGATGATAAGGGGTTGAATCGTATTTCTCTCGGTTCTTTTCTCTTACTGTACCTGTTGTCTTCTCTGTCTCTGTTTAGCTTCATTTGCGTCACCATCAGCCGCTTCCTCGTCGGATAACTCCGCGTTGTCATCATCATCGTCATCTGTACAAAAATCATGACAATTTTATTGAACTCCAATTTTGACAATTCTTGAGTAATACAGTGTCTGCATGTTCTCTCTTACACGACTGATAACCCATTGCCTACACACATATACAGGGCCGGCTGTTGTTCGAAAACCGAAAAGAGAAATCCAGGGTTAATTTCCATGACAAATCATTTTATAAGTAGGTTGAGTATGATCGTCCGGGTGAACGTGGTTCTGAATAGGACTGTTGTTAACAGTGACCGACGTTTCGACAACTTGTGCGGTGTCATCTTTACAGCGTATTCATCTTTTGTCTCATAACAGCGAGCCCATGATTAACGATAGCCCGGCTTTGAACACTGAAGTTGGCCCTGAAAACTCGAAATGACGGTTCCCTATCCAATAAGAAAATCAGCCAAGAACACTAAGGACACATCAAAACCCTTAGTGTGAAAATGTCTTGGTCTCGCCTTGTATTCCCCTTCCTCAAAGAGAAGCGAAGACAGGCATACATGCTCGTTTATTTTAATAACGCCATCTTTGACATAAACATGCCTGTCTGTCAATGAATCATTCCCAATGGTTAAATACATATTGTACAAGTGAAATTGTACGAGAAAACCGTCGTTGTCTAAATGGATCTTGGGATAATTATCTGTCATCCCCACATATTTTGCAGGAGTCAATGACGTCCTCACTAACCTTGGAAAAGGAGAGAAATCCCGGTTGCAGACCATTCGAACGCACTTGATAATCTTTGATTATGACTAGTTTATCTATTCATCTATTTGTTCATTGTTTATTGAGTTAGATGGTTGATAACTCTTTTGCTTATCTATGATACCTTGAGCACCACCTCCTGCCTCACTGTTTCCATTTCTCGGCTGATTATTTTCCGCCACAGTTTCAATTATTCTGCCAAAAATATTAACCCATGATAAGTTCTACTAGGTATTTACGTGGGAACTACAAGACGAAAACCAAGACGCTGTCGTAGCGTTTGCTTGAGCTCTGACACATGCCCAGAGACTTCGTTCATTCCTTTCGGGGATATAATCTAAGCCTACGCACTCAAAACAATCACAGCGGACACTCCATTGCCTATACACGACCCCCCAACGGGGAAGAACATATAACTTTGAGCATCAAACATAACCAAAACAAAACCAGGTATAAACAACCGAGAGGCCTACACAGACTGAGTGTAACTACCAATTCGTATGAAAAATCATCAAGAATTCGTCGATGTTGTGTACGCCGTTACTCAACATTGGCCTAAGCCTCCACCTACATCTCACTTGACTTGGCTTTTGTGGCTTTCAAGACTGCGGAAATAATCTTCTTGATGAAAATAAGCTCCACATAACGAAGAATGCTTGATGCCTTCACGCAAAATTCATCCTGGTGAAAGACAATAATATATGGCATCTTACTTGAACAGTCGCCTCTCTATCACTAGTGGAAACTATCAAGTTTAACCCTCTAAGCCTCAGTATCCACTTACAAAGCACTTTCCCTTTGGTGATCATTTACTAATTCTCGTAATCTTGTCCGTGATTATTAGTCGATATTGTTAGGATAACATTGATGTTGGTCACTATAACAAAATGTCCATGTGCAGTTTGTACAAAAAAAAAACGCCTCCAGGGCACAAAATAGTTTAAAAACCTACAGACAAAACGCTTTTGCCCCGAAGGACTCGCATAGATTGGCGGGGCCTTCTAAAGCCAACTCACCCCAAAATAACCCGTAATTATACAATTTATTAGACACACAAGTTACAGTTACCTTGTATGATACCTCGCTGAGGAATTTTAACCTGATACGGTGCATCCTGCTTCTAAATGATTGAAAGCCAACAAAAATTGTAAGCGTCAATTTCATAAACAAGACACGAATTGAAAGTAACATTTCCTTTTCGGGGATATTATACCGAGTGGACTTTATAATTTTAAATCCTTTGTGATGGGTATTTCAGGTGAAAAAATTACAGTACAAGAAGAAGTAATATACGATGGAGGAGTGGGTTGAAAATATTTGCGTTTGGATCTTAGAAGAATGCAGGACAAAAATCAGTAGAAAAAAAAAAACAGAAGGATTGGCTGGTTCTCACCGCCCTCCGCTCTGCTTTGCTGATAAAGATTCCCAAACATCTACAGACTCCAAAACCTGCGAGAAAATAAAGTGCATTAACTGCAAAACAGTTTTCATTCGCAAAAAAAGAAAAATAACAGGAAAATAATACCGTCAGACCTTATTGTATTAATGCGGGCGACAAGAGGAGCCGGCAATCCTATAATCTTCAGGTTGTTATTACGCATGCGTCGCATGTATGTGGCCAGCATTCGTTTTGACTTCCACTAGGAATGTATGGAATCCACAGAACGCACTTTGATCACGCGCGTTTGGGCTTTCTATCACTCGTAATCTAATCACGCGTGTTTTGACCGCCTGTCACCTGAAACTTACGCAAAGCACAACGCTGGAGCAAAAGCGTTTTGACCTTCGATCGTTGTCGCCCGCACTCCCTAACCTTTGGTTATCACTAGTTACTTCCTTAGTTACTTTTCATTTAATAACCTTACACAACAAAATTCATATTATACAGATGGAGAGTGGGGTGGGGTATAACAAAAAACAGCAAAACAAATATCAGTACTTAATCTTCTCTATTGTTTTGAATTGTTTTTAAAATTCTGATTACAAAATCAGTGGTGTTCAACACCTCTCCTAAAGCAATTGATATAGCATGTTGTGACACTATACAGTACAAACAGACAAACTCTTCTTGTCATTCAAAGAGACTAGTTGAAAAGAAACTAAAAATAGATTTTAATGGTCGACACTCAAACATTCTAGCTGAAGTAATCTCTTTAAGCTTAAGAGAATATTAAAAAAACACACATTTACTCTCATTTTTCCATAAAAAAGAGGACATAAGGAAGTTAACTTTACTTATTAACTGCTTAGATCATCGGCTACATTTTAGAGGCCTAGTCGGAACCATTAGCAAGTACCCAGCTCCCTTCGGATTATCAAGCGAGCGAGTACCAGAGGGGACTGGGAGACATACACCTTCCAATGGAAACCACCATTACCTGGGCCAAAGTGACCTTTGTGAATTTTCTCTGAAGCTGTTTCGCACGTTTCCTTGCTTTTGGCCCCGGTTTCAACGGCAAGTCCATACTTGGTGTTTTGATATTCGCACTGGCAGTCATCAAGATTTCCCTGGTACGAAAAAGTAATTTTAAAACCCTTTAAGTCCCACTGGTGACCAACTAAAATTTTCTCCTGATGATATCCATACATCATCAAGAGAAACAGTTATGAGAATTAATAAAATGATCACCAAAGAGGAAATGCTTTGATCTTTTATCAAATTCTCTCAACACATTCTTTAAGGAAATGTATAGAAATCAGTTTGGAGAATTTGTATGTGGATATTGGGGCTTAAAGCGTTAAGGTCATCAACGCTCTCTGATTTTGCCCTTACATTCTTCACATCAGGGCCTAGCTGTTCAAAACTGAGCTGGATAGCGATATCCATTGGATAAATCACTATCAGCAGATAAGTATGAAGGAAATCAGTTGCCTTATCCACTGGATGGAGATTTATCCAATGGATAGCATTATCTACCCTTCGAACAACTGGGGCCAGGTCCTATTTTCTCGTCTACCAGCTCAGATGTACTTCTTGTACAGATTAAGTAATCACAGAAGAATATTCTGGGGGCAATCATTTCATCATCATTGCTGATAGACCACCAAGGCGACAAACATTCTCTCACTTACTTCTAATTAGAAGTAAAAGTACGTTAATTTTAGAAGAGAGAATACTAAAGCTGATGTTACGAGCACTGCATGACTGTGCCTGCAACACAGTTCTTTTGAAAAACCGTTATTTATTCAACAGGCTCCCTCCGAACTTTTTCAAATCGAGTCCTGGTCTTCATCCTCTCTTATTCCCATGCAAGTCAACTCATTTCCAATTTCGTTCTCGGGTTCCTGTCCTACTCTTCCCCCGGCCCAGGGAACAAGTAGGAGAGGACCTTGGGAACGACTTCTCTCATTTTTAAATAGATGATTGTGCACCAGGACTCGCTCTGCCGAATAAACAGCTTTAAGCAAATCGGAAATGGGCTATTCGCACAATAGCTTCCAGCAAGTTGTTAGTCTTGCAGCTTCAAAAGGGTAAGTGAGAGTGAAATCATTTCAAAGCACGTGTACCTGAGTCTTGGAATTCCAAGTGTGACATTCATCTCACCACGGCCAGCAAAATGAAACGTGTTGAGCGTCATCTGCGTAGACGGCTCACCGATGGACTGAAAAACAAAGACAAGCGTCTGAACTGCTGTTTACAATTCGTTAAGCCCGTGACCCAAGCAGCATAGTCTGACTTGGTATCTGTAGCACATTCCAGCTACAATTGAAGAAAACATTTACTCACTGTCCGCCCTAATATACCAGTCCATCGCTAAGTCATCCGGTATTTTGTCACGAGCAAATAGACGAGGGGCTAAAGTTTTAAGCGCATCATCTAGAGTACAGAAAGCATTAGCGTTTAATTGCCTTTTTCGTCCTTCGAACAACTTATTTCTTCTTGCTTTTCCAAAATTCCTCATGACAATAGAGGAAGAGAACTGTTCTCTAAATAGCAAGACTCTTTTAATTCGAAGATTTCATTTCTGACTGACAGATTTCTGAAGGTGATGTCAAAAAAAGAAAATGGAAATCCTCAAAAGCTATAATTTTGTTACATTCTGCTCTTCATAACAGGCAGTTTCGTTCGCCGACAAATCCTCACTGCCAATGCAAACAAAATTCGCCACGACAAAGAAACTAGTTAACTTTCGCAAGGACTTCTGGGACTGCTACAGGGGACAGGAAAAAAATTGGCCGATGGGTGGCCAGCGCATCCATAGTAATCTTCCCAGAAGTCTTAATGAAAATTAACTCGACTCAGCTTCCTCTTCGATTCTTAAGTGGCGAATGGTGATGTTGGAGTATGGTTGTTTCGCTACAAAGTCGTTTCGTTGCATAATGAAGTCGATTCACTGCAAAGTTATAAAGTTGTTTCGCTAACTGAACTCGTTATTACCCGTTTGTAGTTCATTTTAAAATGTTTTTAACTGTTTAATACAAAAAGGTTCGTTGCAGAGAATCGACTCTATGATGCAGCGAAACGACCGTAATTCGTGATGTTTATTCCTCCAAATGGAACAGTAAAGCAAGGCTTAATTGAGGGAAACATTACTTTCAGACGTATGAGGTGACTCACCTGCGCCGCTAACAAACCAACTGCTTCACCGGGTTCTGCTAATGCTCGGAAAGCTTTTAAGTACATCAGGAGCTCGAATTTGCTTGCTGGTATTTTACCACTAAAACCAGGACACAAAATTACTGGTAACATGTCACTATTCACTATGAAACTAGAGTGAAAGCTCTCCTTACTGGCAACTATTAATGAAGGACAGCCTTCTCTAGGGCGGCACTGACACTAAAATCAATACAATCTGTACGAGTTCACGGAGGTAATTGTTTCTCTTCTTTTTAAGGCGTCCAAGTTTTGCTAAATCCCACCTGGCGGGGTTGGGGCGCGGACAACACGGAACAAGGTTTCGTTTCTAACGATATACCATAAGCCATAACATAAGGAGATTGCGTGGTAAGATTACTTACTTTTCTTCATAATCCTCATCTGTCAAGCATTTGTCCGGATTTGTACCTGTGTACTTCTTTACAGAAGTAGAAAACTTCTCAGACACCGCCCCAAAATACCTATCTGGCTGGTACTTTGACAGCACAGGATCGGGGCAGCTGGCAGATTTCTTGGTATACCTGTGAAAGAGTGTTTTACATTTCAGCTACCCTTAAGGAGGCTGTGTTAGGGGAGGGGTAGTTGGGCAGTTTTCCAGAAACGTATAGTGAAACCTCTTTTAAGCGGACCCCCAATTAAGTGGACACCTTCTGTTAAGCGGACACTAAGCAGGGTCCCGAAACGAACGTCCGATATTTCCCTTACAACGATCCTCTATTAAGCGGACACCGGACTGAATTGACAATAGTAGAATTGGGTTATGTCCTTGAAATAAGAACTAAAGTTACTTTATGTTTTTGCATTCACAAACAAATAAAAGTTGGTAATAAAAGGTAATGAAATTGAACTCTGAATAGCTTCTTTAACAACATGCAACTTTATCACAGTACAGAGTAACCGTTGAATGTTGATCGTTAACAAACATTACGCAATTTTTACAACCTCTATTGAGAAGTTATTTCATGTTTCACTCAATTTGGTGGCAGTTTATTCTGTTTGAAATTTGATAAATTTCATGGCAGGCATACTCAGACAATTAATATTTTTTTCGGTCGAGTATCAAAGGAATAAAGCCTTTGCAAGGGCTATTTAAAAGTTGATCACTTTAATCTCGAGAGAAACCACACGTGTAGCTAACAGCTCAGAAGTACTTTTAGTAAAGATTAAGTAATCACTGAACAATATTCTGGGGGCAATCATTTCATCATCATCGCTGCTAACTTGTACTTCAAAATTTTATGACCCCCTATGACGAACTTACCACCCTCATCTTGTTCGATACAAAAAAAAAATTGAAAAAAGGAAATGAGTGATGTACATGTAGGAAATGTGACACTAACTCTCTCAGTGAAGCTAGCGGTTTGTTCATTTATGCCTTCAAGCGTCATTTGTGTCCAACAGGTATTTTAATCAAAAGGAAATGACTTTTCGAGAACAGTAGTTTCACACGTCATTTTATTTCATTTGTTTTAAAGTTAATGACTTCACCGACAGATACAGACTCATCCAATTGTGAAAATTACAGTCAACGCTAGTTTATAACAAACCTTTCACGAACGGACAAGGGTGCCTTGCTCCATTTTTTAAAGAGCTTCAGATCAGCCTAGAAATAAAAGCAGACGTATGATACATGAACACAAAACTGCCGTTCTGACAAACCACGTACACACCAATGCTTAAACATTTTCGGTAAGATAGTAAACGGAGTTAAGCCAGTGTTAAATAAAGCCACGTTGTAACGCACTTTCAATCTGGCCGAGCCCGAGATCGAAACCAGACTGTTAATCGGGAACAGTAACGACAAATACATGAAGTACAGACTTGAAAAACAGTTATCTACTCAAAATAATCAACTTATAATCACATCTGGTGGCCCACTGATTGTCTCGAACCGTGCTGTCGGCATTTAATACTTGGTTAAAATAACAAGATCATTTAGTTGAAAGTGATTCCGCGAAATATTACCCGTCATCGCGGGTAGCTAATGGGGCTGACAGGATATCTACTGGCAAAAGTGTTACAAGGAAAGTTTACTAGAAGGGGACTTTACTGTTACGAACAAATTTCAGAAGCAGGGAATTCAAATGCTTCTTTCTCAAGCTGCTAGGAAGAGCAGGTACCCTAGAACTAAAATAAAAATAGTTAACTTGACAGATTCAGCACCTTAGTTCGCCCAAACTGTACAGGAGTTTCAGCTTCATCTTCAGACTCTTGTGGACAGTTTTCTCTAGCAAAACACAGAAATGGTGAACTTCTTTTTTGGCGATTCTGCTCGTGTTTTTTCATCCATTTAGTAATCTGGAAACAAATAAAATCAGTAGCTTGCATTTCATGTCAACAAACAATGGCATTGGGGAATTTTGAGAGAAATCCTAAATTTTACTTTGTAACATACCAAAAAACGAATAGTAACATGGAAAAAAGCTGCTGAAGAGGTGTCATTTAAATGACATCATAGGATTTCATCCACAAACGCAAAAATGATCAGAAGTGACAACAGGCATTAATAACATCAAGGATCACTAAAAATGTACGAGCAATTGTTATTATTTTTATGCACAAAAACAGCTCAGAAGTACTTTTAGTACAGATTAAGTAATCACAGAACAATATTCTGGGGGCAATCATTTCGTCATCATCGCTGTTTTGTTTTTGTTTGCTTTTGTTTGACTGACTTTTTTCCTTCCTACCTTTCTTTCAAGTTTTTGCGCTTTTTCTGATTCCAGATGTGGAAGAAGCGCTTTAGGATTCAGTTGATGTAGAAACGCCTGCATGAGTAGAAAAATAAAAATAAATAAATAAACAAATGAATATATAAAAGAAAGAAACTCCTGTAACGTGTTTTTAAATAATAGCACTGATAACGATTGTAAAAACATGATTAGTAATGGTAACAGGACTGAGTGGAGTCCAATTCGGTCTGTAATCATACGAGTGATTAACAAAATCTCCGATTTGTTTAATCACGAGTATGATTACAGACTGAATTGGACGACACGAAGTTCTGTTACCAATTAATCATAACTTTAACAAAATTTGTGATACAATAGGCTATTTTTTAAACCAAAACACAAGAAATTCGAAATTTTGTTTTGCTAGCAGTGAAAAAAAAAGCCATTTAAGCGCGCGCGTGATGGCGCGTACTGTCCAATTACTTAGGCATGACGCGTACTGTCCTATTAAACTGTCCAATTAAGGCTGAAATCAGGGCAGTTGAGAGCCAATCAGATTTGACAATTTTGTTGTAGTTATGATTATAACAAAAACTCATAGCGTCAACGCTTCCTATTTCTACTGGGGACTGACCTCAAATGGAACAAAGCTTGTATGTTATCCCACTCTTTACAGATGCAATGTCACAGGTAAAATACTTTTTTAGTTGAGTTTCAATTAATAAACCATTTTCAGAATTCTTAGTTGAACTCTTTAGTATATGAATTAATAACAGTAACACTTCCGCTCCAAGGAGATCCTATGTGTGTAGCTAACAACTCAGACGTACTTCTTGTACAGATTAAGTAATCACAGAACAATATTCTGGGGGCAATCATTTCATCATCATTGCTGTTAGCAAGTGCTACGTAACAATATAAAAACGTCTGCTCAATCCACCTATTCACACGCGTAACCTTTGAGTCATTGTGTCAAATTTTCTTTTTTTGAGTTATGAATTCTTGCAATCAAGAAGTCTCCGAACCTGGTAATTTCCCGCCATAAACGGGAACTGCTTCTCAGAAAGGAATGAAGTCTTCATGACGTCCAAACCATCTTCGCCATAGTAAAACTGCACTACAGAGCTATCACTGTCCCGCACGGTCAGGTCATAACCGACTTGAAGACCTTCTAAGTGTTTAATAAGACATCGCTGCAGGTATCCGCTGCGACTTGTTTTCACGGCAGTATCGACAAGACCCTGAAAAACAATAATTCACATTGAAAACATTTCGGGTTTTTTACAACAGTGTTCCTTTGATTTAGGTCTGCAATGAGTCGACTGTAATAAACTACCCATAAAGCTGCTCATCGCTTCATATGATGCTTCAATCCCTTCCGTATCCAGCTCTATTTCTGCTGGGCCTCAGAAGCACATTAGAAGGGAGGATCTCTGGTGTTTTTGCTGTGTAGTTGACGTTGCTTTATCTCTTTTCCAACATACGAGTTTTAATGGATACGCCTTTCTGGATGGAAAACAAATTCTCTTCATTTTCCGTTAAACGGCTAGCATGAATTTCAGCCGCTTTACGAGTTTTGTTTCTCTTTATTTGGCGTTCGCTTTAATGAAGTACAGTTCATACCATGCATCAAAAAAAAAAACAAGAAACAAGAAAGAAAAAATGACCATACTGCGTGGTTAAGCGCTGTTTGTGTCATCTTATAACCGTAGAATCTCTCTTCTAAATAATTATGAGACAAGACACAGATAATCAGCTGGAACTTGAACGCCTGTAACCAAATCTCAGGGCTGTCATTAAGAGCCGGGGGTCGGGGATTTCCCCCAGCTACTATAAATGTAGCCCCGGCTACTTTCATTGGAAAATAGAAGAAAAATAAAACCAAAAGAAATCCCTAGTTGTTTGATTCCCAGCCTACTTGTTATATTGACCCGGTAACTTCAAATCTTAGTGACAACCCTGCTGAAATCTGCTCCCTCGAGGTCGCTCTTTTTACCTATTGTCATTTTAATTCTAAACAGTACCTCTCTTCCTGCCATGCAATGAAAGAAATACTCCTGAGGCCTTATCCCAGTCAGGAAACGCCCATCCACGAAGCCTCCAGCTCTGGGACTGGTATCATAAGGTAGAAATGATGGCAGAGACCTGCCACTAAGCATAAGTGGAGGTCGACGTCCCTCCAGTTCAATCTGCCCCAGCAAACAGGAGATTTGCATACAATTCACTGAGGAGCCTTTAGCACCAGATTGCACCATCAGCTGAAGGTTATTGTCAGGAAATCTCTTGAGAAGACCCAGTGGAATACAAGCTTTGTTGATGAGATCTTGGTACTGGTCTGTCTTTTTCTTCATGCTCAAGTCCAACTGTTTCATGTTACTTCCGTCTTTACTGTGATGAGCTTTTTGTAGCTTCTCTTCCAGTACAGTCCTAATAGAACAAAGACATGAGAAACACACCATCCCAGGCACAAAAGCTGCTTGTTGGAACAGAAATGGTTTCCTTAGGCTGACAGGTTATTGGAATAATAAGTATAGGCAAAAATAGGCCACTACGGTTTTTTAAGTACAGCCAAAAGTATGATGTATATATTTTATACTTACGTTACTTAAAGTCAACCTTTGTTGACAGAAACTACTTAAATTGACGTTAAGCCGCTGGCCTTGTCTCCTTCATCGTTCTTTTATTGGTCAAATCATATCATGGGCTGAGTGGGGCATTTCAAGCTCATAAATGGACTGATAGCGGCTGCCAGTGGCACCCTTGTACGCTGACTTTGCAGCTTATTGTTAACATGTTAATATAATTATAATGTAAAAGGGCGCGTCTCATTGTCCTCTAATCCACGACATTTCATTCATTCATTCATTCACTCAGACAGTCATTCATTCATTCATTCATTCATTCATTCATTCAGTCAGTCAGTCAGTCAGTCAGTCAGTCAGTCAGTCAGTCATTCATTCATTCATTCATTCAGTCATTCAGACAGTCAGTCATTCATTTAGTCAGTCAGTCAGTCAGTCAGTCAGTCAGTCAGTCAGTCAGTCAGTCAGTCAGTCATTCATTCATTCATTCATTCATTCATTCTTTTTGCAGCATTTCATGGGAAAAAAAATTCGCGTTGCAACATACGTAGCTTTGTTTTTTACCTTTCACAATCATCAGGAAGGCCAAGGGCCTCTGAGGCAGCTTCGTCTCCAGCCGTTCTCCCCTTTTTCATAAACTTACGTCTCTTCTTATCGGCCTTTTCCTTCACCAGAATGTCCTCAACACCAAGTGTGAAACCATGGAACTGTAGGAATGTGGTGAAAACTCTGGCTAGAGCAGTAAGCAAGTCTCCCGCCATTGCTCCACCATAAAGCTGAATCAAAGTAAAGGGAGTTTACTTGTATTTAGTTTCCACCAATTCACAGAGTGCTTGGTTAATGTACAAATGAATGAAAACAACAGTAGTTTGGAGGTATATTTCTACAGGGCTGTTTCGTTAACTTTGTAAGCTACATGAATGACAGTTGAGCACTTTTGTAGACACAATATCTAAAAAGCTCTTATTGCAGGTTCAGGAAAAATAGCTGCACAAATTGTTTCAAATTGGGTTATGGTTTGCACAAGCGATAAAGTCTATGTCCAAGAAAACGATTAAAATTCTAAATCATTGAAAACAACAGAATGAAAAACTTCTTTAAAACATATTTTTTTCCTTTGAAAGGGCATTTCGTATTCTGAAGATGTAAATGACGTTGATATTCAACAACAATAGTCCATTAACTGATAAATCAACTTCAACCCACACATTTTTTTTTTCAGTTTGATTATTACAATATGCTGTATACCTCTTGACAACAATGCACCAAACCAAATGGAGTTGGCCCATAATGAGCTTTATCCAACACACCACACAACAACTGTCCCTGACGGATAACCACCTAAAGACACAAACAGGAAACAGTAGGCAAACACAATCAAAATTAATGAGTTTTAATATACAACAACACTTTATTTCATATTTACATACAAAGGAAAAATCTTTTAAAGGACAGAAAACTTTGCATTTTTTACATAAGTTTCTGTGTTTAGGAAAAACATACAAAAAACAAACAGACAGACAACTTGTTAAAATTAAATCTTTTTAATCTCCTGAAAGTTGGAAGGGAGGATCTCTGGTGTTTTGCTGTCTCATTGACGTTGTTTTATCTCTTTTCCAAAATACAAGTTTTAACGGATACGCCTTTCTGGGTGGAAAACAACTTCTCCTCATTCCGTTAAACGGCTAGCATGAATTTCAGCCACTTTACGAGTTTTGTTTCTCTTTATTTGGCATTTGCTTTAATGAAGTATAGTTCATACCATGCATCCCAAAAAATAAACAAGAAAAAAAAAATTAATTTTCATGGGACCAATAATCTCTTAGGACATCCATTTTGCATTTGTCCATCTTATGTGTTTCTAATTCCACAAAAGAGAGAGTTGACTGTACAGTCAAACCCTTTAAAAACGGACAGTGATGGGGCCATAGAAAGTGTCCATATTAAGAGAAAATGTAAGGGTTTTCTCTTCCCACGGACAAAGCAAACTGTCTGTAATAATGAGGTGTCTGTATTAAGCAGGTGTCCGTAGGGCAAGGTTTGACTGTACAACAGTCAGCATACTGCTTTACCTACCTCTGCCTCAGACATGTCATCACCATGTAACAGTGGAATTCCAAGGAACTGCATTTTGGGTTTACCAGTTATCCAGTTCTTTATAAACACAAAACCATAAAACACGCATTCATGAAAATACTCAAATTTTTTACACCTACAAGGTACTTAGCACATTAGGTTATACTCTTATTCATGCAATCATGCAGGTATGAGTTTCTAACACATAAATCATCCCTTTAAAACAATCAAGATTTAATCCAGTATCAGCCTACTTGTATTCTGCTCTAGTTAACTATTGAGTACTCTATAGTCAATGAGGACATCACTCTGACTGGTACTTCACTGTATATATTAATATATATACATTGTACGACATGTAGTTACCATACAAACAAAGGATGAATCACCTTTCCTGCTATTTTGGCTTTTCCCTTCAAGCTCAGCAACTTAGCTTCTGCAGGAATGAGATTAAGCAACACTGTGGATATAACCTACAACAATAACAAGGCAAGTTATTATTGGAGAGATCGTCCCAAGAGTGGCCAACAACAATTTTCTCCCAACAAAATCAATACACAATCAAGGGAAAAGTTTATGAGAATTGATGAAAATAATAGGGATTGCTAAAGGGAAAATGCTTTCTATTGATCTTTTTCAAAACTCTCTTAGTTAATTCTCAAAAGAAATGTATGGAGATTAGTCTGTATTACAACCAACCTGCTTGCCTGACCAAAGTTCACAGGGTTTAACAATGCATGGCTTTAAAAGCTTTATCTTGCTGTTCTTGAAGCTTAAAGCACTGTACACAAGCTGCTGGTAGTCTGACCTGTATGAGCAAGAAGTGCAGTAATACATAAAATAATGTAAATGCACTGTGCAAGATCAGCAACCTGTTTATAAATTTCCTCCAACTTATTAAACGTCCACACCTTAAACAGTATCAAAAAATACATATTGCAAGCAGCACAGTCCATCATCACTGCATGTATGATCAATTTAACCTGCAGAATGATCCAATGAAGCAATAGGACCTTTGCAGCAAGTCATTCATATGTTAAAAAAAAAAACTGCCATGCTGAGAGCAAGGGAGGAATGGTTTTCTACCTAGACTTTCCAAGCCACGAACGGAATGACATAACAATTTATGCTTTTATGTGCAGCCCTCATTCAAATCTTTGGAGCATTGGCTTCCTAAATAATGTGAGAACATTGCTAAGACTAAGGAGAAATCAGTGAGCTGACCTGTTAAACATGCGGCCCCTGATTGTCATCCTCACTCCAGCCACCATATGATCCTGAATCAGTCCACTAAGGGGGTTCCATCTTTAGGTACCAAGTACTGGTAATTTGTACTAGCTGAAAAAAAAAAAAAAGGTACCTCCTAAGCTTACTTGATCCTGATTCCTAATACAATAAAAAACCCCAACTAAGAACACGGTTTTTAAGAACCTGTTAAGCTAAAATTTGCCAGTTAAGCCTCCTCTATACAAGAACCTGTTTATAAGCTTAAAATTTGAAACAGGTTCTTATTTTCTAAAATCTTGAAAAAGTCTAAAGCAATTAAGAGAAGTCAACATTCATAATCCTCCTTGGAGACATAGGTGCCTCATATCACTCCAACTGCAATGTATTGGTATGCAGATTTTATATAATATTACAAGGAATAAGCCGAATACCACTAAATACTCTTAGCTACAAATTGCAATAATTTTTCCCTTCGGAAATTAAGAACCTGTTTATAAGAACTTAAATCAAAGCCTAAATTTGTGCTTATTACCATTTTACGTAAGAACCTGTCTATGCATATAAAAATTATTGGAAAACTGCACATTCTTAGTTTTTACTGTGGTTTTTTACTGCGGTATTTATCATAATTATCATGGGACATCGTTATCGTTGCTATTATTGTTATTGTTTCGAAAGAATAGCAATAATAACCATCCTTTGACTGACAATCTCTGACCTTCAGGAAATTATTAAATGGTACTTTCCTAGAAGACAAGAGAAGTGCATATAGGAGGCATGCCAAGAATCAAGAACACTGAATTTACAGATAACAAACCTATGGTGTAGGCCTCAGCCCTGGCCAGTTCATTCTGAGGATAGTGAGCATTCATCTCATCACCATCAAAATCGGCATTGTAAGATTTGCAGTTAGCGTAATGAAGTCGAATGGTTTTCTCTCCTGGTAGGATACGAGCCTGAAACATAATCAGGAAATGTTCAACACCTGCAATTATTATTATCACCAATAAATCAATGAACTGTCTCATATAAGTTTGTGATAATAAGAATGGAGACTTACCCTGTGTGCCATCATACTTGGTCTATGAAGTGTTGGCTGTCTGTTTAACAACAATACATCACCATTCTTCAGGTGACGATAGACCTGCAACATAGGTAAACATCATAAGAATTGTTTCTTTTTTAGCCTGAGAAAACAGCCAACATCTCACAATGCCACCACTGGTTTCCCTGTGAAAGGACATCTGAGAAAAAAGCGCTGAAATTCCATACTGATGACGTGTCACTACCAAGATCGTTTCTGGGTAGTACTTCTGATTGCCTGGAGCTAACTTCCCATGCAGTACGACCAATCAGAAAACACTACAATAATTGTACCCAGATCTGGGTAGAGATCACAGTCATCAGATGTCATTTTGCAGGGAAACCAGCGGTTGAGTTTCTAAATATCGGCTGTTTTCTCTGGCTACTTCTTTTCAAACACTGTCAATCAATAATGATATATTAATTCTTTGGCTGTTCAAATTAAGCTGAGAAGTACTAGTGATCAAAATCTCGACATACACTGTACCTTTTTACAAGGGTTCACTGATGCCTTCAAGTGGGTGGATGGAGTAAGAAGACGTTTGGCAATAGCCTGTCTTTGGTTGGGGTCAGTTTTGCTGAGTAAGGTCCGTTTGCCATCTTCCAGTTCCACAAGGGTTGCACTGTTGAATTGAGCAACAAGCTCAATGATTAGCTCATCAGCGAATCTGTGATCTATTTGCATTGTATAGTGACTGTCTTCTGGCTAAAAACTAGACATCTCTCTTCCTAAACTAACTGCTTGGTGACAGCACGTGCCTGATCCACTGCTTTGCAGTCTCTACAATCTACATGTGTATGTCGCTGACTTACTCTCTGTTTAACTGCGAAGCATCCTTCTGTCATAGTGTCTTGCTGTGACTGTCTGATTGACTCATTTAATCAAAGGCTGTGCCTGACACTGACATTTGTTGTCTAAAACTCATTTTCATTTGACTTTCTGCCTGACAGACAGACTGATCGACTAAGAAAAATAACTGCATGAGGGCATGACAGACTGACCGTGTCAAGCTTAAAGACTTATGCTGAGACCCAAACTGGGTCACATGATTGTATCATTAATCTCTTACTACTGTATCTGGTTAACTGATTGACAAGCTACTAGACTGCATGTACAGTGTAATGATACCTCTAATATACATTGTACATGTAATGACATTGAAAGTCCTACAATCTACAGTGTAAGAGACCATACATGAATGGTTTGCCAAACAGGGTGGCAAATTAATGCTCCCTCCAACGATTCAAAATTCTGCCTCAAATAAATGCAAGTCTTTAAACATCACTGGTATTAATTAATTTACTTACCCTGGATGCTGTAGAGGTCCATTGATGACTGCTTGTCTCAGTTCCTTAACATTCCAGTGAGTCACAGGTTGTGGGTATGTCAGCTTTAAAGCAAAAACCTAATCACAAAAAGACGCAAAGAACAATCATGATACACAATTCTGTAAAGTTGTAAAACACAAGCTTTGGTTCACTGCAGGATCTTTTACATAAACTCAGGTACTCAGCCTCTTTCATTCTGTGTGCCTCATTCAAAATGAAAATCTACATTATCAACATTAATTCTTGACCTTAAATACTTGAACCAGGGTGCAAAGACAAGCTTTGGCCAGATTTACAACTCAGGTACTCAGCCTTTTCTTTATTATTCCTCATTCAAAAAATATTCCACATTAATTAATTCCTTGAACCCCAATAATAAAACAGAAGATTGTGTGGATTATAATGACGAACAATAATGATAATAATAATAATAGTCTTGGTCTTGTTTCCCATGGCTATTAGTATATCCCTGGGCCTCCAAGTAAAATATTCTTGTTACCTCTGGTATTCCAATCTCATCCACACTGAGATATGGATCAGGTGAAATAACAGATCTACATGCATAATCAACTCTCTTTCCCATCATGTGTTTCCTGAAGAGTCCTTCCTTTTTCTCAAGAATCTGTTAAGTGAAAAAAACTAACATCACTAACCTCAACATAGCTTTAACATTTTTAACAAGCAATTGCTGAGTCAAAAGTGGTTTAATCCTCTTCTGAAATTTAAATGCGGAATTTTGACAGTTACATGTAAATAATGTAAGACCAGATACACCATAGTGCTCAATAACCTACAGTGTACATACATTCTAAACATACTTTTTATCTTGGTACAATTCATGCACAATATTCTAGTCTGTGCTTGAGCCAAGAATCTTGGTTACAGTATGTAGAATATTGAAGGGAACCTCATTTGCTTGGAAACTGTGAAATCCAGCCAGGGTTATATAATTATGCCAACTCTCCTGGATTATCCGGGAGACTCCTGGATACAGCACCAATCTCCCGCTCTCCCGCACGGGTCAATAAATCCCTCTGCATGTCAAATCTTGAAATTTAAAGATTTGACAAGCCAAATATTGAAATTTCAAGATTTGACACGCACAATATTGAAATTTCAAGATTTGACCTGAAAAATATTGACATGCAGACATGACTTTTGAGTATAAATATGTGTGGACCACATTTCCTCTTGTTTAGTCTCACTAAACAAGATTGATGCTAGTTACAAATGTACCAGTACCACAGTCTATTTGAAAGCATACAGATACACATACCTGCCTGATTCCTGGAAATTTAACTGTAGACAGTTTATCCAGATCACTGTCTATACAGCAGTTCACATCTGTTTGTAGTTTTAGCCATGCATTGTGAAGTCTTTCAGTGGGCGTCTTACCGGATACAGTTGCGGGGGCATTCTTGCCCTGAAAAGAAAAATGGTGACGGTTCAGTATTAATTTCATTATATGCCAACTCTCCCGGATTATCTGGGATAGAGTCTCCCAGATATGGCACAAATCTCCTTGTCCACTGTATGGGTCCCTAGATCTCCTGGATGAAATTGAACATTAAGTTTCTCTGTGCTAGTTAAGACGACAGCCCATTTTCTCTCAAAATTGACAACAAAATTCAGTCCTAAAATGGTCTCTGGGGCATTTTGGCACTTGTTTCATTACTACAAAATTGAGTCCAAAAAGTGAATATTGTTACAGTACTTCTTTCAAGACTTTATATAACCCTCAGGCACACCAAAGTTATAATCGGGGGGACCGGGTCAATTTGCGCTTATAGCAGGGGCAGTTGATGTACATGTAGGGGGTACAGTGCTAATTAAAAGGTTACAGTCTACATGCAGCTTTTAGACCCTCAGTGAATGGCACCTCTGACATTTAAGACAAAGGACAACCAAGAGCCATACCATTTTTAAAGTTATTAAAAGCCACAACGTATAATAGAAAATGATCACATACAAAACCCTTCTTTTTCTTTTCTGTTGATCCTTCAGCCTGTTCTGTTCTGGGTTTGTTTAAATCCAAGAGACATTCCTTCACCAGTACACTGTCCTTCATGATTTTACTGAGGTTCCCAGTCTGTGGATTCTCAAACTGCTTGTCTCCGAGGGTTGATAGCTGCAAGACAGTATAAATAAGTAAAGTGGAAAAGCATTTTAACCAGCTGAAGCTACATACTGAAAAGCACTTTTAAGTAAATAAATACTGCAAGTGCTTAAAGTAGTACTGCATAGTTTACACAATTACAACAACAAAAGTTAATGATGTGTACAAACGTTTATGATGGGAGTATGTCATTACACTTTATCCTTGCAGTGCATCTTGATAATTTACTCAACAGTGAAATTTCACATACATGTAATGTATCTCAAATTGCATTTAATTGTGTCCATATAAATTAAAGAAAATTGAATTAAATATATTGCAAATAATGTTGCAATTAACAGAACAATGTCAGTACAAATTACAACACTTACCGGTCTGAATCTTGAGGGTGGAACAGGAAAGATCTCAAGAAAAAACATATCAGCCGAGGAACACTTTCTCTTTGCCGTTGGAGATGGGTAGGCTCCAAGAAGAACATTCAGAAATTCATGATAGGTCTCCCAGATTTGGGTGACATGTTTTTTCACTTCAAGTGGAGTAAGGAAGGTTTGTTGCATAAGTTTTTTCACTTCTTCATCTGCGTCAGCCATAGAATTGCTCACTGTTCCATTCTCTGAAAGTAACATATTCATTTCAAGAGCAAAAATTAAGATTAAAGATACTACAAGTGATTCATGGAAATTAATGAGACATTTTGCACCTTATTTATACCTGGTTCATTGTTTGGACCATCATTTGTTTGTCTTGCCATATGAGACTTTGTAACTTGTATTTTCACCCATTTAACAGCATCTTTAGCTGATAATCCCTTTAAAAACACACGGCTGTTGTGTTCACTCTTCACCTCTCGGGATGGCGCTTTGCAACCTGGGCAATAACGTTTTTTGTTTACCATGTAGGTACTCATAAATTCCTTTATAAGCTGATGCCTAAAGTTTGTGACATTTTTGGCCACTGACTTGATCCTGGCCTCTGTCTTATCAATGTCTTTCAATGCCTTTTTTACATGTTTGTCCAGGGCAGTGATACAATCTTCCTCTTGAAAGCCCCGTGTGTCATCAATTGATTGATCAGAGTTTATTGTTTGGTTAGCAACATGTTGAAGCTCTTCAGCAACTGACGTGAGCCCAAAATCCAGTGCCTTCATCTGGCTATATGGAATTAATGGAATGGAAATGATCAAAGAATACAAATAAATGCAGATGTTCCGTTTATAGACAGAGTCATGCATTAATTTGGAGATCACAGAAGGGTGCCATTTATCACGAAACTGTGCCACCCTAGGTTCCTTTGTATAAACAGGGTTGCCATTCTGACATGCACATATTTCCAACCTCAACAGATTTTCTAACATCAATTGGGCTTCTGCCCATGAATACTAAAGCCTTGCAGGTGAGCACTGTTTTAAAAAAGGTTTCTTACCTAAGGTTTGTAAAAATATTTTTCTGATTGTTTTTGTTATTTTCTGTGGTCCACCCATATCAAGATCATAATTATATGGGCTGAAAAATTCTCACACTGGGTGAGGGACAGAGGAGGGCTTATTTTGATGGCTCTGGAAAACAGGGCAGAGAGAGGTAATAAAGAGTGTATAGTATGATATGCATTATTGACCACGCGTGTGGTCAAGAGATCTGGATATTGGCCATTGACCATTGCATTTTTATGGACAGAGATGAAGTCAAGGTAAATAAAAATCCCAAAAAGAATAAGGGCGATATCCAGCATCATCACCAAAGAAGCTTGGTCAATAAAGGATTTGTTATATGGCCAAAAAGTGGACTTTTTCTTGCAAGACCAACGCAGGAAATCCTGAGAACGCAACATAGGCCCATCTTGTCTGCTCGGGTAACCAATCAGAACACAGGATTTGCTTCATCTTGATTCACCATTTGCTTCATCTTGATTTAGCAACAGAACGGGGACGTCAGATGACGACGGCACGCGAAAATTAAACAACTGGCTTGACCAATGGCAGACCAGCAAATTGGGGACCGGACGTTATGTTTAGTCCTTTCCGCGCGCTTTCCCGTCGTCAACTGATGTTCCCGTTCTATAGCTAAATCAGCCTACTGAAGCAAAATGTGTTGGAGCTGAGCAGAAATTATTTCACCACAACCTCCCCCCGCTTTTTCCTCCTCCCCCTCCTCCAAACCCTGCTTCACAATTTTAACCCAGCACATTGATATCTCTACAAGGCCTTAGGTCTGAAGATCAATGGAACAGATTTCCTTAACATCGCAGTTCAGCTCACCTAAGAAAAATATGTCTTACTGTCCGCGAAAACAAAAGTTGCCCGCACTTGAAACAAGACGATCTCAAGATCTGCAGCAAAACCTTGAAGAATAATGGATGATAGACTGGTAAAGGAAGTTCCATATGTCCAAAGTGTCCAGGGCAGAAAATGTAGTTTTGAGCACAAGTCCCGCACAAATCGTCTTTGTCCGTTGGACCAAGTGTTGGGTCGTATAGACCTCCAAAGTTAGGGTGCAACAACGCATCGAAAGTTTCTGGATTTGTTAGCTTCTTTACGCTGAGTTTCTTTATCTCTTCAGGTGAAAATAGAGAAAGTTTGACGCCTTGCATATAATGAAAAGGCACAACCGTCCCCGACATGTTGTCTAACCAATAAAACGGGCAAACATATCCACTTCAGCTGTTGGAAATCGACATTGATTGTCGGCCGTGTCGTTTGCACGTGCGGGGCACTGTTCGCTTTGTCTTACATGAAGAGTTTTCAAAAATTCCCAAATAGTCCGCTGATCAAATGGACTAGCGGCTTGTAAACAATTAAAAATGGCGGGAGTTCCCGCAAGATCACGTTCCAAACTGTTCAGCGATTGTTGCAGGATATTGAAACTTCTGCGCCGGTAAGATAATATTTTACAATTGCTACCTTCCTCAGGAGATTGAAGTAACCCGGGCATGCTTATTTACAGATTACAAACTATAAGGTTACCCAGCAGGTACAGAAAGCATGTGCGTTCAGGCATGTGCCGATTGGGAAGGTCGTGATGCACTTCAGCTCTTGATAATTGTTTGCTTAATTTGCCACTATGTTACCTGAGAATTTCTTTTTATTGCAAGGTCAAAACAACTCCAACAAATCAACAAGCATATGATGGCAACCCATTCAACCACTCTGGCAAACAAAAATATTAAAATGACTGGTCTTTCAAAGCAGTACTTGTTGATTAAGAACAAGTATCCGGATTTTATTGTGCTTTTTCAAGTTGGTGATTTTTATGAGATCTACAGTGAAGATGCTGTGAAAGTTGCAGAAAAGACATCGTTACGAATCTCCAGGAATCCCAATGTCAATAAATTGATGGCTGGGTTCCCTGTGCGATCTTTAGACAGCTGGCTCACAACCCTTGTTCAGCAAGGCTTTCAACTGGCAATCTGCCCACAGCGTCCTGAAAAGTAAGTATATATATCGTCTGAGCTACTTCTCCCAGCACTTTATTGTAAGGTTGTCACACTATCTTACCTTCTAAGAGTAGTATTCTCTGATGTGGACTTCATTGCAAAAAAAAAACGTCAAGAGAGAGTTGCTTGTATTAAAGATATTTTATCTTTTTTAGGACTCCTGCTAATTCCAGGTTACTCCATCGCGAAGTTGTGCGGCTAGTCACACCAGGCACTTTACTTGAGCCACTGAAGCCAGATGCTAATTACCTAATGAGTATTGCAAGGGGTCCTGACTCATCCCTTGGGCTTGCCTGGCTTGATCTATCAACAGGAGAGTTTCATTTGGGCGTGTCATCTCTTGAAAGCTTGGAGGAAGACTTGTCAAGGGTGAACCCTGCAGAGGTAGGTGTGATCTTAGCATTTGTACCCTTTCACACCCAGGAGAACTCAAAATGAAAAATAAGAAAAGTCCCCAATATTACATTATATTATTGAGTACTAAAATACAAATAGTACCAGATATAAGGCCTCCTGACCTTGTGAAGAAGCTTGAATTGAATGGCTGTACACAGGATTTTGCTCAAACTTTCTTAAAGCTGCCTTCTTCATTCTGTGCAGGAATGTCTCATGGGTCTCTTTTTTATGGCAAATGAAGAAGTCTAACTTAATTTTCAGAATGATGTTCACTTATATCTGAACAAGAAGTTTTCTTATACACTGCTGTACAAGGCCAGCATTTATAGACCCTTGAAGATTCACCCACATCTCTTGGTAAAAACTCCTCTTTAATCAAAGGTTAAAGGTCTTTAAATCTTGAGAGTAAACATTTTAAGTGTACAGGCCAGTGTTTATGGGGCAGATATCAACACCATTAATGAAGTTGCCAAGCCAGAGTAAGCTTCCATTTATTATGCAGGTATTAATGGCTGAAGAACATCTTGAGGATTCCAAGGTGAAGCACAATCCTAAAACAGGGATGAGTGTAAAAAGATCTCCACTCGAAAAAGTGAAAGATTTTCACCTGACTCTTGTCCCATCAGACTGGTTCAGTACAGAAACCACTTCTTCAGACCTCCTTACATTATTAGCTTCATCCCAGTTTTCTTCATTAGAAATGGCTGCGGGAGCTGCTCTCCTAAAATTTGTGTCCTACACCCAAAGAGATGTTTCCCCTCTAGTAGGTCACCCTTCAAAATTTTCACATCAGACTCACATGGCTATAGACTCCAGCACAAGACGAGCCTTGGAGATAACAAGACCATTGATGAGTACAGACAAGAAAGCTACACTGTTTGGGGTCATGAACAATACAGTAACAGCAGCAGGACAAAGACTGCTCCACTCTCGACTTTGTGCACCTTCAGCTGAGGCTCAGGTTATCGAGAAGAGACTTGATAGTGTTCACTATTTTTACACTAACAGGCACCTTGCTGAAGAACTGCAGAAACACTTGAGGCTTTGTCCTGACATAGAACGTAAATTACAGAGGGTAAGAAAAAGTCGTTCACGCATTTCTACTTGAAAAGCCTCTTAAAGTTCAGTCTATACATTCACACTATAAACAGGTAACCCAGCAGACATTTATACACAGGACCCTTACATAATAGAAATTCTCTTTATTTGAGTATCAATGTATTTAGCACCACATGTAACACTATGTTTAGCACTAATAATTAAGTTATAGTGTCCTCATAATAATTATTGAGAACACTTTTTTACAACTCCTACTGGAGAAGGGACCACATTTTACATGGTCGTCCGAGGCACTCTAGCTGTTTGCATGGCAAAGGCAGCACCTTCATTTCTCAGTTATTTCAAGACCCTGAGTAACGGTCCAGTGCCAGGAATTAAACCCCCCGACCTCCCACTCTGCAGTCAAGCACTATGCTCTACTGACTGAGTTAATCCTGCTGCAGTTAACATCAAGGATTTTCGCCTGTTATTGCCTTGCTAGTCTGTAAACTCACACTAAAGTCAAACTCCACTTAAAAAGGGGCAACTCATTCCACCCCCTTAATACAGACATCCCGTTACCATGGACACTTTCTATGGCCCCCTAAGTGTTGGTATTAATGGGCTTTGACTGTGTTTGTTTCAGATTACCTGTTTTAGGTTGTTTTTATAAACTGTACCTGACATATTTCATGTATGTTTGTTTAAGGTTGCCACGGGTATTGCCAATCTAAGTGATCTGCGTTCCATTCACGGTGCATTAGTCACATATAAGAACATTCTCTTGCGGCTTTATGACAGCCACTTTGACAGCAACCTCCATGTTATCGATCACCTACTTATGGAGGATTTTAGCCAGTTGGACAATTTGTACACAGAGCTTGATACTGCTGTAGGACAGCTTATCTCTGATTACAGTGTGATGGAGGGATATTCAAATACAGCTGATGAAGTCAAAGAGAAGCTTGGTCAGAATTCAAGAGAGGTTGAGGAACTAAGGGATCTATACAGGTTTGTCAATGTAACTAGATAAGCATCCACAATGTTGGCTTTGTCTGCTTTACTGCAAGTCAATTTGTCAGAAATTATTGATGTTTGCTTTTGAGGAGAGGGGAAAACCAAAGCACTTGGGGAAAACCCCTTGGTGCCAGAACAAGAATCAACCATTCACTCAACTCACGTTCTCATCAACAGAATGTAGTATTATTGCAACAATGTTGGTGAACATTGATTGACCATTATTTTTTGTAAGATAAAGATAAGGCATTGCATTGTTGGGGAATTGCGATGTAGTTTGTGTGATGTCGATTCCCTGGTGCAGAGTCTAACTTGCACCCGTTAAACTGCAAACAAGCTGTCAATTTGGGGAATATCGCGAGAAGTCAAGCTCGAGTGGCAAGGAAAAGGTGTACTGAGAACCCTCCTTGCAGCTGTGCCCCTTGCTCTTGTCTTTATTTTCGGCTCACCACTCGAAATGGAGGCTACCATACTCGTCAAATTTCTTTGAAACACCAGACTGAAACAGAAGATTTTTCATACTTTCTTAACTAACTTATCTAACTTTTCTCTGTGAGTAATTCTTCTCTCCTTCCCCAGTGTTGAGATACATGAATCAGCCTTGATTGAGGTTGGCATAGTGTGACAAGTGTCTCAATAAATGTGACGAGTATTGTAATTCAATCCTGTTGATTTTGGAGCAGTGGAGGGTACTTGCCTAATGTACCTTGTCTTTGCCAGGCTAAATCCCAGCTGTATCACAGGGGTTTTGTGGGAAAAGAGTGGGGATTACACTGATTAGTTGATTTATTTTCAAGTTTGTTTTATATCATTTACTTGTTGTTTAATACCCTTCGATTACATTCCTGATCACAGAGAGCAACTAAAACTTCCTCGCCTAGTTATCAACAACCACAAGTCGTTCATAAGAGTTGTGGAAATCCCCGCAACTAAGACAACACTTGTAGAAGGAAACCAGGACTTTGTCTTTTTGGAGAAAACGTCCGATAAAGTTCGGTACAGCACTTTAAAACTGCAGGAACTCAATGCTAAAATGAAAGCTTTACAAGAGGAAAATGAACAAATCCAGAGAGCTTTGTCTGAAGACCTGTGTAATCAGGTAAATAAAATCCAATGTTCCCCTAACAATAGTGCGGAGCTCAAGCAAGAAGAACGCCGACGTACCGGGTGTCATGGATAGCAACCGGAAGTTCAATGTCTCCCTTAATGTAACGCTTCTGTCTCACACAACGAATCTTTATGCCTGTGTTTTAACTCCCGCTGTATGAATTTGTGGATTCAGAGCACTGAAAGAGAGAAAATATGAACTTCCGGTTGCCATTTTTGACGTCTGAGACTTCAACTTTCTCGTTGTTTAAGGTCCCTTAGTCCATTTCCGGTATGTGTTATTCCATTCGCCGCTCTTCCCTCTTTGTCCGCCCTCTCTCGTACTTCTTATTCGTGCGCGTGTTATTTATCCACTTTTCCTTTTCCCCACGTCTGACACGCAATTTAGACGATTCGTGGTGAACTTACTGCCCAATCTACGCTAAGTTTACTTTAGTCAAGAGAGGATAGCCCCTTTATCCTCTCTTGCTTTAGTTCAAAGTGCCTCAGGCCTTTTTGGTAAAAATTTCCCTCTGTTCCGACTGAAACGGTTAACAACCCAGTGCTCGTTTTCGTGCTTTTTAAGGTCACGTCGCATGCAGAAGGTCTCAAACAAGTGGCTGTTTCAGTGGCGGAGTTGGACGTGGCGTCCTCGCTCGCTCTTCTTGCATTAGAAAGAGGTTTTGTAAAGCCAGTTATAGGGAACAAAAAGGAGTTTCACGTGAAAGGCGGACGCCATCCTGTGGTCGATACGCTTCAACCCAACAACTTTGTTTGTAATGACTGTGATTTGGGAGACAAAAATGTGTGGATCGTTACTGGCCCAAATATGGGCGGTAAGTACAGTTTAAAGGTGTCGTTACACAGAGTCTTGATGACATTAATGGTTATGGCGCGTGCAGATCCAAAAACCAACTAGATCAATGGCGGAACGGCCAATTGAGCACTTGAAGTTGGGTTAAGTCTTTTCCGCGCGCTCAGCTTTTGCGTTCCTATTTGACGTTGTGTTCTGTGTGCAAAATCCTCCTGTACTGTGTTTGGTCAACTCCGGAAATCTTGTTCTAACCCCTCCCCCACCCAAAATACTTCAACTAACCTTTCTTTCATATTATGTTTAACGAGAACTTTTCACTTCACAGGTAAAAGTACATTCCTTCGCCAGAATGCCCTGATTGCTATTCTTGCTCAAGCCGGTTCATTTGTTCCAGCGCAGAGTGCAACTATAGGTAAGATATAATTATACGGTACCGTTGGAAATGATGGACTCATTTGTGCGCCCAAGTAAACGCTTCCCACAGGCGTCTTTTTGTTAGTTCTTCCTGAAGGTTGAATGTTGTGTAAGGTTATTAAGAAACATCAGAAAACACAGGAAGAGAGAAAGCTTTTTCTCTCTATCTTTCTCTGCATCCCGTTTTATTTGAAAGAACTTAATTGATTCAGGACGTGGACTCAGCATAAAGCGCTTTTTCCCATAAAGATCGCTTATGAGAATGATGTTTTCAGTGACTCAGGCTACTCGGAAAAAAAGAAATACAAGTTCCGCCAAGAGGGGATAATTGCCGCTACAGATGCTCTACCACTGAACTATGACGAAATTTGTGGCAAAAAAATACTGCTCGGATACTGTTTTTTAATCTTCATGATTACTTTGTTTTTCTTTTTGCTTTTTCAGTCGATACCGCAGGTGACTTGCAAAACTGAAATCCGAAGATGGCTTATTTTTCATTTCTTCACCGGCACTGCCTTAGGAACCTGCCCCTTTTCAATAGATCAAGTTAGGTTTCTGGGAAACTACCCACCTTCCCCTCCCCTAAGCCATCAATTTGCCCTAAGTGGGAAGTAAGTGTTAATGTTATCTTAAGGGAGGGGTAGGTGGGCAGTTTCCCAGAAACCTAAATTCATCCTTTTTTTATTTCCCTGTTTTGTTTTGAATATATATCACGCTCTTATCTTACTCGGACAATGTGCAATGATAACTGCTACTTCTTTAACAAAAGACAAAGTCTTGTCAGTCTGAAAAGAAAAATATTCTCTTCTTCCGCGCAGGTGTCGTGGATCGTGTATTCGCACGGATCGGGGCCAGTGACAATCTTGTTCAGTATCAATCAACTTTTATGACAGAGATGCTTGAAACAGCGTTTATCCTGGCCCAAGCTACTCAACAGTCTCTTGTTGTTGTGGATGAAGTAGGTACGTACACACGCCGCGAATTAGGACATGATGTCATTTTGTCCTTGCCTCGCTTTAATTTTACCCTACCCAGCAGATGCTACTTTCCGGCGATATGTACTGGCGTGCGTACACGTATCCTCTGCTCACAGGTTACTTCCACTGTGGAGAATTTGATGCAACTAAGGAAACATTATTCGACCTTTTCTAATTTACCTTGTGTGTCAAACAATTCTTAGAGCGATAAGCCCCAAACCGGTTAAGCCCTACAAAGTTGGTTAACTTACAGCCTGCGAATACAGGCTACCAGGCCTTTCCCGCGACCGCTGCAGGGAAATGGCGGGAATGTCCCCTACATCTTTAATTTCAACTCACGACTTAATACGTTGCCTGGATAGAGAGCTTGCTCGCTGCCGGGGCATATGAGAAATCGTAATATAACACAACCTTTTTCGTAGATGGTTATTGATGGATAGCTGGTTAACGGTGGGTGAAAAATGGCTTATGAACAAGCTCTTTATTTCGAGTGACAAGCGATTTGAACTGCGATAGAACACTTGAGTTTGCTTTACCCTGGCTCTCGGGTCTCCTTACGCGTGCCATTCGCGCGTGACTCTCCCTCGCTCGCTCGTCTTCTTACGCGTGCCACTCGCGCGTGACTTTTCACGATTATCTTCCAAATGTCGAGCTTGCTTGCGGGCTATATAACATGGTGTGTGAAATTCCTTTCCCCACAGGCCGTGGAACCTCAATGCTCGACGGACTGTCCATAGCCTGGGCAGTGATAGAATATCTTCACAGCAAAATAAACTGCAGGACATTAGCTTCTACTCATTACTATCAACTTGCTAAACTGGCCGATAGTCTTCCCCGCGTGGACTGTTACCACGTGACAGCCAAGAACTCTGAGGAAGGAATCAGCTTTACCTTCAAAGTCCTTGTAAGTATCTCAGTTCTCCTGCATTTCTCAGTTTCCAGAGACCGCGACCACTTTGGTCACATGACTTAACAGGAACGCCACTTGAAAAAGACGACGCCAGGTAGTCAAAACGTCCACTTACTGTAACAGCCGTGCTTTCTGTGATATGAAATCTATTTTTTCCTCAATTATACATCCAGAAACTAGAAACCTTAGTATACACGTTCTTGTAAGTAATCAAAGTAGCACACTGAAATTTGACCAGAGAAAGTTATATGATGACTTTTATGCTCTTGCGGAATTTCTTTAGGAGTGCTGGAAAGGACAATTGTCAGCCAGGGTATTTAGTTTTCTCGCGAGTCGTCACATAACAGCGTTTGCATCTTTACATTTCGTGTTTAAGTGGGAGGGGAGGGCGACGTCGTCAAATAACTGGGGCGAGCCACACTAACCTTGCATTTCTTTACCCTTTAGCACGGATGTGATCAGAAATCCTTCGGAATTGACGTGGCGAAACTAGCAGGCGTTCCTTCACAAATTGAAACTCGAGCCAGGGAAATTCTCCGAGACTTAGAGCAAAATGACAATATTTTAGGGGATGCTTTGGAAGAAAATGAACTTTTACAAGAAACTCAAGCAAGGGAAAGTATCACAAGAAACACAAGAGATACTGAAAACACAGCAGAAGGAGTGCAGGCTGAGGGAATTTGTCAGCGTGATGCTGAAGTTGAAATTGGACTAACAAAAGCATTGTTATTGCTTCATCCAGAGACTCTTACACCTCGGCAGGCCTTGGATGTTATTTATGATCTTCATGCGAAAGCAAAAAGTAAAGGCTATAAATAGTCAGTTAGGTTTTATCAGCCTGCGAGCATCGAACAAAGGGAGGAAGAGCCTCCCGAGTTAAATACCTGCCGGCCGAAAAAGTCCGATAATCATTTCCTGTAAAAGTAAAGGTCGTTTTTCAGACTTCTTTTCCGAGGTATCGCTTTGCAAGAAGTACTAAATCAGGAGCCCATCAAACTGACTAAATTGAATGCAAAAAAGGAGGAATTTTAGCCGAATGCATTTTTCCGAAGGAAAGTTTGAGACAAAGGCCCCGGGTTGCCGTTCGTGGGATACAGGTGAAACCTTTTAGAGCAGCATATGAAACTGGAACGTAGATCGAACATGAAATGGTGACTTCCCCAAACCCCTACCCCCCCGCCTTCATGGGACTAGTCCCAGTCTTCTCGCAATTTAAGGCAATTTTGGTGACTAGAGGACTGGGAAAAAGGATGCTCGCATGTCACTTGCACGAATAGCTTAGCTAGTATTCGTCGATAAGAAAAGGTTTAAAATTATTTCATCATAAAGCGAAATATAAAGTCAGGCTAAAAGCCTTTTTCATATTTTTGAAGCAGCAGTAATTTAGATGTAATGTAGACATTATTAGCATAATAGGGAGCTTAGCAACGACGTTTTTGAGCGACGCACGTCAACCGGAAGTGAGGTCTTTTTCATTTTAAAGCAACTTGACGCAACCAAATTTGTATTTTTAAGTGTCTTTACTATTATAGAGACGATTTGTCCAAAAATTTAGGCAAAACCACTGTCCAAAAATGAAAAAAGACCACTTCCGGTTGACGTACGTCGCTCGAAAACGTCTTTGCTTAAGCTCCCTAAAACAATACTTATTAACCTACGACCGGATCAGGTCATTTACATAAAAAGAAATACGAGGCTACTTTCTTTAAGTAAGCATATAAATGTGTTGATCAAGTCCGAGTTCCGTACCTGTCCCTTTTCAACCACACAAATGGAAAGAATCTTCGTGAAGGACAGGTTTTAATCTCGTAAGTTGTATCGGTGAAAACAGTTGCTTTATCGAGTTTTCCCCTGGTGTTGTCGTTGGTTTCCGTTTCAGTATTCTGCGAATAAAACAACTGTATAGTGAATAATAGAGACCATAGATCCCAGCGCTGGGCTAAAACAACAAGACTGCATCAGAAATAATAGCTTACTCCAGTGGCGAATCCAGGTGAGCCCCCCCACCCCCACTTATTTTTAGACCAAACTGAGGCCCGAAGGCTACCCCAGCCCCCTTATCTGAAGGTCTGCACCCGCCCAGTGTACTCTTCTATACAGCAAGCATTCCTAAAGGGCGAGCAAAACTCGAACGACGTGACCGTCGGAAGTTACTCGATATAGGGAATACTTTGGTCCGGAGGATGACGTGATTGCGGCAGGGAACCTGAACCAATCCACTACAAAAAAGGTCGAAAAGAGAATTCCAGTAAAGTCAAAGCCGTACAAAAAGACACGATGGATGAGAAATGAATTGAATCATTTGAAGCATTGGTGAATACGCCTCAGGCTTGAAAACGTGGGCAACAATTAGAATCTTTACACTGTTTTTTAATTAAAAATGCGTGCAGACAAACGTTTGTAGGCGCAAAGGACGGCGGGACGGTGAAGTGATCCACCTTCCCATGATGCCCAGCTGGTAGGGCTTTTGCGCCTTGGCAGTGACTTGGAGCGGTTCTGCAGAGCTCGGACCTTTTCTTCACATTACTTATTTCTTATTCATTTGAGATCTGAGGTACATTTTTAACTATTGCAACTTAAATTAAGTCGAATTCTGACACCAGCTAGAAGTGCAACGTAAATTTGCTCATTTTTTGCACGTATCGTTGCAAAAAATACCCTCACACTTCTGTTTGCGCAATTATTGCGCAAACGATCGAAGCCGGACAGAATTTTAAAAATACTCAGTGTCCGGCAGTCTTATTGTCTTGGCCTTCGAAAAGTTAGGGATTACTTACGGCTAGAAGACAAGGAATGTGGATAAACACAGAATTTTATTATCGACTGCCGGACACAGAATATGTTGAAAATCGTATCCGGCTACCGGACAAATAGTCACAGGGCCGGGGCACTATGGCTAGTTTCCTCCCTGTTCCTTGACAGTCAGTAAGCCCAGGCTAAGGTGTCATATTTTTCTCGTGAGTTTCAGTGGATGCCATCTTAAATCCAGCTGAATTAAGGTAGGTGAATCATTGGCCAACGTAATGCCTTCGCTGTTGAAGGTCAGGTTTTTCTTACCGCTGGTGTAGGCTTGAAATCTGTTTTCTTTTAGTTGATGACCTGGCTGAAGACTTATGTTTTGGCCTTTGCAGCTGTCCTGTTTAGCTGGACTTGAGCCTCGTTGCAGGAGTTCTCGAGAAGGCCATCGTTATTGGCAAAGTCGAGGTCATATATCCCTTGGGTATCTGCCAGATTGTCTAGAGACTGTAGCAAAAACCATGGGATTCTTCAGATTACTTCATTGTAAAATCATTTCCCCCATAGGACAAGAAATCAAATTTCTTTGAACACATTGCCATCAAAATCTACTTTATAGGCTTATTGCAACTCCTACAAGTGGCATAAGTATTGTGATTAATGGAGTCAAAAGCTACTTGACATTAATTTCTGTAGTGGCTGAAAGTGGTTTACTGAAACAAGACAGCTGCTTAGTGAAAAAGTATGAAGGACTACCGGGTAGCTTCAAAATATAATCAGTAAAGTGTCTCAATTGTCTAGTTACCACACATGTCAGCTTCTCTGTCTCTGATTTATCCAACCTGCTTGTAGACTGCCAAACAGTTGGCTTTTTTCTCAATGGTAGCTTAAGAGTCTTACACTTGCAAAGCATGCAAGCCTCACATGCCCGTAGGGTGAGTGAGGCATGAGAGAAAAAAACGACTGTCAATTTTTCATACAGTGAGTCTGTATTGTAAGCATATCTCCCCAGTCTCGCTCTCAGTTTTCAGCCTCGTTCCAGACCTTTTGTTTGACTGTTTGTGCATATTTGAAAATATGTAATAATATGGATTGTTTTGCAGTCTAGCAGGGTTGACTTAATAAAAATTTATTGCCTTCTTCTTTTTTCTAGAATTTGTGATTATCACTGATCATGGCTGCTGCAGTGCATAACAAATGGGGAATTTCAGAACTAAAAGCAAACTCATCTGAAAAGGATACCAGAAAAACTTATGACACTTGGGCAAAAACTTATGAAGAGGTATGCCACACCTGTTAGACTCGTATGTATAAGCTTCAGTTAAGTTAAGTTGTTTGCTTTAGTTTCATGAATTTGCCAGTAGCTACAAATGTATTAAGTGTAATTAAATGGTTTAACTAGGGAACAGCAAAGAATAACAATAGGCTAGAGAGAAAAACAGGACTTGTATTCCAACTGACACTGCTTGTCAATTTTGCAGTTCTATATAACAACGTTAACATTCTAAAATAATACAATATGAACCCATTCTCTCATGGAAATTTTAGGGAAGCATTATTTCAAGCTAGTAAAGCCATTTCTCTGCGCACTCTCCGTCCCAAAACTACCCAACACAAGTTGAACTTATTGTTCTTTATTATTCAGATGTCTGCTTGAATTGTGAAAGACATCTCAAAGAGGCTGGAGTCCCTTAGGACTAAAGACTCAGTAGAAAGGGTGGACTATTGAAAGACTGGAGGTTTATTTATGGGGACAATGAGACTAAATAGAGGAAATTAATATAGTATTTTTTTCAATTCATACTAAGGCCATCCTCTTTTTTTTTCTTCATTTAGCGTCATCCGATCAACCCAAATTTTTGGCATTTTCAAAAAAAAAGGGAACAACGTAGTTGAACCATTTTTCACTAAGTCTTGAAATAATTCTTTTAATCTGAAAAATGGGCATAGTAACAGCATAAAGAAAAACAGGAACATTTTTTACAGTATATTGTGTCTTTTGTTAATCCAAATATGTGAATGTTAACTTTTAACATCGCCCAGGGTTACGGGGGCCTGCTATTCTAAGACCTCTTGTGACTTTTTTTTTTTTTTTTTTTCTTTCAATCCGACCGACCGACCCAATATCAGGAAACCTATTCAGCGTTAAACAAAAAAGAAAATGGGAATGGCCTAAGTTGGATAATGTCTGGCCAGCTGTGTTAACTCTTTTAAAAACTCTCATATGAAAATTTAAATTCTTGTTTGTTTACTTTAATAAATTAATTTAATTTTCATAGGAGTATTGGAGGAAAGATGTTAAAGTATCAATAATAATCAGCTTGTGTGATCATGTCCTTAACTTTCATGACCAGTGACAGTTTTATGAAGTATAGGTATTATAGCAGAAATTTGACACTGATCTCTCAACAGATCAGAGCTTTTAAACTGAATAATAACTCTACCCAGTGGCTAAGCATTTTTTTCCAGAACAAAAGGCTTACCTATACAAAGATGCCAACCTCTGGATCTATACAATGGTATTACTTTGGTTATCGGAATGGGTAGTCCCATAAAATAGAAGTGGAAAATTTTAAATGGCTAATACACCACAGCTGTCTCTTGCTGATCATTTTTTTTGGTTTGTTTGTTTCATATAGGATACTGACAAACTTGGTTACAAAGGGCATGTCCTGTGTGTTGAGGCTTTCAATAAAGCCATGGAGTCTAAAGACATTTTCCCTGAAGCTAACAAGGATATCAAAATCCTTGACGCTGGGGCCGGCACTGGAATCATCGGTGAAATGCTGGTGCAGCAAGGGTATAGCAATATTGATGCCTTGGACATTTCTGAAGAAATGTTGAATTTTGCAAAAAAGAAGAATATTTACAAGCGATATATCTGTGCTGCATTGAGTGACGTCCCCATTGACGACATACAGACTGGCGAGTATGATGTAACTTTGTGTGCAGGTACTATAGTCTATGGACAGGCGAAGCCAGCAGCACTGGATGAGTGTGTCCGTCACGTAAGACCAGGTAAAGTCTTATTGCTATATCTATTGTAAGGATACTATGCTCTCTTCATGCAATTCAAAACCTAGGTGGAGTAGGGAGGCAGTCTTTTACTCTCACATTAACAGGGTTCGCAAATACGCCAAATTTGGCGTATTTTACGCCAAAATTGTTCAGATGACTCCACCGAGGTTATAGAGGGAGTCACTTCGACTCCAGGAATTTTCAGCAACAAGCAGGGAGTTCTTCGGCTCCAGAAATTTTCGGTAAGAAACACAGTTTTGTCCTTACCTTTTTTGCAACAAATGCAATTTACGTTAATTGTAAACATTGTAAACCTTAATTAAATCATCGAAATTGAAGAATTATACTGCACGACAAAACAGGAAGAGAAAAAATTATGAGCAAAGTTTACTCGATGACCGCCGTCATGGATTTGAGTTTTCCAGGTCAGCAGACCACCACAGCTACTTCGTGTATCCCTCACGATAGTGTATGCATGCCAGGACCACGTACTGGAAAGTCTGAAAATGTCTTTTTTCGTTGTGATACTTGACTCCAAATATTCCAAAATGACTCCAAAATTTGTGAAGCAGAAGTCACACTGACTCCACTCATCAATGAAATTTGCAAACCCTGCTTTAAGTTACTTTTGTTGAGGTTTTTAATAATCACTAATTTGATAACCTTAAGTCTGGAAAAAGAACTTTACGTGTTGAAAAAAGTCTTGCATCCAAAAATCTGTTATGAACCCTTATTGACAATTAAATAAAGTATTTTCCTCTCATGTAGACTTTTTCTAATCTTGTTTTAAAAATGTTAGTCATTGTCATCAGTAGTCCTAGTTAAGGACTACACTGGGCCAAACAATCATTTGTCACCAGACTCATTGTCAACCTTGCTCGTAATCTTTTGTTGTCTTTCTCCAGGTGGTCTCTTCATTTTTTCCATCCGTGCAGATTCCTTTGATCCTGTTGAGCTCGGTTACAGCACCAAATTTGAGGAGATGGAGAAAGCAGGAAAGTGGAGTCTAGTGAACAGAGAGAGGCGTGAACTATATGCTCATCCTTATGAAGAGAGATTTAGGGACTGTTACTTGATCACTTACAAAGTGCTCAAGAACTGATGGAGATTCTGGTATTAACCCTTTAAACCCTGACATCAAAATTCAGATTCTCATTTGTTGTCCCTGTACGTTTCGAATAGAAGTAGTGGGGAGAATTTGGTGAAGTATCAGTTAGAATCATCTCGTGTGATCATGCCCTCAATTCTCATGACCACTGTGTTTTATAAAGTAGTGATATTACAAGGAGAAATTTGATGCTGATCACTCTAAGGGCTTAAAGGGTTAAAACCTAGTTTACACGTATAGTAGGTGGCCAAACATTAGCACAAGCAACACATAGAAACGCAGTGGAATGTTAATCATTATTTGCTTTTCATGCAAGTTTAAGTATAATCATGACACTTTGCCATCCAAATTATAGTAATACATAGAAGGTAACAAGAGACCTTCAATATTTATTATTGCTAACAGAACACGGCAAGAAAATTGTTTGAAAATTGTTTGAAAATTTGATTTTGCAGTACTACATTCTGTTTCTTATCCTTATGGTTAGTTCATGCAAAATCCTTTTGTCAGAAAAATCTATATTTTATGCTATTTAAAAAGGAAAACAAAGGGTGTGTCATCTGTTTTATCATAGCTTTTCTCTATTTCTTTTTGGTTCTTCTTTGTAGTTTGAAGCAGTTATTGTGAAATTTTGTGTTTTCCTGTCACCTTTCTGTTTGGTAAGGACCACAACTGATATTTATAATAATAATTTTACAATTTATATTACACAGTTTTCATCCATGGCAAGATGATTAACTATACATAAATTTGCCAGCACAAGATATGTCAGTCTGAAGTGTTGGCCATTTCTTTGACCCACCCCGCAACAGACAGCCAGGCTGCCCCTTGCGGGTGGGAGGGGAGGGGGGACAGCTGACATTTCAGAGTAGAGATATGTGGGTTTTAGGTGCCATTGGGTCTAATCTGTAAAGAATCCTAAGGGGCCTCCCCATGGGAATTCCCGAAGGATCAGGTGTTATTGAGCCATTGCACTTTATGTCTTGTGCTCAAGTCTTGAATTCAGTTTGCTGTAGGAGTTTCACAGGTCTGAATTCAGTTGTTAGAACCTAAGATTTTAATAGGCTTATTTCTTTGTACATGATCTGTAGCGGGTCAAGTTTGTGTCTTGCTGATCTAGTAAAAAATCAGAGCTTGAACGCTCGTGAATTCCTCCACACAGGACACTAACACAACCATTCAACGCATGTAACCTTTATTTTCGTTTTACTGACCACTAAATTTATTTATTTTACATATGCTTTATAGCTTTTTGTGATATATAAACCCACACAGATCCATATGCTTTTCAATGCATGCAGTTGATATGAAAAGTCTGTGTAAACTCTCTAGACCACACCGAATTAGACCTGCTGCATACATGTGAAAAAGAAAGGTTTTGCGATAATCTGTCTTCTTTTTTTGTTGTTGTCTCTTTGTGCAGACTTGATGTCATTCTTTCCTCAAAAAAAAATTGTCACTTCCTTAATATCCATCTTAATTATTATTTAAATTATTATATCCGTGTGTTTCATGTGCTCTTTTTCAATTTTTTTAGTCTAGAATGATGAAAATATAATAAAATAGAAATTGAATCACGACAGATAAATTGAAGGTTAGTAGTTGTAGTGACAGATCTGTTACTTTGATCCCGACTGAAGTTTGAAGGTGCTAACATAGAGCGGTTCTCAAACTGGACCCTAGCCTACGTGGCAGGCATTCAAAGAGGCGTATGGAATTCGGGCGTTTGAGAATGCGAAGGGATTGGGAAAGAGTGATTCGGGCGAACTACAAACTGCAAACTTCAGCCACACAGTTAAATCAGCATTGTAAAACTGGCTAAATTGATAGTTGCTATTTATTTATTGTAGCAACAATTCTGCTACTTTGATTATTAAAGTTAGGAACTGTTTTTAATTAAAATCAGCCTCGTAAACTTGTAACTTGAAGGTGATCAACTCGGTGACTTACACAGTCCTCTTACGTAGCTTCTTACGCAGATGTTTCTGTGGTTCGCCATGCAACGATCCTCAGCGATTGGCGGTCGTTTCGCCCGAAGACGTGTCACCTGGACTTAAGTTTGGATTCCACATGTGCAGCTACTGTGATTTTACGCTTATTGTCTTTTTTCAGGCTTAAACAGCGACAAATAGACATCGGGCGTATCGACTTAAGTCCGGGCGAAGTGACGTCGTTCCAATCGACTATCGGGCGAAACGATCTGATACCTCCCCCGCAACCAGTAGGGGGTGCGTGATAAGCCTAAAGAACATCTGCAGAGGAAACTAAAACGCAGGTGATACCGATCAAAGCTTCAGTAACAGCGGATTCAGTGTTTACTATGCATCAAAACTGTAATAGTCGGCCTGTAGATAGACTGCTAGCAGCCCATCGGGATTGTTGCGCGGACGAGCCCCTTCACGAGTGCGTGAATAAGGCAAAAGCGAGAGTAAGAGGACCTCTGTTTGTCTCCTCTCGCACTTTGTTTGCCTCTTTCGTCTTACCAAGCCTCTACTCAACAGACTGAGAAAGGACTAATCATAGTCTAATCTGTGGCTTATGTAACTTTATGATAAGTAAGTCGCGGTGTAGGTTATTATAGCAACCAGAAAAAAGAACACAAAAAACACGTGATCGAGCTTACATGACACTTTCTGCCATGTTAATTCTTCCCGTTTTTCCTCCCATCCCACTGGCGTACTGCGCATGCCTTCAGGGTGCTCTGTGAGTTCAATCGCGTTTGTAGAAGCAGTCATCTTTGAGGAATGTGAATCTGCAGTAGAGACGTGAATCCGCTGGACGTTTTTTCCCTTTTTACCATGGCACAAGCAGAAGAGGTTTTGTACCCAGTTAGGAGGAGGTCCCTCCATGAAGAACAGCTTTAAAACGAAGATATTACAAAAGAGAACCAAGGATATGATGACCATAGTAGCCTGCAAGCCTATTCCAAGGATAGGAACACCATCTGAAGTCTCGGGAAGAAAAGACGGAATGAGGAGCAAGAACACAGTCATAGCCAATAGGATGGTGGTGACGAAGCCGATCCTTTCACCACTCTCCACGGGAATAAGGAAGCTTGTTAGGGCCAGGAACATAAGCATCATGCTGGGAATGGTGAGGTAAAACAGGTGATATAAAGGCTTTCTTTTCATTTTCAGGTCGTAAACAACTTCACTGAACTTGAATGGACAACAGTCGCCGTGGTCGGTCTGTTCGACTGAAGCGGCGACGTTGGTAATATCCCAGTCACCATTTGTAACGAACCGATCTGAAAATAAGAAAAGTCAAGCGTTTCATATGACAAAGCTTTTTTAGATTTCCTTATCAATTCGCTTTCTGACTAAGCATAACCGGCAAACTGACTGACCGACCTACCTGGACTGAACCAACTGGCTGACAGAGAGACTGCTGGCTTCCGGGCGGCATTACTGCTACAGTAGCTAGCTGGTTGAATAACTGACTGACTTTACTTATTAATGACCAAAGGGCTGACCGACTGACTAGTTAAGTAGGTGGCTGGTGTTTTGACTGACTGACTGACTGGCTGGCTCGCTAACTAGCTGGCTGGCTGGCTGGCTGGCAGACTGACTAGATGGTTGGCTGGCTAACTAGCTGGGTGGTTGATTGACTGACTGACCAGCTCATGGGAAGGCTTGCTGACTGACTGACTGACTGACTGACTAATTAGCTAGCTGACTGACTGACTGGCTAACCGTCTCCCTGTCTTGCTGGCTCGAGATGAATGACTACTTATCGCAATCAGGACTGCCTGTCTAAATAAGGTTTAATTCGAGTGTCAATTACCAAAACTTCGCAATTTTCCCGGGGGGCCCGGGGCACATCCTCAAGATGCTGGATAAACTTACTAGTAAACTGTCCACCGCCTTTGTCTTGAAAGAGTTTGATTTCCATTCTGTCAACTCCATACGTAAATGAACCAAACCCTAGTTCACAAGTCTGCTTATCAAATGGCCACTGGCCAATGTCTAATTCGCAATTAGCTTTGAATGTAGCTGGTCCGCTCCATACGCAGTTTCCTTCATTATCTACCGACACCTCTGTCACAAACTTTGTTCTTCCCCCAGCTAATGTGACGCCCTCGTCACCACTGAAAGGCAAAAGCTAGTTTTTAGTTCTTTAGCAATAAATTGTTGTATCTAAAGCTGCTGTCCGCAAGCCAACGAGTACGAATTGAATAAAATGTTTGTAGTCTATAGCACGAAAAGAACATAACACCTGAAAATTGCACACGCAAAGGCCGGGGTTCACTAGTTAAATACAGTCTTACAGTTAATTCCGCCTTACAGTTGTCGTTTTGACAGTAATTTATAGGTTTTTATCAGTAGCAAGGCGGTAACATTGGCTGTCCAAATTCCCTTGTACCCAATATGAGCTGTACTTCAGTGCTTACCATAAACAATGTCAAGGTGACAGGGTGTTAGCCCTTTGGGAAAAATCCCAACCTATAGAACAGACTAAGAGATCCGCGTCCTTTCTAGTAAGACTGCAAGCATTTGCTGTGCGAAACAATAGGTTAAGGGTCTAACACGTGTAACAATTGAAGGTGCCGTAGTAAGGACCAGTGAAAATGGATATCTACACCAAAAGGGTGCAGATGAACCCAACCTGTAGGAACAGGCTCTTGAAGGGGCTTCAAGACTTGTTCTCCGAGAACCTTCGAGGATGATTGAACTTGTTTGACAAGTGCCGCTTGTAAAGATCAGTTTTCACCCTTGAAAAGGAACAACCCGACGAAAGGACTGAGAACACATCTAGCCATACTTGTTACAACAAAACTTATCAATGTAGGGAACACTGGCTATTTAACTTGACCCTCTTTGAACAGCAGTAAAAACAGCAATAGTTGGAACCAACGTTTTTTGTCAACAACTGAACAGGACAGGAAGTGCAGGTATTGCTTCTGCCGTACCATTCAGTGAAATGATCACCACTTTAGCATGTCGCCTTATCGACACGTCTAGAAGAACCAATTTGCTTTGCAAAGCACAATGAAAATTGCTATAATTATAAATTATAAGGGCACTTACTTGTTAAAAAGCGAGATATCCGGTACCCAGATCTCTTCGGGAAGAAACTGCACGCGATGAAAACCTCCAAAGCTGTTTATATTCCACTTGAGGAATTCATTTGTCCAAGTCTGAAAAAAAAAAACCAATTTCAAGTTACAATCTCGACGTTATATCCGTATTCTGAGGTGTCAGCTTTTAGCGGCGATATGTAAAACAGTTAAGGACAATTCAAGGACACTATACCCTAACCAGGGCATCCGCTCTGACCCTAACATTCTAAAAACAGTCAGACGTGAATGGATAATTACTTCTATCATGTCTATAGGGCAGTAAGCGTTTTTTGTCGCCAAGCGAACGTGCGAAGCTGTTCCCTACCTGTATAACCCAAGTATCCAAAACAACTGTTTGTTCCCTGGTATCCTGTGAGGGTCAAAAAGGAGTAAATAAGTCCCATGATAAGACGATGTTCATTTTAAAAATATCGTTATCTAATAAATAAAACTGCAATATTTCTTCAAAAAATAGTTTGCTCATGACGTTGTTTGCCTCGCCCCCTAAACTTTGCAGAAACTTTGTTTAATTTCCCCTGTATATTTCAGCCGTCCCAAAAGAAATTGAAGACAATGCTTTCATTTTTAGTCACGTTTTCTGCGCTTAGTAGTGTTTAATTAGTTAGTTATAGTAGCAATTTTATACTTTTTACCTTTTTATTGTTATATTTTAAATAATTTTTTTTTATTTTAATGTCCTTTTATTGTAATGTCTTTCGTAATTCAGCCTATGGCTGCAAGGTATTAAGACAATAAAGCATCTATCTATCTATCTATCTCTATCTTGTTATGCAAAAAATAGGTATGATAAAACGTGCAACTTGTTTTGCAACATTGCTGCAAAACGAGTTTACTGAGCGATATTGCGCGTTTTTCCACCCACGTTCGCACCTGTCTTGCAACAAGTGAGGTTGCAGAGTTTGTTTTCGTGGGTAATAACACGCGCAGCCTTGCTATCCAACTCGTTTTGCTGCAATGTTGTAAATCAATATTGCACGTTTTTGTAGACCGTTTTACTGTAGCTTATGGGAGATGTGCAAATAGCGATTCTATTAGTTTTCTCCACTTACCACTCTTACAAGTCTGCTTATTCTCATGGCGAACGAAACCTCCACGGATTTGTTGCCTAAAACTGGCCGAACGGTCTTGTCGTAATTTTCCAGAAGATGAGCGCGGATCCGGTGTTCAAAAGATTGATTGGATGCACCAAAAACGCCTTCAAAAATAAAAACAAAACGGTTTAGTTTATTTGGCAATCCCGTATTAAGAGTGTTACAACAATTTCGGAGCCTTTTAAACGTCAATTATACGTATACTTTGTATCGATAAAAGCTACAAACTGCAGACAAGCCGTGTACACCTGTGAGAAACAGCCCAAACAAGCCCCACAGAATTATTTTAAGTGCTAAGAACGTAAAGCCAGTTTTGTAGAGAGCCCCTTTTTCTGTTGTTGTTGTTGTTGTTGTTGTTTTGGATGCAGTAGAAGTGCAAATATTCATGCTCATTGTTGAGGAATCTTCTATGTCTCCTGGAATACGATAGAACCTTAATATAACCGAACCCTTATATAACGAAATCTTCGGTATAACGGAGGATATTCTTTGCCCCGCAATACTACATTATATTTAACGGAGAATGTAACAATATATCTTCCAAATAGATCCTACATTTAGTACATACATGAGTGTCGGTCAACGACTTTGGCTTGAATGGTCATGCTTAATGATTTCACCTGCTACTAAACAAGTCGCCATAAAACTAGGCCACTGAGTGCTCACGTGTCTCTTTTGGCAATTTCATGTAAATGTTGTAAAAGACGAAGATATTGAAAAATTTATACGAAGGCGTATTTAGCTTAGCACATGTGGCATTTAGTAAATTTACGTTAATCCAACATTCTGTCAAAATTAAACAAGCCCTTGTTTCTCTTTCTTTCAATATATCTTTCTTTTTGACAATAAAGAACCAGTACTTTTCTTAAAACCTCAATCTTTTCAATCTTTCTTTCAATCAGCTTTCTTCATTTCACACTATATAAGGCATTTACACAAGTGTAGGTATTAAAGTAGGAGAACAAAGTAGCTGATAAATAATGATCAAACTAAAAGACATTAAGATCATTTGTGTACAGTGTTCAAAGTAGCAAGAGCTTTCTTGTTGGACACCGTTATGTTCAGGTAATCAGCAACAGCTTTTCTGTCACTCAGTTCTAAGCACTGGTAACTCACTAAATCAACTCATTAAGTCATCAAATCTGATCAGTTTAATTTCAACTTGGGTTCGGATTGTTATATTTCGACTGAAAACCCTCTGAACATTATTAAACGAAACAGACATAACATACTCTGTACTTGATACAAATTGCACTTACTGTTGGTATAAAATCCCTGTAAACACAGTATAAATGCAAGGAAGAACATGTCGAGGAGCTGATAACTTTTTTGATTGATTTTCTAAATATTTCGTGCGGTAGAGTTGAATCTTCACCCAAAGGGATTTACGCTTGAGTGAAGCATTTGAAATTAGCAATGAATTTAAGCTTCCTTCTTTATTGTTGTGCAAATTGGCCGTCAACATTGAAGAACGATTTACGTTCATAATCTGACGTCAGGATCCCTTGTTACGAAAGTGCTTTGCTGTTTCCTTCCAAGTTTTGCGGGCCACGCAAAAAAAGACAGCCTAAAAAATAATAACCAGTAAATGTTACTTCTGAATTAGCCATGAAACTTTCAGGTTGGGATCAGACCAATAATTAGACGTTTTAAATTGAAATTAGTACTTATGACTCAGCAGCGTTATTAGCATTTTTATCTAGATCAATGGACGTCAAAAAACTGAGTGTGAATTACTTTTATTATACCGTTTCAATACGTAACATGGATGTTTTTTTGGTATGTGCAGCTTATCTTAGTTATGCTATGAATATAAACCCCGGCCTTAAGCTTTATTTTTTAAGGGAGCAATAAGACATGAAAAATTACATGCGCGCAGCAAAGCATTACTAAGCATTTAACAAAGCAAGTTTTCTTATTAGGCTTGTAACTACAACACTAACAAAACAACAATTAAAACACTTTGTCGTTATCTTTTACCAAAAAAAGTCATTTCGGTGGAGGGATGGTCACTTTTTCTTTCATAAGTCATTTGTGACCAGAGAAACTATATATATATATATATAACTCTTCTTCTTTCATTGTTGATGTGTTATGTTACACAAGAAGTTTTCATTTATTTAAACCCTATTTTCCAATGATCTGTGCGATTTTTGTATAATTATTTAACTCCTTTTACTCCTAACAGAGGCTTGCGCTAGCATTGTCGAATGCAAATGACAACGATAGACTAAGTAATAATGTGGTTATTACTGAAACCCCTCCCCACCCCCCTCAAGAAAGAAGCTTGCCTAGTCCCTGGGCCTCATTTTTCCTCGCGGCCAAAGCATTTCTGGTCACGTGGTCCATGCGAAAATGTTTCCCGCCCGTTCGCCTCGGATACGTCACCGAAACGAATTGACCGAGAGGGACTGGGAAAACGCCGTACAGGGACTAGGCAAGAAAGAAGCCTGAACTTGGTCATGTGACATGTCAAGTGATCAAAAAACTACAGCTGGATAGCGCTATCATCCATCGGATAAATCTCTATTCAGTGGGTAAGTATTAGGGAAACTACCCGAGGGGGACTCCGCATATGAAAGGGGTGGGGATGCTCGTCAGAAATTTTGAATTAAACCCCTTAAGGAGACCGATCTGGGCGTGGCCCAAGCTTTTTTTGACCCCTAAAAGAGACCAAATAATATACATATCAGATATATATTTTTATATATTTTCGCGTGCAACTCTAAACGAGACCTTCAGGGCTATATATGATGGCGTTTTGCCCAGAACACCCTAAGCGAGACCAAAATCCGAAATTTACACCCCTAAGCGAGACGAGGAGCATCCCCACCCCTTTCATATGCCGAGTCCGCCCCCCGGGGGAAACTAATTGCACTATCCGCTGGATTGAGATTTATCCGGTGGATAAGCGCTTTCCACCTTTTGATTAACTGTGGCCGGATTAAGGAAAATGGCTATTTGGTTAGGAATTTAATTTTTGTTTTAATTAAATTAAACAAATTTATTTAGCAATACAGCGAAACCATTGTAGCTTTTGTATAAATAATAGCTCTCCATCTTCGAATTAACGTTTGGGAAAGGCAAATGCAAGTGTTGTCATTATCACAGCAAAATAAATGAAAGTATGATGAAAATGCTTCTTTCTCCAGAGTTTTTTAGATCAAAGGTGGGTCGGAAGTTCTGACGGTTTTCCATTACATGTATAACGCTGTTTGTGTTATATTTTCTCAGTCTTCTCTCAAAAGGTTGCCTGTTATGTACATACAATCACTTTCTACACGAAGGCGAATTATCAGGCTAATTCATAGCAGCCTTAAGCCCTTGTTTTGAAACGCGAAACGAGGTTAAGCGTGAAGCAATATGACATGATATGAAAATGATTTTAATTCTCATGGTAATAAAACTCATATCAACAGGAAAGATTTGTTTCTTTTTTTTTTTTCGCTTATTACTTTCTCTTAGTTCTATATCATATGAGCGTTCCCTAAGGACTTGCATTGAAAATGAATGGCACAATAGCAAATTAAGTCTGTAGTTTATCATCTTTTTTGTTGTAGCTCTGCTCAAACAAAACCTTCAGGCACTGAACAAGACAAAGCATTTTGTAATGAAGGCTATGACGTCACTATATAACAGTAAAAAGCGTCCAAAAATAATCAATTTGCACACTCAATCGAAAGACTCAAAACATCGTGTTTAAAGGGGACTGAGTTTGTGAGCTTTAAAAATATCTAATCGAAAGTCAATTTTTGATGGTATGACAGGACATGCATTTGACCCCAGTCGTCGTTCTATTTCTCGTTCTTCAAGGACTATTTTCAGGGAGTAAGTATCTGTACAATGATTGAATACTATGCCGAGTTTCACTGGAATGTTCTTTCGAAGTCCTTTTATTTGTCAGTTTATCAATTCCAGTCTATAAATGAAATGTAAAACTGATTGTATTCACCTACTGTTCTATATGTATATGATGCATCCGAGCGCCGTACGGTTTCGAAAATCCAAAGACAATAACTAGTTACTCCCTGAGACTAAGAACCTGTTAACAGTAACTGTCGCTTATAGAACGGCGGTCCATAGCTTATTGGAGGTAAAGATCAAAATCGCCAGTAGTTTTCTTATACCATGAATTGTGAAACACTAAAATATAACTCCTGTCCGCTGGACTTTAAAAGAAATCGAACTAAAATACAAGCTAAGGCCAAATTCTATTTTAATCATTACTTTGTTAATGTCAGGCACGTACTGAAGTCAATTAACAATGCTTCATTAAAAGAACAGACAAATTATCATCATAGATCGACTGACTTCAGAGTGAATTTCACAGAGAGCATATAATAATGATAAATATTATTTTCTCAGGCGTTGATAAAAATTGAACAACTCAAATTTACTCGGTGACATCGTTTCTTGTAAATTGAAAAGTGGATGCGCGATGATCAAGTTTAATTTTTTCTCCATTGACCAGGTATCCTTGTGTTGTTTGGTAAACAATGTGAGCTGCAAAACAAAACGCTGACTCACTGATCGTGATGATCATCAAAAAATTGTACAATCCTGCTCTCTGACAAACAATTTTTTTAAATTCAACTGACAGCCGTCAACTCTTACGCAATATTTAATATCTATAACTTTATGGATAAGATTCTATTCTGATAAATACATCATAAGCTGTCAATGAAGTCTTGATTAATTTGATGCCAGCTGCAGTACAAGTCGTAATAGATTATGTTATAAGGTGGAGCGCACGTTTTAAAGGCGGTTTTTTCGTACGTTATGATTTATTCAGTAACATGCAATCACTGCATGATTATCCCAGTCAACCTTGTCTTAGTTTGATTAAAAAGACCGTGTCACAGTACGGCTGTCTAGTTAATTGGGTTAATATATGGCTTTGTAGAGTCGTTGTTGCTAAAGGAACTCAAGTGACGTTAGCAAGGAATTTATTTGTAAATGACAAAATCACAGCTTCCGATCAAGCAAATACATTAAAGTTTACTTCTCCCAATGCATTATATCAAACGTTACAAACAACAAAAAATGAATTTTGAAAACCTGGTAGGCTAACATGTTTTCAAAATCCGCCGGAATCGGAATTGTAATTCTTTTTTCTTGAAGTTTTTGTCATCCAGTGCCTTCTGTTGCATTATGTTATGTTATTTGTACCCATTCTTTGAATGATGTAAGCCCTTATTTCTATGTTTTACTTAGTTTGGAGGCAGCTCCCACTGTTCATTTGGATTTTGATAAATTTCGTTAAGGCCCAGCTCCCATAATCAACACCTTCCTATATAAAACTCCGCCTCGTGGAGTTGGTACCAGTTGGCTCGCTAGACAGCGATCTTCTAATATGACTGCCCCCAATTATAGAATGATCTTCCACTTTTTGTTAGAAATAGGTCTTCTGTACATTCGATTTACAGGGCGGTGTTTCCTAATTAATTGCTATCAACCTAGGTTTAAAAAGTTTCAAATGAAATCAAATTGGATTTTGTATATGTTGGATAATAAAATAACAATGTTCTGTCGTACTTTGTAATAATCGTCGCCCTTATGATCATTATGCATTATTATCATTATTATTATTGTCATTATTATTATTATTATTATCATTCTGATTATTATTATTATTATTTTCGATGGTGATACTTTTTATTGGGGCAACTTGTTCTCCCTCCATCCATTTGAAGTTTATACAAAGTGCGACAAGTGTAACTACAAAGTGCGACGATTTTTCAGGTGTTTCAGGCGCATCAAACCAGTCCTATGAGCACAAGATCCGCGCCTATCTTCTGGACAACTATGACAAAACAGTACGACCAGTCTTGGGCAATAAATCTGTGGAGGTGTCGTTTTCTATGAAAATCAGCAGACTTGTAAAAGTGGTGAGTAAGAAATGACGCCTTTGCTTTGAATTAATTTCAGTCTGTTTCGAGTTCGTTTCACCACCGTGAACAAACTCGTTTCTAGGGTTCTCTCTCACTCGTCCTCCGGAGCGAGAGAACTCTGGGAACGAAATCGTCATTTTGGATTGAACATAAAAGACTTACTTAGACGTTAAGGGACTTCCTATTTAGTCATTCAATTGTAAACCATGAACTTCAAAAAATCTTGGTGGTATCTGGTGAAACTTCTTATAAAACAAGGCATGTATAAGAAAGAGAATGCATTCTTATTCAGTGGGGCTTTGAATAGACGACAGAGTATTCTGAACTCCAGCTGATACTTTTAAAAAACGACTCACTCTCAACTTGAATTGAGGAGGGTGAAAAGAAGAAACAAAACAGCTAATTTACTATCTTTAGCCATCAGGTACTAAAAAGACTCATCAAAAAAAATTCTCATCAATAAATTTTCTTCTAAAAATCTCTGAATAGAAACTTTTGTGTTCGCATATGATTACATGTATTTTTTAGAAAATATCTGTTGTCGATGATCTTTGACTTCATGGTTATGGTAGTGAACGTAGGAGTATGATAATGACGTCATAAATCTCTTCTCCAAATCCTCAAAATGAATGAAAATGCTAAAACCTTTAAGATAGTAAGCATTGCCAGTAGAAGGTCTTGAATAATTGTACGTAATTTTCTGTTTGCTTTATATAGGATAACAAAGAACAGCTAGTTGTTTTGGATACCTGGGTGACACAGGTAAGCTTATTGCGTTCGACGAAGGATAACGCATCCTAATGTTGATTCTTTCTCACTAAATCAACTTAGTTGTGGGGTCCGCCATATGCTCCAACTCAGCCGCCTGCTTTTTCAGGGTCATTTGTCAGCCGTTTGGGAAACTGAGGTAAATTGTCTTTTGGTTGAACTCACCTCCCTAAATTATGACAATAGCCATAACAGGACAGATAGAAAGTCTCCCAGTTACGCCTATGTGATATCTTCATTTCAAAAAGTTATTTTTAGAACCATGTGGAAACAGTTTCCTGCAAGCTGGTTGACTTCCGGAAGACTGGCTTTCACGCAACTCATAATGTTTATTAAAATATATTGTGAATTTCTTAGACCTGGACAAATACATTTCTTCAGTGGGATGTGAATAATTTTGGAGGTTTTAACCGTGTGCAGTTTCTCCCTGATGAGATCTGGGTGCCAGATATTTCACTCTTCAACAAGTAAGGAAATTTAGGAATAGAACTTAACATTTAAAAAAGAAAAGTAAAGTGTATTATTATATGAGAAGGATTTTAGCTGAACTTGGGTTTAAAGAATAAAACAAAGGAAGTCGTACGTTGCCGTGGTTAATGGCCATTCACAGATGGGACTACGTTATTAGGCTCAATTTCCACCTCTCTTTCGGTCCTCCCCGAGAAGAGACAACGATCTGATTGGTGGAAAACAATAATAGCAAACCCACACGTCCAGCCGTCTGTTGGGGGGATGAGCGCGGGCTCATTTCCCTAACAGTGCCTCGAGCCTACTACGTTAAATTCACTCACCCTTCTTGGATCTGAAAGGAACCTTAACTGGAGAAAGCGTTCCAGATTAGCAAAATGGCCAAGTTTGAAACCCAACGACGTATGATAGTTAGGAGATATAACTAAATTTAAAAGTTTGAATTTTCAAGGAATCCGAACAGTTTGTATTAAAAACGTTAATGTAAACAGTGGCGTTGCTCTTCAGTATCAACATCTAGGACCTTTAAGTTTTAACTTGATCACAGCATTCTAATTTCTCTTTAGAGCGAGTGCACCGAAATGAGAACCGCACGTCTTCCAGATAAAGTGACGACTTCTACCCATTTTCAGTGTTATAATATAAATCGTGGACATTTCTGTTTGTGTCTTAGTGGTGATGACAGTGTTACATTAGCTGGAGGAAGGGCAAAGTTTGTCACCGAAATTTCTGTGGCGAACACTGGACACTGCGTGTGGAGCGGACCAGCAACATTTAAGGCCAGCTGTGAAATGGCGATCAACAAATGGCCTTTTGATACACAGACTTGTGAGCTAGGTTTTGGTTCATTCACGTATGGCATTGGTCGGATGAATATTAAACTCTTTCAAGACTCAAAAGGCCAATTTACTAGTAAGTCATTTGTTTCATGCCAGTGCGCAGGTTACAGAGTGTCCACTTGTTAAAACCAGCTTTCAATCTCATGGCCTACGCCACAACGGGTTAGATTACGTCTCCGAGGCTGGCTACCAATCTCGCTTTACTGTACAGAGTTTTTGTACAGAGTTTTGCATTTTGCCACTAAACTAAATTCCAGGGATTTTCATTCAAAACTCTTTTCCTCTGATCTGTTCGTCTCTTCTCGCAAAGCAGTATTTCCTGCGCCAACGGTGAGCGGCGTTCACAGATTAAGAAACACGTGGTCGTCTCTGTAAGAAGTAATTTACCATAAAATAGGTTCAACAGTCCTTTCTGAACCAACGTTTGGACCCCGTGAATCGAAAATTCCTGGATTCGCCCCTGACAAAGGCCTAACCTCAGGTACAGCCGGAAATTAGCCACCACAAAAAAAGCATTCGGTGAGAAGCTGAGGCCCTCGTCAAAGAAAATCAAGTCGAAGTAAATCGTCACGACGAAGGACTAATTCTAAAAAACAACGAACTTTCAAAATTACATCTCGTTACTCGCAGTGGTCAACCAAATTTTTTTTACGTTATATCTGACACATCAACTCTATAATTATATAGTTTCTTTAGAAAATAATCCGTTTATTGTTTGATTTGTAGAGCGATTTGTTACAAGCGGTGACTGGGCTATAGACGAGATCACCACCTCAATGGAAACTACCGATCATGGGGACTGTTGTCCATTTGAATTCAGCGAAGTAGTCTACAAACTTAAAATGACAAGAAAGCCATTGTATCACGTCTTCTACCTCACGATACCCAGTTTGATGCTGATGGTCCTCGGCCTAACAAGCTTCCTTATTCCCGTGGAGAGTGGTGAAAGGATTGGCTTTGTCACCACCATCCTGTTGGCAATGACTGTATTTTTGCTCCTTATTCCGTCTTTTCTTCCGGAGAGTTCAGATGGTGTTCCAGTCCTTGGAATTGGGCTTCAGTCCACCATGATCATCATAGCCTTGGTGCTGTTTTGTAATATTTTCGTTCTAAAGTTGTTCTTTAAGGAGGGAACTCCGCCAAAATGGGTACAGAACCTCTGCAGATTGTGCTGTCTTATGAAGGGGAAAACCGTCCAGCGGATTCATGTATCTAACATAAGTTTGAGAGCTAAATCAAGCGCATCTGCGAACGCAGTTGAATTGGAAGAGAGGTCTGGCGGAAAAAGCAACACGCCGACGGTTTGGGAGAAAACAGAGGATGATCTAACATGGCAGCGGGTGTCAATCAAGCTTGACCAAATGTTTTTCGTTCTTTTCGTGATTATTGTTGTAATTACCTATGTTGTAATCTACGTAGCTTTATAGCCTATTCACATCTTGCTTCACGTGTTGGTCACGCGTTGCCTTTGAATGTTGTTCTGAAAAGACGGACTTTAAAGGGGAAGCTATGGCAACGCATCGACAACATCATTTGTTTAAATGAAATACTGGGAATGAGACAGCGAAACTATGAGTGTTGTTATTCTAATATGGCTCAGTTCTTTTTCTGAGTGTCAGTAATTAAATCTCAGCGAATACTGCTTGCAAATCAAATACGGTAATGTAGCCCCACCTAAAAATTGGTCAGCCAAGCTTCAAGTTTTTGTTTCGTCCAGCTTATAAAACGGCCCATATTTTCAAGAAAGCTTGAAATGTGAGTATATTTCCAAATTGTTTGTAAAGCGTGCACGTGTTTAGCCGAACTAACTCGAGAGTTACAAATGTAGTTTGGGCTTTCCAAGTTGTTGTGTCACACATGCCTTCCCAAAACGTAACGAACCGATAGGCTCTTTCCTGAAGTACACGATTATTATAATGTCAATTTTTGCATTTTGTGAGCATGCTGGCCAATAAAATTATTTGTGGGGTGTTTTAAGCACTTGTTGTTGCTGAATTATTTATACTCTCGTTGTATACGATAATGTCTGTATCACATCTGGACTCTTCGGCAGCGGAAGCCTGCTAGCAATGGTCTGGTAATCTTCCTCAGGTCTCCAGCACCGAAAGGAACAGGTTCTTCCTAGGAGAAGAAAATGAAAAGAAAATGAAGTTGATACATTTAACCTGAAAAGGAATGGACTCGTCAAAATAGGCGCCCCAATTTGTCTCCCCGACATTACTCTCCCTGTTTCTTTTCCTGGATACGTTGACAGCCCCTGTTCCACCGCTCCGTCGAGTTCGGTCGTTCCTATAGTGCGAGGACATTTTCGGAAAGGCTGGTAATTGAGACTACGCACAAACCAGCAACAGGAAAAATTGGAAGAATCAAACTCATCAATGTGGAGGAGTTTTAACCGAGTGGTAAACACCCCGACCTTCAGATCTTGAGGTCTGGGTTTAAGCCTTGCTCTTGCTCATGAGTTGTTACCTTAGACTTACTGCTAAGAGTAGTTAGATAGCCCTGCGATAGACTAGGATCCTATCGAGGGGGAACGGAGTGACTCACAGCGCTATTTGTAGCTTCACGCTACGGAAAGCGGAATACGCTCCGACCTAATGGGAGACTTGGCTTGCATATAGGCCTCACCTTACTTACGTTATCAACCCAACAAACTATGCTATCAAAAAGTAAAGTACACTCATCAAAGTACGCTTCGTATATCATGACATAGAGGCGAGAAATGCAGAATTCATCACTTTATGATATAGTCACTCCATCACTTGAAACGTACTTGAATAAAAAAGCTAGCATTAATTGCCCGTTACAAATTACGTTAATGTATGAGGTCGGTCTAGAGTGCTAGTGTTTGCCTCTCACGATATATCTTGAAACGTTTTCAGGCAAAATAATTTTGAAACATTCATTTTCGATGCAAATTTCCAGTCATCTTTAGAAAAGCCATTGTCGCACAAAATCATCAAATCAAACACTAACCTCAAACCCCTCAGTTCTTGGTGTCAAGACAATGGCTCAGTCAGTATTTTTTACTGAAACTGAAACACAGGGTGCTTTATGATGTGAGAGATGAAAGGGATGAAGATTATTCAGACAAAAGACAAACTTAAACCAACCCACGGCCTGGCCTGTACCTCACGCATGCGCAAAACCATATCACCTGGGCAGTAGCAGCCATGGACAGCTGTTTCGCCCTTATTGAGGCAGAAAGTTTGTTTAATACAATTGGCAAGAACAAGTCCCCCCAGTCACTGACCAAAAACTTCAAATAATCCTTTCGATTACTTTAAAAGATATATAACACATACAGACTGTCAGCTGTCTTTCAACGGACACCTCAAAAGACTGACCCACCCCTTACAAGGACAAGTAGAAGGTCTTTCTAATCAGTTGATTTCCCTCTACAAGGCATACAAAACTGCCTGGTTAAGCATTGTCCGCCTTAGAGACAATTTGCTATATGTAACATACACAACAACGACAACAGCTTTATTCAAAAGACTATAACAAAGTATTACAAAAGCTATTTATAACTTATTCTTGATTCTTTAATTAAATAAAATGAGAATACTAGTAAATAATCTTATGTTTGATTCTTTAATTAAATAAAATGAGAATACTAGTAAATCATCCGATTGGACCAGTTTTTTTTTGACGCTTTCTTTTATTCAACCTTATTCAGAATAAAGTGGACAGTGCAAAAATTGGTTCGTGAACGTGGATACGTTTATCCAATTCAGTCAAAAAAACCTGGTCCATTTCTGAGTCCTTTTGCATCTTATGAACTTAATAAACGAATTTAAGTGAATGTTTATTCACCTTATTCATACAGTGGACAGTGATTATTGCGAAGAGAAGTTTACCTCTCAATTCGATGCATCATGAACTTAATAAACGAATTTAAGTGAATGTTTATAAAATAGTCATTTGATTTTCTTCACGGATGCCATAATAAAGTTTCTTTTGATAACAGTCGTGTAAACTGGATGCTAGGTTCTGTTTTAGTATAGAACATATCTAACATTAATTTGGACAATCTAGTAATTATAAAAAGTGACTTTCATCTTCGGTGGTTTTACGGTTACAGAGAATACATAGCCTTTCATCATTTTTATATGGAAGCCGCGATGTCAGGTCACTTCCCATAAAACTGTGATGTTTAATCAGTTGAGGTTCGTTCTGGAGATCAGATCTTTTACAAAACCTTTTCACTCAAAACCCATAAAATAGCCTACCGTATGGCATGGAAATGTTAATTATTTGAATTTTGTACCGATTGTACTTATTGCAATCTATCCGCGCGAGAAATAAATTTCCGCAGAAGAAAGCCGGCCTGCAGCAACTGTATCCGTCAGTCGCTTTTTACTGGGAACTTGCGTTACTCGGGGATATTTGTGTCGGACATTGATTTTAAAAAATTAAAAAGGCAGCAGCCCACGTCAAGATTAACGGTTTATATCAGCAAACAAAAGTGAACGGTACAAACTACGCGCTTACGAATGAATTGGCCTTTTCCTAGATGTCCAAAGCCTCTGTTTCAAAGTGAGGCTAAGTAAAAAAAAGTCATTTTACAAGAAAGGTGTTGCACTAAGCCTCGTTTTGCAAGTGAGGGTGTTTTTTCAAGTCGGAAATTTTTTGGTTTTTAACTGACATCGCGGCTGCCATGTTTGCTAATAAGAACAACAGCGATACCCTTCTTAGGAAACTAAACTGTTTGTTTGTTTGTTTTTTTTCAAGCAAGATGTCGTTTCGACCTTTAACATGACTGCCTTGTCACGTGGTTTCAAATAAAGAATACCGTACACGTCAATCTTTGTGATGTTTTACATGAAATTTTTCCTTCTGTGTTAACTTCCGCCGCTTAAAGGGAAGATCGCATAAATCTGTCCCCAGCAGAGATAGAAGTTATTTCCAACAACACTGAACTACTCTTCTTTTCGCAAAACACAAATACAACTACTTCCAAATTTCATGTTACATCCACAGTTTATACAATACTTTATGTAACTAATAAATACAGAACAAAACACGTGTCAGGTTTGTATCGAAGGGAATTAATTCGCTTACTAAACAAGAATTTACTCCACTCTATCTTTGTTAGTTTATCGAAAACTCATTTAAATGCGATTCTGCAAAGACGCGCAGGTGATAGCGCACTTGAAACCGAGGCAAGGACATTAAACTACTTCGAGAACTATAAAGAAATTCCTATGTACACACCATATACGATAACTGAAATAATGATGAATAATATGAAAAATACGCGGTCCATTTTTGTAGACACCCTTTGCCACGTGTAATAATATTCATCCATCCCCTGGTTGTTCTGTTCGACTGGTGAATTTCTGCTTGACTCGGTCATCTCGATGCCCCCAACGGAAGCAGTTGATTTCAAAGCAAAATGCGATGAGGCCACTGCGCTACCAACACGAGTCTGCTGCTTTCCTCTGTGTTTTCTTCTACTGCAGAGGCGGGAAATCGTCTGTACCCAGTCTGGAGGCGTTCCTTCTCTGAAGTAGATCCATTGGACGAAGATATTGGCAAACAGGATTAGGGTGATTATAATCATGGTGCCTTCAAGGAGTACTCCAAGGATCGGAAGTGCTTCTGACGTGACTGGTAACCATGAAGGAATGATGAGTAAGAAAACTGTCATGGCGAGAAGAACAGTGGTGACGAATCCAATGCGTTCTCCGCTTTCAACATGGATCAGAAAGCTAGTCAGGGCAATAACGGTCAGAATAACGCAAGGGATGGTGATATAGAACGTGTAATAAAGCGATCTGCGTCGCATTGAAATTTTGAACTCAGCTTCGCTGAAGTTAAACTTGCAGCAGTCTCCGTGGTCGGTTTCGGTGATTCTAGATGAAATGTTTACTATCTGCCAATTTCCGCTTTCTACAAAACGGTCTGAAATGAAGAAAGAATGGCGAAGCTTAGTCATAGGTAAAGATAGAAAATGTGACGAAAGTGTCTTCTTGTCTAACGGTACAAAATGGTGGCAATGTTTGACCCGGACATGTACGTTCATTCGGCAGAGTTCGATTAATAGCCACAAGGCATTTGAGGAGCTGGGGAGGAAAACCCCTTGGTGAAAAGGTGGGGATGCGCTAAGGGGAGCGGGCAAAGGGAAAAGAGGAAAATTAAAAGCCCTATGAATGAGCGCTGTCTTTTTTCCACTTCACTATTCCCAGAGCTACCGCCCCAAGCACGTTTCACATCAAGTTCCCGTTCCACATTCTTCGTTTTAAGCTAGAGAGGATAATCCCATAGGAGTGGCTCTAGTTTCCTTTGATGCCTTAAAAAGATACAATTCTAAAACAGACATTCAAAGAAGAGCTATTATAGTTTCAGGCTAATTCCTCAAATGAATGCACAGGGCGAAATCTTCGACCGCCGCTGAACGATTTCACCGCCTACTTCATTCATACGGAACCATTCAAAATGTTCTGTTTAAACAGAACTTTGAACCGGCTAGACGTCTAAATTTTGGTACGGTTCAGGCGGTTTCAATTCGTGTCAAAAATTCTTTCGGCGCCGTGTGGAAATAGCGTATCGATGCCCTAGTTTGCTTTCTATTTCAACCCACGGGTGTAAACGCAAATTCATACCCCCACCGTGCATGGTACGAGGGGGAGGGGGGGCTGTTGATGGATCCTTCCCCAGATGTTTTTTATATGTTGCAGTATTTCGAAACGATTTCGCCTTTGGTGGAAAGCCTTTGATCTTCTTAACAAGATGAGGTATATTTTATGGGTGGTGGCACTGCTGGAGGTCTGTGACACATCACTAACAATGGTCGCCATCTTGGATTTTACCAAGAATTAGAAATAAAGTTAAAATCGCGATAATTGGTATCAACCTAGGCGATACCGAAATTTGCCATTTAAACTCCTAGCAAAGTTATATCGCTCCTTACTTGTAAACGCGCTGTTGTCCTTGAACAACTTGATTTTTAACAAATTCTTTCCATACGAGTATGAACCAAATGCCATTTCGCAGGACTGCGCATCAAAAGGCCATTTGCCAACATTCATATGGCAGTTGACTTTGAATGTGGCTGGTCCGCTCCAAAGGCATCTGCCTTCGTTATTCACCGCGACGTCGGTGACGAACTTCGATGGACCGCCCGCCAAGTTGATTTCATCATCACCACTGGAAATACATAAAACGAAAATCGTTAAACCAAAACTACCAGTTAAAACTGATAAAAAATTTCTTCGTTTTCCGTAAAAACAAAGGCTACCAACACTCACTTGTTGAATAGAGCTATATCCGGAACCCAAATTTCGTTAGGGGCGAAATGGATGCGATCTAAGCCACCGTAGTCGTTTATGTTCCACGTGAGAAATTCGTTGTCCCACGCCTGAGAAATAAATTCAGTAAAATTGTATCATGTGGCGGCGGATTGGTCCCAGGTAACTTTCAAGTCATGTTCAGGGTCGCGCGCAGCAGGTGTGTAGCTAAGGGCGTAGCTAGGAAGGAACATAGCTGGAGGCGTCTTGGGGGCAGTGTTCGCTCTCTCTCCCACCCATTTTTTCAAGGCTAAAAACTTTACAATTATTGTTATATCCAAAGTGTTCGCAAAAACCATCATTTAAAAGCTCACTTTATTTTTGTCGGTGGGTCTTTTATGGACCAGAATTTGGTTCATATAGACAGTGTATTTCTTCTTTTTCATTTGCAGGAAAAGCTGCACTTTGTTCTTTTTTGTCGGTCCCTAAGCCTTTTATGGACCAGAATTTGGTTCATATAGACAGTGTATTTTTCTTTTTCACAGCATGGATAGTCTATCGACATGACAATCCCGTAGTTACAGCGAATGTGACTTGAGCAGTGTGACCCCCACCCGCCTCCTTCCCTTCCCCGGCCCCCCCGCGGTAAGATCGATACCTGGCTTATCCCAAACAGTCACGGTTTTCAAAAAAAGCATGGATGGTCTGAAATCGACCATGACAATCAGAGGTTTTTCACGCGCGGCGGGAATTTTCGAATGTGACTTGAGGCAGTGTGACCCGCGGGTCACAGAGATTAAGATTTGATACCGGCAAACGGCAAACTGGAGAATTTCCAGAATTGTCACGGTGTCCGTCAATAAACGGTTAGGGGGGGAATATCTTGGTATGGCATGTTTGCCGTTTGAAAGAACATTTAAGTTTGACAAAATCTCACCTGAAAAGTCTCTGACACCCAGGGTACTGAAAGAACTAATTAAGTTTGCAATATCTCACCTGTATAACCCAAGTATCTACAACTATTAATTGCTCTTGATTATCCTGTTAGAGAAAAGAAATATAAAGAGAAATGTATTTAAAAAAGAAGGTCTTGTGGTTCTTCAAGTATAAGATGTTTGCCCTCAGTCGTCTTTACCGTAAAGCATAGGTTGTTATAGCAAGTTATCAGAAATTTGCATATGCACAGACTCGTCCTTGGGGCCCGTTTCTCGACGGAAAGTCCCACTACCTCTTCAGGACGGAAATGAAAGTGCGCGTCCTAGCTAAACTTGTCCATTTTGTTTTGGTAACTGATAGTTTTATCACATTCTCTGCAAAAATGCTGAAACCCCTGTCTTGAATGTAAATAATAATAGCTGCTATCCTGGTTCGTTTAGCAGCGGGACTTTTGAGAAAAGACCACCCCTGCGGGAAGTTGTTGTTCCTTTCTTACTTAACTAATTTTTACTTTGTTTCATTTGTAATTATATTGATTGTTTTGGTGATGAAATTTTCATGTCGAAGATCAAGTCAATAAAGTTGTTGTTGTTGTTGCCTATTGTCCCTTGACCCTCCCTTAAGCTTCTTATTGTACCAGATCACTCGTTTCACACGACTCTTTTTGACCAATCAAACAACGTTTTAATTCTGAAGTAAACGCAGTAATTACAAATTATCAAAAAGGTTGTATTTACAAGTTAAAAAGGTGTACCAAAGATTATTTGACATACCACTTTGACGAGTCTACCCACTCGTAAAGAAAATTGCACCGTCACCTCCTTCCTCCCCTCGCGGACTGGGCGAACTTTTCTGTCATAGTTATTCAGTAGGTCTGCTCGAATGTGGTGTTCCCATGAAGAATTTGTTGAACACAGAGATCCTAACAAGAAAAGAAGTCTTTTTAGTGCTACTGTGGGAAAAATTAAAAGAGATAAGAAACACAGTGTATGCTCAGACCGGACATCCCGAAGGGGCGTGATTTGTTCGGGTGCAGCGTTCGGAATTGCGACGAAAAAATAATACTTCAGGGGCACCCAACGAGGATATAGTTCAAAACCACTTAACATAGCATTGTTGAACGTATTTTAGTATTTACACGGTAGATATAGGCATATTTTAATCCCCTAAAAACTTTTCATCTGTTCGGATTTCCTAGCTGAAAGTCTAGTGATCCGAAAATTATAGGGGTCAAAACTTACCTTTTCGAAAATTTCAGCCAGGATAAGGTTCCCGAAAATCCTAGGTAGCCTTTTTTAGGGTAAAAAATCCGTTAAAAATGGGTAATTGTACCATTTTGTAGATGTTCGAAAATCCTAGGAGAGGCAGGCAAACAAGAAATTTTACAACAAACGTTCCGAAAATTCTAGATCTCAAATCGCCTTCCGAACAGATATTTTCCGAAAATTGCCGTTGGGTGCCCCTGATACTTGGGAGGCAAAAGCGAAACGGAAGGAAAGGAGAGGGCAAAAAGAGGCCAGAGGAGTAAGGGATGAGTTGGAGAGGGAGAGAGAGGGAATCGGCAAGAGTAGCCTGCGTAAATGGTGGGACCGTTCGCGCGAGGAACGTTTTGGAATAAAAGCGGAGCTGCGATTGACGTCTGGAGAATGGTGAGGAGACGCTTTGCGAAAATAACGGTTTCGTCGCAAAAACTCCGCCAGCTACGCAGGAAGAGGAGGAAAGGTAGCCTACGTAGCAAGCGTTTCCGTGCAAGTTCCACCAGAAAGTTGGGACCCGAGAGGAAAAAGGGGGCGGGAGGGAAGGAAAAGCTTGCTAAACAGGCTAGAGAAACAGACGCTGGGAAGAGAGAAAGTAGCTACAATAGAAAGAAGGCAGAAATAGGAAGGAAAAGAACGAAAGGGAATTAGAAAGGGATAAAGAAGCTAAAATGTCAATAAGTTACTCTCCGAAATAAATATTGATGTATTGGTTTGTATCACGTTAAACGCGTCAAATAACCACACGTTGTTGGCGCGAACTTCTGCCAGCGTCGTAAACACGCAAGGTTTTTAGGGGAATAATATCACCTCAGCGTTGTGTGATCAGTATGACGCGTGCTTAAATATTTTGTACGGCTGCCAAATGAACATGTAAACGCTTCTAATGCTCAAAACATAACATGTACATTATTTGACTTCTGGCATTTCAGAAGGAGACACGTCAAAAAGACACTGCCGTATGTCCTCTGTGTTAAAGACACGTATTTAAAAACGTCACTTGCTGTGTGACAGAGGATGCGGGAAAAAAAAACATTTCGCAATGAGTTTGATCACTGGATAAATATCAACCACTCAACGGTGATGAGGATTTGTTCATTCGTCATTTTTGCTGAAGAGCTGGGAGCGATAAATGAATTAACTCCCAAATTCAATTTTTTAAAAAATCTATATAAATATGTTTTTTAATTTAGCAAAATAAAACTACGCGGTGCAAATTTCCGTAAACAAACAGGGTTAGTCAACGAGAGCCACATAAAAGTTGTCATTATTTGCTCAAGTATCTGGCTTTTAAAATCGCATCGTCGACGTCCTGCGACTTTGGACAAGAAAAATAGCTAGCAGACAGGGATAAATTACTTCTTTTTTTTTAGGCTAAATGCCATTTTCAATTGCCAAATTAGTCACCCAATTGACTTAAACATATATCACAGTATTAGCGTAGATATAAGTCACAAATGAGTTTATGTAATTCTACTCACCGTCAAATAGAGAGAAAATCTGGAGAAGCGTTAGAGAGATTGTAATCTGGTTCATTGCGGAACCGGGTAACAGTCCTTTTTTTTTCTCAACTATGGCTCTAATCTGCGTTTAAACAGTAGAAGAATTGAAGCGATGTTTGTTCGAGCATCCGATCTCTCACGCTACAAGAGTGTGAATCTTAAGACTAAAATATGCGCGTTATTCAAATCTTCATGCTCTGTCAAATATCTGTAACCTACTTACCATTCGAGTCACGCTTTTGCGCACATTTATTCAGAGTTACCGCTCGGTGACGTCAAGGGCAAATCTCGGACCTATATTGATTGTTGCATTTCGTGGGAAATTACAAATGTACAACGGTTCTGAATATATATATTATATAAAGCAGATAAAAGGTAAGGAGTTGTGGCAAAAAGTTTGGCAGTTTGACAAGATTGTCCGTTGAAATAACTTTGCGTGAAATAATCTCATAATACACTGTTATGTATTTCCCGTCGTGTTTACCTATTCTGAGTTGCTAGGCAACCGAAGTAAGTCCTAATTAGGCAAGCGGAAAGGTGGCTGACTGGGGTCGGGTGTAAGACACGTATAATTTTCAAAAATGATCTAGAATTTGAGCTTATTAATTATATTGGCTGATCATATCAAAACTTATTGTTTAGCAGAAATGTGCATTAAGTCACATTTTTAGTTTGGCTAACCACAATGTTTGACGTGACTAGAGTCAATACAACACAACTGGTTCTTTTAAATACCCGATCCTTGATATTTAATGACGTTTTTTCACGCCCAGCACTTAAAAAGTATGTTAGCTGGATGTAGCAGTAATGGAGTGTCGAGTCATGTGCTCATTGACTGTTGTATGACCTCACGCAGGATCAGTTTCTCTAAGATGTTAGTGAACGGACAGAAATGAGCGTAATAAAAACTCAAGTCAAAAGTCTAGTACTTTATCGCTCAAAATAATTTTATTGAATGTTTTTGCACATAATTTCTCGGTCAGTCCAACTACTTCCAAGCATCAAAACTGTTGTACACAAGCGCAGACAAAACACATCACAGGAGGCTTTATTTTTTGTTACTTTTAATAGATCTTAATATGATGAAGAGAATGATGCCTTAAGGGAAAAAAGCTGTGAGACGTGCACTTTTTTTTATTTTTCCTTTCTTTTTCGGGGAGAAAACAACAAAGGGTGACTTTGTTTGCACCTATCAGGATTACGAAGCAAAATTAGTGTTGACAGGAATTTTCTTGTCTGATTGATGCACGTGGATCTAGCTTTTTCTCATTTTAATTTTCGCCTTTAAAGCCAAGAAAAAGAGACAAACAATTGTTTTATAAAATGACAAACAAACAAATGCCTGCTAAATTAGATAACACATTTCTTTCAATTCAACAAATAATGAACATACACTGACATCTCCATCTTCTACGGCATGTGATCATGTGCAACCATATAGAGTTTATATTTGCTTTTCAACTGTGCACGAGATTGTACACGGGTGTGCAAGTGCTTCAACCAGCTCACTTAATACCCAAGTGTTCCACAAGAGATCCGGTACTGCTCATAGTGATATTTCCCGCTTTTAAACAATTTTATTGGACCAGAGTGAACAAAATCTCTCGGTTTCATAGTGGCCATCAGAGCAGTTCTGTGCGTTGACAATGCAGAAGACAAGAGGTAAATAATCGATCTGCGAATAGAGTTTAATCATTGTTTTATCATTCAATGATCAGTATGCTTGTTTGAAGAACCATTGTTTGGGACTCCAGAAACTTTTTAACTAAAAGGGTTACATGTGCATTTGTATATAGAGATTTATTTTCTTTTATTCTCAAATTAAATATATACATTTGTCCGGACAAATATATTTATTTAATTTTTTGAAAAAACAAAATGAATCTTCAAATGCACATGTAACGGTTTTTAGTTAAAAATTTCGCAGGCACAAACAAGGGTCGTATGCTAAATAATGATTTTTTGTGGTTGAAAGCTTTTATTAAGAGATTAGGTAGATGTAGTAGCCACAGCATGCAAAATAAGGGGGAGGAATGAACATCTTGAACGTCTTGCGGACAATTTTGAACGTTTTAAATCTTTACTTAAAACTCATCTTTTTAGACTAGATTTTGATATGTAATTTTTTTAACCTACTATGTAATATATTTAGTGCTTTTGATCATATTTGCATGGAAAAGGCGCGTTATAAATTTTAAATTATTATTATTATTATTATTATTATTATTATCTTCTCCACTCCACCTTTTCCTCTTTGCCTCGCAAAATCTTAAAGAGCATCTGCTGTATAAACGGCGTAAGATGTCAAAGAAATCAGAACAAATATTACGAAAAACGCACGATCCATTATTGTAGACACTCTTTGCCAGGTGAGATGGTTGTCTCCTTTCTTGTGACAATGTTCAGTTGCTGAAGTGGTGTCGATATTGGACCCAGTCATCTCAATGGTTACCATAGAAGCAACGGGTTTCTCAGCCTTTGACAAAGGACCCTCAGCATCTTGCGCGTGAATCTGCTGAATATTTTGACGTCTTCCTCTGATGCAAAGATAACAGATGCGTTCAACCCAGTCTGGAGGCTTTCCCTCTTTGAAGTACACTCTCAGCACCCAGATATTGGCGAATAACACCAGAGTTATTACAATCATGGTGGCTTCAAGTAGTACTCCAAGAATGGGAAGACCGTCTGAAGTGACAGGCAACCATGAAGGAATGATAAGTAAGAAAACTGTCATGGCGAGAAGAACAGTGGTGACGAATCCAATGCGTTCCCCGCTTTCAACATGAATCAGGAAGCTACTAAAGGCAAGAATCGTGAGAATGACGCACGGGATGGTTACGTAAAACGTGTAGTAGAGCGATTTGCGCTTCATTTTTATAGTATATTCAACCTCGCTGAAGTTAAACCTGCAACAGTTTCCATGGTCTGTTTCGGAGAGTCTGGACGTGATCTCTTCTATGCGCCAGTTTCCGCTTTCCACAAAACGATCTGCAAAGAAAGGTTGAAGCAGATTCGTACCCAGGCGCTATTTATGTGTTTTTGAGGTAAAAGAAGATTGGGACCATAAGTAGGTTGGGGCGCGTGTCTGGGAAGGGGCGAGAAGCCACTCCGCTGCAATTTTCAAACATGCACAATAGAGGGCGGGATCGATCAATCGGTAATTCGATGTTTTTTCCTAGTTTTCCCAGTTTAGTTTACTTTACCATTCCCTATTTCTCTTAGATGACTTAAACTTTGAATTTTAGAAATGTGCTTGAGAATCACATTAAAAAGGGAATTAGATCCAAGCTTTAATGATCGTTAATCTACTTGAGTAGTCCGAGCAAACATATACCTACAAAATTTTGCGCTTCTCAGTTATAGTTAACGTCTTCAAGTATAATATGCCAGTGGAGCTCAGTGACTGCTGTGCTGAAACCCCAACGGATACTAAAATTACAAAATGGGAACTGGGACGCCCCTAGCCCTAAGGACGGGGTTGGACTAACACCTTGAAAGCAGCAACGGTTCGTAACACTAATTAAAGATGATAAGACAACGTTTCAGCGAAAAGTGCAGTCAATACACCCTGCCTGTAGCTTACTTGTAAGTTTACTTTTGTCCTTGAATAGTTTGAGTTTTAATAGATTTTTCCCGAAAGTGTAGGAGCCAAATCCGAGCTTGCATTGCTGCTCGTCAAATGGCCATTGGTCGATCTTCATTTTGCAGTTGACCTTGAACGTAGCTGGTCCTCCCCAACGGCACATTCCTCTGTCATCAACTACAACATCTGTGACAAACTTGCTTGGACCTCCAGCTAGATTGATATTGTCATCACCGCTGTAGAGGAAGAAACAATGCAGTGAATCTGAGTTACTAATCTGAGTATAGTCAACTCTCTTTGTCGCGGACACCGCAGGGACCTTGCGTTAGTATCCTCAATAGCGAGAGCCCGTAATAGACATTTTCACGGTTTTTTACAATTTTATAATGTTATGGAAAATCCGTCGACAACACAGGAAGGAGCGCCTTAATATTAGTGGATACGAAAAATTTAAAAGTGATTACTCTTAAGCGAGCGACAATATGGCTGCACAAATTTGTAAAAATTTACAGACGTATGTATGGTGGGCAATCTAGTCCCTAGGCGTTCTCTTTTGCCCCGTTGCTCGGTGACGTCACACCTCACGGTAGAGTCCAGGATTGACCGAGCCGAGAACGCCTAGGGACTAGGACGTATGGTGGGGTAAGTTTGTGCCCCACCATTTTTAACAAATCACTTTCAAACTTGGCAATTTTACTCATCTTAAGTCGCTCTTTTCAGTGGTGTTGACGTATTTTCCCGAACTTGTCCATGTCAAAATTGAAAAAACCGTGAAAAGGTCTATAGTGGAAGTTTATCTTCAGTCAAACATTTGTAATTTATTTTTACGTGGGGTTTAACTGCTCTCTAGAGAGGATATCCTCTCTTGCTGTTGTCCGGATTATTGTGTCCGTAAAGCGAGAGTTAACTCTACAAGCTTTAGTTTCATAAAATTGCAACCTAAAGTGTTCAAGGTCTTTTGAAAGATAGTTTTTGAAAAACAATAACTCATCGGTATTTTCGATTCCAGTAAGATTTGGTTCGATATGTAGTACAACTGTTTCAATATTGTCGTCAATTTTTCACATCTAATTTTGAAGCATATTTCAGTGATTCACTGAACTTTTCGACAGACTACGAATTAGTTATCAAGCAAGAGAGCAAACTCGTTCCCAGAGTTCCCTCTCCCCTACCGACGGGTAGGAGAGAACCCTGGGAACGAGGTTGGTAAGAGCTGAGAATCAGAATTATTGTTATTCTCTCTTGTTATAAGAGATTATCACATAAATAAATGAAGACTTAACTACTTTTAATTAAGTCTTTCTGATCCTTCAAAGAAATGAAAAGGGTTTAAGTGCTAAATCAAACGAATTCTAAGATTTAATTTTTCTGAGGAGGTTTCAAGATTCCTTACTTGTTATAAAGAGCAATGTCTGGAACCCAAATTTCACCAGGAGAGAAAAAAATACGGTCTAGACCACCATAATCGCTGGAATTCCAAGTTAAAAATGGGTTTCGCCAGTGCTGCAAGCAAACAAGGAATAAGTTTAGAAAAGTCTTCAAAAAGAGGCCTAACTCTCATTTTTTTATTTAAAAAAACGAAAAGAAGAGTCTTCATTTCGAATCTTGATGAGGTCACCAAGTTGCACCATCTTAAGTACAAAAGAGGTTAGTTGTTATTCAGAAAAAGAAGATTGGGGACAAGCGTAAATTTTGCAAAAGAATTAAGGTTAAATATAATGATCTATATTGAGCATTAAAAATGCTGGGTAATTTATCAACACAAAACTAAAAACTAAAAGAAGCTAAATTTCCTCAATTATGTTCAATCATCAAATTTAAACTAAAGTTAAAGGCAGTGGTTACAGAGGACTTAGAAAGTTTTACATTCAAGGGAAAGCTTAAATTCTCCCCGGCTTCGTAAGAAGAACAGCCTAACAAACGTGTTGTCAAGTAACTAAGTACATACTAGAAATCATAAATAATCTTAACCTAGCGGGCTACTAAGCTGAATGTAGGGTGTGGATATTTATGCGAATGCTTTAATGAAAACTAGGACAAATGTGATTATCCGATTTTCACCTGTATAACCCACGTGTCCAGTACTACAAGTTGCTCTTTATTGTCCTATTACACACACAAAAAAAAAAATTAGTAAAATATCAAAATGCTTTGCTTGCTCTTGCGCCCAATTGGCAAATTCAGATGACTGGGGCCCCAATCCTTAAGGAGCGACACCATGACTTCTTCTGATTCACATTCTTCAAATAAATGAAGTTAGATTCGATCACTCAAACAAAATAGAAAGCTACCACCTTTAAGAAAGGAAGCAAAACGGTTTTTTACAACAACTAAGTGATTTCTCGGGCGCTGGTACCGGTTGGTCGACGGTTATAGTCGATAAGAGTACAGATCATCGGAACGGAAACTGAAACAGAATCGCCTGGGGCCCCTGGTTCCACTTGAGTTTTGAACATTTTAACATCATTTTTGGTATGGTCGTTAAAAAAAATAGACCACGGAAAATTGTTGTCGATTTGTTAAATCAAGAAATGTTCATAGTTACCACTTTGACAAGCCTGCTAACTCTCAGCGCAAAGGAAACTTCAACAGGCTTTTTTCCTCTGATAGCCGGGCGAACTTTTTTGTCGTAGTTTTCTAGCAGATCTGCGCGGATCTTGTGCTCCCAAGATGAACTGGTTGAACGGCATAAAACCCGGCCTATGAAAAAGCAATCATCGTGATAACACAACAGTTTTATATGAATTCTTATAAATATAACCTTATTGAACTAACAAAATTGTAAAAAACATGATGGCTTCTACTGCAAATAAAGATTGAGATTTTTTAAAGTCGCAGTGAAACCCCGCCTTACGTTCACTTTTTTTGGCGCCTGGCGAAAACTGCCATATATTTTCTTGTAAAAAAAAAACCTCGTTAATACAGCCACCCAGTTAATACGGCCGATTTTTTTGGCCCATTGGTGACCGTATTAACGGGGTTTTACTGTACAAAAAGAACTCTGACTCCTTTTGCCGCTGTAAGTTTGAATGTTTATCTGCTGTTTACAAATCAGAGGGTAGTGCTTAGGTTTTCGTATATGTCTCTCTCTTTTTTTTTTTTTTTTTTTTTTCGTTTAAATCTGTCTCCTATCCAGGGCCTCTCCTTTTCTTTGACAAACAGCTGAAAATAACGGGTTCGTCGCCAAAACTCTCACATGCAAAAACACTCCGCCAGCTACGCAGGAAGGGGAGAAACGGTAGCTTGCGTAGCGAGCGTTTCCCCGCAAGTTCGACCAAAAAGTTGGGACTCGAGAGCGAAACCTGGGGCAGGGAAGGAGCGAAACGCTTGCTGCACAGATTGAAGAAACAGACGCGGGGAAGAGACAAAGTAGCTAGAAAGAAGGTAGAAATAGGAAGGAACAGAATGGTTTTATTTTCTTTATTTTTAATTGTATTTCAATTTTCCCCACGTTGTTGGCGCGAACTTCTACCAGCATCGTAAACACCCAAGGGTTTTTTGTGAATAATATCACCTCGGCTTTGTATGATCAGTATGACGCGCTGCTTAAACCTTTTGTATGGCTTCCAAATGAACATTAAAATACTTTTAATCCTGCTTTTAATGTTTGAAACATACTATGTACATTAGTTGACCACTGGCTTTTCAGAAAAAGACAGGGGAGCCTCAAAGAGAAACTGATATGTCATCTCTGATAAAGAGAAGTATTTATAACAAACGTCACTCACTGTGTGACAGAGGATGCGGAAAAAAAAAACATTTCGCAATCAGTTTGATCACTGGATAAATATCAACCACTCTAAAGCAGTTATGAGGATTTGTTCGTTCGTCGTTTTTGCTGAAAAGTAGGGAGCGATAAATATATTAACCCTCTGTCATGGGCTACTGTCAAAATCCAATTTTTTAAAAAAGTATATACGTGTATATATATTTTTTTTAATTTAGCAAAATAAAACTACACAGTGCATGTTGCCGTAAAACAAACAGTGTTACACAACGAGAGTCAGATAAAAGTTGTGAATATTTGCTCAAGTATTGAAGCTTAAAAAATCGCATCGTCGATGTCTGCGACTTTGGACAATAAAAATAGCTGGCAGACAGGGATTACTATAAATTACTTATTTCTTTATAGGCTAAAGGCTATTTTTAATTGCCAAATTGCCATAAAGTTCCGAAAGTAACGACCCTCGTTACTTTGGAGGCTCGCTACTTTCGGGGGGTCGTTACTTTCGGATGGCTAAAACGTGTACTCCACATGGCCAATGTGAAAGGAATACTTTAGGAAAAAAGGAAATGTATATCCTGTAATTCAAGGGTTATGAATAGGAATGGCAAATAATCATAATTAATAAACCTCGGATCAGTGTGGCATTTAATTTGTTCAGGATATCTATCACGTCCGTTATTTTTTACAAAAAGGGAAGTTAGTTTTGAGGTCTCTGCTTTCGGAGGGTCGTTATTTTCGGGGGCATCTCTGCTTTCGGGATTTGCTAACACCTGTGACATTCTATCGCTTCTTTCGGAGGTTGGCTACTGTCGAGGGGTCGTTAGTTTCGGAACTTTACGGTAGTTACACAACTGACTTAAACATATCTCACAGACTGTATTAGCATGGATTTAAGTCACAAATGAATGTATGTAATTCTACTTACCGTCAAATAGAGAGAAAATCGGGAGGAGCGTTAGAGAAATTGTAATCTGGTTCATTGTCTTTTTTTTTTTTTTTGTCAACTATGGCCCTAATCTGTGTGATGTCTTCTTCTAGTTATTCTAACATATTCCCGGCCTCGGCGTTCAGCATTGTTCAGAAATGCCCTAATCTGCGTTTAAACAGTAGAAGAATTGAAGCTACGTTTGTTTGAGCATCCGACCTCTCACGCTGGTGTGTGCACCACAGACTAAAATATGCGCGTTATTCAAATATTAGCTAATATTTAAGCTCGGTCACGTATCTATAACCTAATTACCATTCGAGTCACGCTTGTGCGCACATTTATTTAGAGTTCCCTCACTTTGTAACGTCAGGGGAACCTCAGGGCACATTTACATTTTGCGGCGCCGAGAAATTAAACAAAGTTAAGGAATTCTGGCACAAACTTTTGGCAGTGGTATTCTGGCGTGTTTAACCATTCTGGTTGCTAGGCAACCGGAGTGAGTCGGAAAGGTGGGCGACTAAGGTAGGGTGGGGAGTCGTATAATTTTTAAAAATTAATGATCTAGCATTTGAGCTTATTGATTATATTGGCTGACTATGTGAAAACGTATTGTTAACAGAATGTGCATTAAGTCATTTCTCTAACCTGATCTAGGTAGTTATAAACAGATCAGCCTGATTGTTTTACGATTATCTTAAGTTAGTTAAGTAAATCTTTTAAACACCCGACCCTTGATGTTTAATAACGTTTTTTTCCCTCCCAGCTCTTAGAAATATGTTAGCTGGACGTGTTAGTAATAGGGTATCGAGTCATGCGCTCGTAACCGTCGTATAAGTAAAGGCTCAGGTAGGATCGCTTTCTCTAAGATATTAGTGAACAGACAGAAATAAGCGCAGTCAAAAGTCTAACTTTGCACATTAATTCCTCTGTCACTCGAACTACATTCCAAGCATCAGAAAAGAAGTGGTGATGAGACTTAACAGAAACTATAGGACCAGAACAGTAATCGGCTCCTGGACCATGACTTGTGAGAGGTTAGGCGTCCTCGAACTACGGGCTAGAGCTGCTTACATCAATTGAAGAAAGATTAAAGGATGCAACTATGGCGAAAGGTCGAAGATGGAAAGATTTTTTATCAGTTTTATAGTATTCACTTAATATTTTAATCTTCAGTATTTTCTTAAAGGAGGAATAAATAGACAAGTTTATGATATGGGTGAGTGGTTCGGTATCAAGTCAGAAGAATAGACTCCTTAATGACTGTCATTGGAATCTGGTCGTAGCCAGCTTCTTTGCTTGGAAGAAATGTTTTCGCAATTTCAGGGATCAGACCTCTTCTTGGGTTGCGGAGTTGAAGAATATTGACTGTGTAAAGGAACCATTAAGAAAACTTCGGTGTGAAGCTGAGAACTGGGGGGGATTATGACTTGAAAATAAAGGATGGTATATTTAGGCTAGAAAGTCTCTTAGGATCGTAACGGACCCGGAACCATGTTGATGTTGGTAAATTACAAGGTTAAACTGACCATAATCGTTTAAGGCATTAAAAGGTAAAGTGTCATCAGGGATCGAAACCACGCATGGCTGATATTTAAATACATACTATGAATATTATAGAATGCTAAAGCACATCAACACTACACAGCTACTTAACTGGGACGCCAATTCTCTCTTTAATAACCACCCTTCCGAAACGAAATAAGCGGCTATTTTCACGTTTCTTCTCGCTCCTTCAATCATAGGACGCTGTTCTTCAATCTTGTCAAGGGTTTCTTGTACCAGGTCTTCATTAACAAAAATTCCAGGGGGCCTGATTCTCCTTGCACTTCTGATGATCTTTTCTTTTTGCTTCCAATCGCAGAGGCGACAAAAGATGGTCCTTGGACGTCTTGCGGAGCCAGTTGCAGCATTTGCTTTTCTAGGCGACTCGATGAGCTCGCTCGATATGCGGTTCTTCATCGAGGTTAAGCTTCTCTTTGAGTATCTCCTTGACTTTGGTTTCGGTTTTGTCCCAGGTTTCCGCTTCTTCCCCTCGAATGCCGTCTATTCCGGAATATTTTTCCTTCTACTTTGATTCTCCAGCCGGCCTGATATACAATCTTTTCAGTGTGATAATATTCGAGGGAACCGCACATCATTTCAATCTCTTCTTCGACTTCATGTATTCGGCATAAGCATGGTTTCAAGTCCATGATGTCTTCCTGGGAGAACTCAAGGTTCTCCTTCAACTCGTGAGTGTCTTTCTCGGAAGTATCTAGTCTATCTTTAAATTCTGCGACTTGGCCGATGAAGGGTCCAGCCGTGCGTTTACGTTGGCCAACAGTGAGTTTTTCATGAAATATTATAAATATAACCTTATTGAACTGATAAAATTGTAAAAGAGACGATGGCTTTTACTGGAAATAAAGATGGAGATTTTTTTGAAAAGAAAAAGAACTCTGACCACCTTTTGTCGCTGTAAGTTTAAATGTTTATCTGCTGAGTGGTTACCAGTAAGAATAGTTGACTCACGAATGTAGAGTTAACATGGAAACAAAGGTAGTAGCAATCTATACGATAACTTGGCTTTTCGTAAATCTCGAGCTCGTTAAAATTCCAAAGAACTAAAATTAAAGCTACAACATGGATTAACATTGTTGAATTCTGTTTTAATTTAATTTTATCCTTAAAATAAGTTGCAAAGCCATGAGCAATGATCCTGACCCTTCTTAGGCTGGGTTTACAGAAATCAGTCAAGCCCAGGCCACAATCAAAAGGTAATCTAGAAAGACCCTAATGATCGAACATCGTATTGCATGCCTTGTTGAATATTTCGGCAAGACAAACAAAGTCTCAAAACCACTCCCTCTAAATATTCCTCAATTAATAAGGCAAGCAAAAATAGGGCCTATTTCACGTTCTAGTGACTCGCGGCAAAAATTAATTAATAGTTATATTTCAAAGATAATTTAATTTCCCTTTAGGTGTAAAACCGTAAAATGAAAAGCATGTAAAAAATTAAATATACTATGCCACTTGATGTTTATCTGGGATGATCGCAAATATATTAAGGTGCCGTCTTCGATTTTCATCATCGTTTGGAAGATCTTTTTAA